AACCCCAACCCCAACCCCAACCCCAACCCCAACCCCAACCCCAACCCCAACCCCAACCCCAACCCCAACCCCAACCCCAACCCCAACCCCAACCCCAACCCCAACCCCAACCCCAACCCCAACCCCAACCCCAACCCCAACCCCAACCCCAACCCCAACCCCAACCCCAACCCCAACCCCAACCCCAACCCCAACCCCAACCCCAACCCCAACCCCAAACTTAGAATAAACTATTTTTTAGGGTGGTGAACAGAAAATTAAATTTTGATAAGTTAAAAAATACTTGATAATATTCATTTTTTAAATTGAATAATAAAAACAATTTAAATATTATTTGTTTATTTAAATTATTAAAAGTTAGTTTTTTAAATAAATTGAACAATAAAAAAAATAAAAATATCATATAGTATAATACAGGTATTTGAGATAAACTCTAAGTTTGCGAACTAAATCTTACGCGAACTTAAAGTTTAAAACAAAAAAAATTTGAGAACCCATAATTTAAAACCTTTTCTTATCACTAATTATAACTATCTATTATATAATTTATTTATTATTTTAACATATGGACAAATAAATGATATTATAATTAAATACTATGCAACGATTATCAAAAAATGCTAATAAATTTTGGAAATTAATTGCCTATCATAAAATTTAATTATGAACTTAAAATTTTATTTATCTTATTTAGACTTCTTCTCTAATCTTATCAGCCGATACAATTTTAGAATTATTATAAATATAAAATATATGGGGTTATCTGTCCATGAAATATGTCTGTATCTATTTTTTAGATTTTAACTCCCAAATTTAAAGTGATCTATCTCTATTAATAGATAGTATGTATTGCTATTTCTATTACTTATTTTTAATAAAAAGCAATTACTTTACTAATGGTCCATTATTATATAAGTTGCTTAATATTGTTCCTTATTTCCAATTAGCTATAAAAATAAATCCATGCATACTACCAGCTGCTAAAAGTTCTTTATTTAATTTGATCAGACTTAATTCATCATATCCCTTTTTAGTATATTCTATGTTTTATTTAACAAGCTTAGTCTTAAATTCGTAAATAAGAATTTTGTTATAGCCTACAGCAATAAAATTTTCATCTAAGGAAATAAATGATGAAATCCTATTAGGAAAATTTTCAAACTACTCATTTTGAGAAGTACCATTTATAGTATCAACGCAAAATATTTAGTCTTAATGGACAGTATTAATTAATATATATTAGTTAAATTTTGTACATATTTCATATTAAGGATTATATTCTAAATCTAAAATACAAATTTTTTTAACTATTTTCATCTATCTACAACTCCAGAAGAATAAAAAATCTTACTAATAGCTCATAAAAGTAGAATTATTTAGCTTTAAAAGGCACTCAATTTTTTTATCATGGGCTCTATTTATCTTTTTATGGCATTTATTTTTTTGAACATCCCAAAATTTAATAGATTTATCATAGCTGCTAGTTACTATGAATTTATAAATTTATATTATTCCAGTTATTTTATCTTAATGCTTTGTACAGATATCTACTTTGTCATAGGAGCTTGAATCAAATACAGTTGATTGATAAAGAGAATAGAAATCCATTAGTATATTATTTTATTGCCTATTAGTATTAGTTTTTTATTTAGTTATTTGATAGTTTAGATATCAAAAATCTTAATTGCATCATAGCATCAGAAATACCTTCAAAATAATATTCAAACAAATAAAAAGAATACAAAATTAATTTAATAATCCTAAAATTTGATTATTTTTGAGATGTAAGGTAATTAAAAAACACATGATTACTAGAATAAAAATTAGTAAATAAATTCTACTCTTTCGACATAAATTCATTTTTGGTTTTATACTGTAATAAAGAAAATATCTTATCTTTAATTTTTTAAGTAAAATTTAAAATTATAAATTCATTAAATATGTGTTAAAAAATAAAAAATAAACTATAAAAATGAATAAATTTTAAATAAAATAAATTGATTATTTTAATATAATTAAAAGTACATACACTACCCATAAAATTTATTAAATTAATTCAACGCTTTTGATGTAAAATTTATTTTTGGTTTTACTTTTAAAATAAATAAAATTTCTGAATTCGTATTAGTAAAGCTGCAAATTTTATTTAATTTAATGAATAAAATATTAAATAAACATAAAACAAATTAAAAAATAATGAATTATTTAAAAATTTCAAAATGATAATTTAAACTTCAAGAAATTTTTATTTTCTAATTTAATATTTTAAAGATTAAAATTAAAAAAATAGAGATAATTTAATATTAACAAAATTAAGTTACATACACACATATATAAAATCAATTTGAGCCAAAATTTATTGTAGAGTTTTAATAAAAGGAATTACTGCATCTGCCTTCTTTTTTATATAGATTTCGAATAGATTCAATTTGATCTTATGCTCCACACTCACATTTTCTATAATAAAATTATTTTTGTTGGTTTATTTCATTTACATGTTTAGGTAGACTTAGTTAATTTAAATATTTAATCTAATTTTTATTTTATGAATCAAAATTAATTTTGTGTCTAGGTTTTTGTGATACTTGTGTTTAATAGTACCTACTTCCTTGGAGCTTAACATCATATAGCATTTATTAGAATTGCTTGTTTTTCTAAAAATACTATCTAAGAAGGTTTGGATTGTATTTTTAGTTTTGGTCATTGGTCTGATTTTCTAAAGGATTAAATGATGTATTAAAATTATCTCTAGATTTTATGGTTTCGCCAAATATTGCTTACTCTGCGTTAGCTTATTTTATTTATCTAGCTTTATTATTGTAAAATATCCAAGAAGAGTTATTTAAAGAGGAATTATTGCTTGTAGTATACTTATAAGAATTATCTATAAAATTTCTATCTTCTGATATGGCTCTTTTACGAGCTTAAGCCAGCTTTGATTAGACAAACTTTCTTCTCTAATATTTAGGTGATCCTTCATTTTATTAAGTCTCTTAATCAGAGTAATGAATATGACTTTCATTAATCGAAAAATAGGCTTCATTGATCTTATTTTAATCAACAAACTCATTAGACTCTTCCTAAATTGTAGGAACTTCTTAAGCAGGCTCTAAATAATGCTATTTAGAATTTTATTGTTCGTACTATTCTTAGTACATACCGCTTGTTTAATTTATTGGCTATTTTGAGAAATTTTCTTAGTATACTTTCTCGTATTGAGAATGTTTAGGTGGAGAAATTGATTTTTAATAGCTGTCAGGGTAGTATTAATAGTTAGGTTCTTTAGTTTTTTGTGGTGTTTAGAAGGATTCCATAGTAATTTAGTCAGAGCCATAGTTTTAATTGCAGTCATCGTCTTACTTTTCAAGTACATAGTACTAAAGATATTCTCCATCAGATTGCATTTACTAATTTTACTAAATGCCTTGAGCATACAATCTTTTCTATGCAGAGAAATTTTATGGGTAAAAATTAGCTACATCTGGGCTATGATGCAATTTATGCTCAGTCCTTTTTTAATTATGTGAATTAGATCTTGTTGAGCTATTAAATGGTTTGTTCGAGATGCTACGCTTATTTGTATAATAAGTACTACTTGTATCATTTAAATTGACCTCTTCAGGCTTAGCAAAAGGATTAGTGTAATCCCCTGTATTATTCAACCACATTTTCTGCTCATGGTACTATCTGTATCTTATTTGCGTCTATGCTTTGTTAATAATATAATTTCTTCTCATCTATTAATTTTTATTTATTGATTTTCAAGCAAATTTTATAAAAAATTAGTAAGATTTACTTTTCTAATAATATATATTTAATTTAATGTAATTCACAAAAATATTGATCATAGAATTACTTTCTTTAAGGGTTTAATATAACTAGATTGGAATTGATACATAAAGCCAATCAAATTAATTAATTAACAGGATCCAATTCTTAACATGTTCAAATATTATTAGCCTTTGCAATTTAATTATTATTATTAAATGAAATGGCTTTAAATAAATCTAATAACATATTAATTATTCTTCCTTAAAAATATATGGATTATATAAAGCTATTTTTAAGAAGTTAAAAATCCTAAAATAAAATAAATTAAAATGTATCAAAAACCAATCAATTAATTTAGTAAATAATTTAATAACCAATTTCATTTTATAATTAATCATAAATACTATCTTATTTTCTAAGATTTTCATATTTAGACCATTTTTTAAATCATTTTTGTTTTACAAAAACTAAAGTTGAAATAAATAAAGGTTTAATAAATATTAATTAAAACAAAGATAAATAAAATATATTAATTGTTTAGTATTTTTATTGTATTTAAAGTATTACTAATAATATAATTTATCCAAATACTACTACTAAAATAAAATGCAAGTATCCAAAAAATATAATTAATTGATAAAATAATTGATATTGCATATAGAATAAAAAAATTTCATTATTCTCATCAGGAAGAAAATTGTTTATTTGAAGATTTTTTATACTTTTAAAATAGAAATAAATAAATAAATTTATATTACAAATCAAATCAGTTCAAATATTAATTTTATAAAAATTTTGAAATAATTTTAAGATATAAACTAAATGTCTTATATGCATAAAACTATTTTGAAATATTGTATATTTATAAGCTGTTTTTTTCAAGAATCAGGTAAAATTTTATACTCTTTTAAACTCTTCTCAAATTCATTTGTAAAATTTTAAATAAACTATAGTTTTTCTTTTTATCCATCTATACTTTTCTTTACTAATTCTTTTCTTTCTTACATATACTCCTTAATACTTTAATCTTAATCTTAGCGTCTATTAGTATTAAAGATTATTTGTTTATTTTATCCAAATAAAATAAATTTAATTACTTAATTAGCTCTTCAGGTATGTTAGGAGCATTCACATTAACTATATCTTCTTCTATTATTTTTTATATATCTTCAAGTTATTGCTTGTAATCGTTTCTTATTTTTTATAAAAAATAAATCTCTAATTATTATAATTAAATATGCTTCAACATACATAATTGCAAAGAATTTATCATTCTTTTATAGGTAGGTTGTACTTTTATCATTGTATGCTTCTTCAAGTTATTTCTTAAATTATTTTAAATCAGTCAATTTACTCTTAAAGTAATTGACCTGCTAATTCTAGCTTAAATTCTCCTAAACATCCATTTTTACTTTATTTTAAAACTCTTTTAGCTAAATATTCAAATCTTTTGTAAATCTTTTAGCTCAAAAAATTAAATTGTATAATTAACAATGCTTCTAAAAAAATTAGAATTGCGGAAGCAAACACAAGCTAACACAATTTTAAAAATTTAGTTCCCATCGCTTTTAAAATTCAACTATTATTTAACTGTTTTGCAAATCAAGTAATTAAATAGTTTTTTATATCAAAAATAGTAAATAAACACTTCATATCTCACTTTAATAACAAGATAAAAATTTACTTAATTAGACAATTTGTAATAATTAACTGAATATAATTATATTTAATAATAATTTTTTTGTTTGAAAGCGATATTATATAAACAAACCCATTTTAATTTATTATACAAAACTAATTTAAAATGAATTCCTTAGCTAACCAAGAAAAATAATTTCATGAATAAAAATCAGATAATTATTAAATTTAAGGATTTAAAGTATAAGTTAGACTACTAAAAAGACTTTTATTTATAAATTTTGAAGAGCTAGTAGAATTTTTAGGTATATAAAAAACTTTAATAAGCGATGAGATATCTTGGAAACAAAAAATCGATGAACTCAAAAATAAATTTGGTGTTTAATACAACAAAAATGTAAATTTTATTATTTCTAATTAAAATGTTAAACAAATCATTTTATTATTGATATATAGGATAGAGCCATGTAAGTAGAAATCATCAGCAATTTATTTCTATTTGCTATTAAATATGGGATGAATTATATTAAAATAAATGAAGTATATGAATTGATTAAAGATAGAATAAATGGAAAAGCATCTGTAGTAAGAAGTAAAGCAATTTTGCTAGCTGTAAACTTCCTTATTTCTAAAATTCAACAGACTTTAAACTATGATTAATTTCTGATAGTAGACCAATAAATTATTGATGAAGTTATTCATATAGCTAATATAGTTGATTAAGAGGATATTTCTTAAAATAGTATTTAAAAAATTAATTTAGTTCACTGCTCAAGGCTTATAACTTCTGCTTGCCTTCTTTGTTTCATTAAGAAAAGCCTACATTACACATAGATTTTAAATTTATCAATTTAACTTGTGTAAAAATGTTAATGCTTAGATAATTTGAATAATAAAGAAAAGCAAGAATTTCAGTTCTTGTTAATAAATCTAATGAAAAGAAGTATCAAACAGTCTTCAGACCAAACAGATAATTAATATTAAATGAAAGTGTAGTATTCTTTGCAATATATATAAGCTACAAAAGAATTTTGGAATAACTAGCTTATAAATTTTTAAAATGAGGAATAGTAGTAATTAATTTCTAATAACTAAGTAGATATTTAAAAAAAACAAGGAAATCAAAACTTAAACGAAATTAAAAATTTACAAAACTTTCTTCTTAAAATTGAATAAATATAAAAAGAAATTAGCCATGCTGAAGAAAAACTAAATTAAAAATAAATCTAAAATTTACATTAATTTGTTTTGTAAAATATGGGAGAATCATTAAAAACAGAGGAGAATAAAAGTTTTAGTTTGGCCTAGAGCCAATATGACAATTAGTAAGAGGATTATTAACTGATGTCTTATAAATAAAGTAATTTTTCTAAGAAAGTAAGTAAGAAAACTCCTACACCTTCTAGAAAAAAAAGTCCTTTATCTTACAATTAAAGTAAAATTAATAATTTTATTTAGTAAAATCTATAAAATAATTTGATTGAATCTTAAAAATTTTAAAGTATTTTACCTTTAGTTTGAATATTTTTAATTATTTCTTAATTTTTAAAAGAAAATAATAAATAGGAATAAAAAAATAGACTCCAAGGATTACATTTTAATGAATACTCACTTTTTCAGAAATAAGAAGATTTAAACTTAGAAAATTCAATTTAAATTCTGAAGTTATAATAATATTAAACTGATGATAGCAAAAGAATGAGTGAGGACAGTTAATTAATTAAAGATAGGCTAGTATAACAACAATAATAACTTAAATTAAATGAAGAGGAATATAGAGCCTAAGAAACCTTATCAATAGATGAATCTCCTATTTTAAATTAATACTAAAAATAAATCTTTAAACTGTAAAATAAAGCTCAATAAAATCAATCCAAATCTTAAAATATTTATTAAAGACTTTAATAAAGAAGGCTTTCTTCAGCATTCAATGAAAAAAATAAAAATTAAACCTCAATTAAAATTAATATGCAAGAGTTGAATAAAGATTAATTATTTTAGAACTATTAGACATAAGATACCTCTCCTTTTTTTATATCCGCTTCTCCTATAACAAGAAAATAATCAGCAATACTATAATCCTCTCCAAAGAAAACCTATTTATTATAGAATAGCCTTTTACAAAATTAAGGCAAATATTCAAGTTAACAACCTAATTTTAATTAATTAGTAAATGAAAATGAGTATTTTTGCTTTTAACAAAGTAAATCTGACCAACAAAAAGGTCAAACTTAATAAAAAACAAATTCACCAAGTTTATAGGATTATAAATTAGATTCACAACTTTAAAATTTGAAGAATTCAATCACTTAAATAAAAAAATAAAGCTCAATTTAATAAGATAACGAGAATAATACTGATATTTTAAGCGCAAGAACAAGAAAAAGCACTATTATTTCATCTCAAACAAAAAAAAAATATAAATCACCGCCTTAGACGTATCTATCTTCTCCAGTAACAAATTTATCACAATCTGGCTACTAATTTAATAAATAAACATCTATTTTAGAGTCATACAATTTTACATATAAATCTAATTTTAATGCTTATCAGCTAAGAGATATTAATCAAGATGTAGATATACATAAAGAATCGAATAACATTTTGCTTGATTACTTCGGAGAAAACATTTAAGAAGAACAGCCAAATAAATAAGAAGCAAAATATTCTATTAAATCATTAAGAAATTGCTAAACTTAAATGAATTCTCCAAATTTAAGAAATATCCAATCAGCAAGAGAATAAAATTAGTCTCCATCACTTTAAAATTTAAGAAGATCATACAACAATAATAACAATTATAATAAATCAGACAAACAAAATAATTATTTCTTTTCAAAAACAAATAATACAACTATTTCTTAAAGAAAAACTAGTTTACTCTCAAATGATAAAAAAGAAATTTAATCTAAAAGAAAAGGTATGCTATTTCAAGATATGCTGTTAACTTAATCTTTAAGTGGCTAACTGTAAGGTAATTCAAAAATAAATGTATCGACTTTTCAAGCATAAGACTAGGATTATAGAAGTAGCTCTTTAACCCCAAGAAATGAAAAAATATTAATAAATTCAGTTTAGGCATAATTGCAAAATACATAAGATTAAGTAAAGAACTAATCTAATTTTGTTTATACAAGCTCAGATACAATAAAAACATCATCTATTTAAAATGGTTAATCAAGTGAAGAATAAAGTAAAAGAGAAATGAAAAGCAGCATAAAGATGACAATTTCTAATAATACAAATTAAATGGATAATTAAGATAAAAATAACAATTATAATAATTGCCAAAACATGATTAAATTAATAGAAAATTTAAAAAATAATTAAAAAGATAAAAATAATATAATTATACCATAAGCAAATAATCTAGAGTAAAAAAAATAAAAGAATTTTTAAACTATCAGTGTCAAAGCACAGTAAATTTTATCTAAACAGATTCAAAGCTATTTAAAGGAGAAGCCCTAGATAAGAAATATTTTAAATAAAATTAAATGTGATGAAAATGAGAAAGTTTTTTTGTAACAAGCACAATAAATTTAAAATATTAAAGATGATACTATTCAAAGTCCAAAATTGATTACCCCTCATAATAATGTAGTTTCTATAATATTAAGTAAAAATTAGGTTTCTGATTAATCTGATGAATAATCTGATCCTTATTTTTCTTAAAAGCAAATAAAACAAAAATAGAAAAATTTAATCTTTCAAAATTCTAACTCTTAATGCTAAATTAATGAAATTATTAGCCTAAAGAATATATAATCTGCTCCTAAAGAAAATAAATCATCAAAATTTATCACCAATCAAGAAGATTCTAACTAAAATTTTTCTTAATATAGTCATGCAGCTATTAATTCATAAATCAAGAAAGCAGTCTCAATCTATAATAGTTAAGAAAATTAGAAAATTAAACAACAAAATAATAGTATCAACAACTTAAATTAAAATTGTACTGACCAAATTAAGAATGCATTTGAAAGTTATTATTTAGGAACATCATAGGAATAGAAAAATATTAATGAAAATAAAAAAAAAATTTTATCAGCTTATTCTTAAATTTCCTTTAAAAAAAAAAAAGGAGATTTATAGAATTCTTAATTTCAAAATGATGACAATTAACCTGAAGTTTTGAATGGAAATAAATAGGATTTTAAAAGAATGAAATACAAATAAAATGCTAACAGTAAATCAATATATCAAAACTCTTAAATAAATTCTAAAAAAAGAAACACTTTTCTACTCAAATAATTCAGTAAAACTAATAATGATTTACCTTTAAGAATTGAATTCAGTGATATAAGCTAAGCAAAAGCAGAAAATTTAGCATTAAATGAATCTTAGCAGCAGGTATCAAACAGAAGTACTTGGATTTTTAAAAGAATAGCTAATAGGATTTAAGAATAATCAAATTTTGTAGAGAAAATTCTCTAAAAAGAAAATTCTGCCTAAGCAGTTCCAAAAATAATAATTCCTTCAATTTAAGATATTGACTCCTCTATTTTAACGAATAATGATGAAAAAGTAGATTTCAATTCAAAACAAAACTTATCAGAAATACAAGAAAAGTAAACATCTATGAGTTTAAGCTCTAAGTCTTAAGCATAAAGCTCAAAATCACCAATTGAAAAAGATATTTAAGCTCATTAATCGTTTTAAGATTATATAAAACTCAATTCTAATTAAAAATCTTAATTCGCTTAACAATAAAAATTAGAAAATTCTATTGAAAAACTGTATAAAATGAATTTATCAATATTATCCAACGCATAAAGTCCTAAAAACTTATCTACAAGTTTGACCAAATAATCTAACTAGGCAAGTCCAATAAGATTGGAAGCTCAAAAGAGATCTTAATTAAAAGTAATAAAATATTTTTTTTTAATCAAATAAAAAAATGAACTTTCTTATCAAAATAATTTAGGTCGAAGATTCAAATTATAAAATAAAATTGGAGCTACTTTAATAAAGATCTTTCAAGAAATAACAAGAAAATGTATTAGAGTAATTTTCAGAGATTAAACCACTAGATAATTCTAGTAAAAAAATATCAAGTATTAAGTAATCTCAAACAATCAAAGATTTAACTGCTTTTTCTAGTTAAAATAAATTAAAAAGTTAATTTTTAGCTGTACCATAAAATAATCCAGGAGTTTCTCAAAAGAGATCCTCTATCCATAATTCTCCTTAAGATTTCTCCTCAGTACTTAAGAACATTTCTAGATCCTTTAAAATACCTTAATGGGCTGAGTAAAATCAAAAAAAATTTCCAAGTTTTTTTAATTAGCAAATAAATACTGTGTAAAAAAAATTGTATAACATTACTGAGTGCTTTAAGCTGATATTTATTCTAAACAAATTTTTTAAAAAGTAAAATTTAGATTATTTTTAATATAAAAAAATTATTTTTTTATTTTTTTTTAGAGTAATCATTAGGGTAAGGCAAACTCTGCAATTAAAAAACGAGTCTGAACAAAAATTATAATAATAAAATAATGATAAAAATAAAAATACCAAAGAAAAGCCTTTATTGATAAAAAACTTTTTAAAGAGTAATTTGCTTTAAAATAAGATTTTGAAACCATAGAGCTTAACATAATCTCTTTAGAATTAAGATTCAATAAACAGTGTTTAGGAAAATGATTCGTAAATTCTAAGCTAAAAAGAAAATTTATAAATCATTCGTATACTTAAGTTAAAATAGTTTAAAGAGAAAGCAGCTTAGGCTTCTAGCGGAATGAATGAGTAAGGAGAACCAATTAATAAGCTGATAGGATTTTATCCAAGTTTAAAATTTTCTTCATTTGTAAGCAATAGACTTCATGTATGGAAAATTTATTATGTGCATAAGTAAGTAACTTCTACTACCAAAATAAGTAATTACTTTCTAGATAAAAGAAGTAGAATATAAACTGAGCAAAAAGAAGAAAACTAAGAAAATCCAAATGAATTTTAATTTTAAATTAAAATTGATGATTAAATATTAAAATACACATTTAAGCTTAGCTAAAACTTGCTCAATATACTTCCTGGAAATAACAGCTTTTGCTCTACTTTGTGGCCATCTGCTTTTTGGATGTTTTTTCATAATCTACAAACAGTAACTTAAAATTATAAAAAAAATATAATCAAATTAGTTAAAATAATATCTGATTTATAAAAAGGAAAAAAACTTTAACATCGAAAATGATTTGTACTTAAATATAAAAAGATCAAAAAGTTCTTCTATTTCATCAGACAAAGCTTCGTAGGTATATGATCAAAGTTAAAATATGATTATTTTTAAAGATGAAGTAGAAGAGGATAATGTTGAATGTATTTACGATGACATTACATATAAAATATATGAGACGTAGAATAATTTAAAATTTTTAAATTTTCAAGCTAATAAACTTAAAAAAATATTTGAGCTTTAAGATATAGAATATATTGGTAAGTTATCTTATCTCTTGTAATAGTTTGGAATTTAAAAAGGGAGAATAGTCTCTAAAATTAATGGAAAAACTATTATATTTTAAGATTTACCTTACGATTAACAAATGATCAAATATTACAACAGTATACTTAGTTTAATAAAAAGGTAAATACAAATTTACTTGTAATAATTATTAAAAAATTATTTTAAAAAAGGTATAACATTTATTTTAATGAGTGCTAAGATACTTAAATATAAAAAGCTAATCTTATTTAATTAGAAAAAAATTAAATAAATAGATATTTGAACTCTTAAAAAATATCAAATTAGCTTCAAATCGGGTTGAGAGGATCTATTGTGGGTCTACTTTAAGATAAAATAGCTTTTTTAAAATAAAACTAAATGAGCTTTGATAAATATTTTTCCTATCTACAAAGCAAGCCTCATCATATTTTAAATATGTTTTTGAAAAAAAACAAGTCTTACTTTTTACTATCTGCAAACTTGGTTTTTAAATATGATTTATTTCAAAAGTATGTTTCAGACAAAAAAATCCCTTTTTCAATATACGTTATGGCAAGAAATATGGATATGAATAGCAGAGTCAAACCCATAGAAATAAGTTAAGACAAGCTACTTTTTTTCTTTTCAGAGCATTAAATTTAGCAGGAGATTAAAAGGTAAACAAAATTTACTGAGATATAAATGAAATTAAAATAAAATATTTAATTAATTAATTAATTAATTATAGCTTCTTGTTTAGGGGAAGCATTTCTAAATTTTGGAAGATAAATTTAATTCAAATTTGCACTATGAGTCTAGAAATAATTACAAACTACTAATACGGAAAACAATCAACAAAAAATTCTAAGTTTACATATTATGATCAAGAGCTATACCTAAAGGAATCAATCAATCAAATGATTAGAAAAAATTCTTATCTTAGAAATCTTGAAATTGATGAAGGATAAATGTCATATGGTGCAGTTTCTGATAGCTTTTTTATGGATACTGAATAATCCAAAATCTAAAAAATTTAATTTTTAAATAGCAATCAAAATATTTTTGATAAAAATTTTGACGATATTTATGAAAAATTTTATATTCAGAAAAGAGAACAGTCTTTGGATTACAATGAAGTTGATGTCTATAACAAGGATTATTAGATAAAAAATGACTTCGATATAATCGTAGATAAATTACAAAATGATTCAGATGATGAAGATTAAAGAAAAATTATTTTTAATTAATAAATGAGCTAGTCTCTTCCTAAAGAAGTTCAATTTGAAATAGAAGCTAAGTATTCTTCCTATAACTACACAAAATCTTAGAGTAACTTACTCTTTTTTTTTATTTTTAAATATTTATTTTTTATAAAATTGCAGCTAAAACCTACAAAGATAATAAAAAATTAACCGAGAGGCTCAATAATTATTTGAAAGAAAGAGGAAAAGTTTTTACAATAAAAAACTAATTCAGAGGAATCAATTTCTTATTTTAAATAGTTAGCAATAGAAGCTATTATGCATTAATAAATAAATACAAAGATTAAAGTTTTTGTTAAAGTGGTGATGACTATTTTAGTATTAGTAATCTCATACCTTCTTCATAACAAAACGATTAAATCTATTGCTTTTTGTATGACTATGAAAAAAAATTAAGATATTTTATTATTATTTAAGAAAAAAAATAAATTAAACTTTTGCTCAACATTATTGAAATGAATTTGGAAGGATTTCTAATGGAAAAATTAATAGTTAAATAGTTGCAGAATAGTTTACTTTAAGAACTTTTCTCGTTAAAGCCAGACACAAATAGATATTTAAAAATATAAAAATATTTAAAGAATATCAATCATACTTAAAGAGAAAAAAAACTCCGTATTGATTGTCCAATTTCAGTGTAATATCACTTAATAGTAGATTCTAAGCAAATTAATAACTTCTACCATAGCATAACTCGCAGCTATACATTAAATTTTAAGTAATTAGGTAAATGCTTCGTGAATGCTTCTATGCTATAGATTAAAACTTAAGATAATTTATCACAAAAGAAGTATAATGATAACTTTAATGATGATGAAAGCAGTTTAAGCTCTACTCATCAATTGCTCTCCATATCCGGTACTCAAAACCAATAAAATGTGGATAACAAACATATTTCTTTTTAATTTTCCACTTTGTTGGTTTTGCATATTATGCCTACTAATTAGAGATACAAAGCATATAGGCTTATTTTATCATTAGCTGACTTAAGAGAAATGGATATCATAATATTTAAACATTTTCAAAAGGATTTTTTCAAAGAGAGCATGCTTCAAAGGCTAGTTAAATTAGTAAGTTAACAAATAATTAAAATAAAAACTCTTTTAGGCTCTGTACTAGCCCTTTCTTCTGACAGAGTATAGACTATTCATTCTGCTAGTGGTAAAAAGGTTGTGCTAAAGCTAAGCCGATTTAATCCTTACTAAGACGAAGATTTAATGCTTAGAAATTTTAGAAGTTCTAGTGTTATAAATGCTAATTAAAACTCATAAAGTTAATACAATTAATTAGAACAAAGAAATTCATTATTAACTTTTCAAGAGTAAGAAAATTTGGCAAAATAAGAAAATAAAAAGTGGAGAGTATTTATAAAGTAGCTTAAGTATACAAAAAACAAAGTGCTTAAGCACGAATACGAGCTAAATGACTCAGTTTTTAGAAAGAAGCTGATGCATGAAATAATTGAGCCTAGAAGAATTATTCTACAAAGAGTATAAAAATTTTTTAATAGAGAATACACCTTAATTACAGTTTTTAGAGATGTTTTAAAAAACATTTTTGTGATACAGATTTACATTCCAAAAACATGTAGAACAATTTTTGTTTAATTTGATATGGAAAACTTGAAGCAAATAAATGCTTAAATTATAAATTAGTGGATTTAGCAAAAGCTTTTGTTTTTCCATAATAATACTTAAATTCCTCCATTCTCTTCCTTTTTATATTTTTCTTAAAGGATTTAAGCAACAACAAAAGAAAAGCTACAATAAATATTTGAAAATGAAAGTAAAATTATTATTCTTTTTTGATAGACTTTTTATTTTTTTTTAATATTTTTTATTTAGAAAATGAAAAGGAACAAATGTCTATTTTTAAGTGGTAAAAAATAAATAGTGATATTCAGAAAAAGAATGACCATAAAGTCCCGTTTTTTAATATAGGAACTCCGAAGTCAATAATTAAAAAAAAGATATATGACGAGTTAAGATTAAGCAACTTTAGCAATTCCGTATAAAGATCTCAAAATATAAATAAAAGAGTAGATTTTGAAGATTTTTAGGGTTTTTCTTCATAAGCTAAAAATGTAATTGAAAGCAATAAAAGGTAGCAATTCAAAAGATCTGTGCATAAAAAAACATGCATCATACCGAATTAAGTTAATCAGTAATTAAAATATCCATTAAATACCAAAAATAATTATTAAATGAATTATTAATAGAATTTAGTAAAGAAGATATTTATAGGACATTATTAATGACAAACTATAAATTATAAGATGCAGACCATAGAATCTTATTAACTATTTTAAATCAGAAGATATAGTTAAAAATGAGAAATTTTAAGTATTTAAGTAAATAACTCAAAGCCTTGACTAAGGATTTCAATAAAGAATAGAAAATATTTAGCTTTCTAATATGACACGTTTTATTGAGATGTAAATATGGGACAATATTATTGAGGACATTTATTTCTTGCCTAATGATCTTAAGAAGGACATCATGATAATGATTGGAGACTTTAGCTTTCAAGTCTAAGAATTACTGCATTATGAAAATTTAAATGTAGATGGAAAGTAGGACATATAGATTGACATTTGTATTAATTTGATATAGGTAAATTTTTATTTAATTTGTCTTACATTATTAATTAATTTTATTTCCTTAGTCGATTTAGAAACCTTAATCTGTTAAATTAAGAAGACAATAACAAGAACACAATGCAAATCTCTAGCATATGTCTCCCACGTAATACTTTTAAAATTAATTTAATACTAATTAGTTATTAATAAATATAGATTTAGCTTACTGAGATAGCAGTTACTTGATTTTTATTTTCTTCCTGTTGAATTTATACCTTATAATGCAACTACTGATTTTAACTTATAAATTAACAATTTTTAAATTAATGAAAAAAAACCATAATAAATAACTATAAATTTAAGAGAAATTATTAATGTGTTCATAGCTGATGGGTTTTACAAATCTTAAAGCAATTACTAAAACTCTAGAATGAATTATTCAGAACTAAAGCAGCTTTGCTATTTTATTCTTTACAAAATTAAAAAATAAAACTTTCTTGACTTAATTGAAAAGAAAAAAATTAAGAAACCAAAGCAGTAAAATAATCTTATTATTAAAGGGTTAACTTTGATGGATAAAACCTCAATAATAGAAACTCCTAAGAAAATAGTAACTGATAATTTTGCAAACAGTGACTGTTCATCAAAAACAGATAGAAAGAGAACTTTTTCATTTAGTTTATATCCTATAAAGTCCCCTGTAAAAATAGATAGTTTTTAAAGCTAAGATTCAAGTTATTGCAATGATGAAGAAAATAGAGAGGAAGCATCATCAATCTCAATAAAACAATTTGATTTAAACCAGAGCTTTTTAATGTCGAGAAATACTTCAAGATTATCAGTTAATTTTCTCAAGCCAATATAACTTTTCTTAGAAAATTCTTTCTATAAAAAAACAATATTAATTGATCTTAAAAATAAAATATTTTTAAGCACTACATTTTACACACTATAAAATTCTTTCAAATTTGTTGTTTTCAGACCAGGATGTTAAGAAAAGCTTGAAAAAATAAAAAATATAATGTATTTTAATGATCGATTATTTTCATTTAAATACTTCTTTCAATTAAAAGATTATTAAGAAATATTAAGATAAGCCACTCTATACTCTTCTGAGAAGCTCTTAAAGGAGTATAAAAATTAAACAAAAAACTAAAAAAGTTATTATTGAAAATTAAAATATCATTTAAAGACAGACATACAATCAAACTATTTATTTATTTATTTATTTATTTATTTATATTATTTCAAAGTTTTTACATTTTATTAAATTATTTTTTAAATAAATTAATCCTTCTTTCTTTTTTTACAATATAAAATTTTAAATAATTTTAAAAATTAATAATTGACAAATCAATTAACTTGCAATTCTTCTTACTTTTGTTAAATATTTTATTTATTCTTGAAAGAATTCATAATTAATAACTAGTTATGATCTTAATTCTTATTATTAGTATATTCTTGCTTAAAATTAGTTTCCTCTGTTTGTTTTGTATTTTTAACTTTTTTTTATTATCCAAATTTATGAAATTTTTAATTATTTTTGTTAACTTTCCCTTAAAAACTTTAATTTAAATGTTGTTGTTTTGGCTGTTAATTTGGCACAAAAGCAGTTTTTACTTTTCTAACTGGGTCAAGTCTTTATTTATTATCTAACCCAGCATTAAATTTATTATCTTAATTGTTTTAAGTTACTATATTTGAGTTTTAGTTTTAAATAATATTTTGATCAATTTTTGGATAATTTTATTTCTTTATTTCATCTTGTTTATCAGAAATTGTAGTATTACTTTATTTTTAGCCAATATTTGCGCTTTTTCCTTAAATATAATCCATGAAGTCAATATGCTACTGGTATTAATTTAAAAGTTATCCACTTTTAGGAGATCCAGTCTAAATCATAACTTTTGAATCAATAGTATTTTTGATTTTCTAACTACTATCTAAATGGTAAATATGTGATGAATCTTTTCTAGTAAGAGAATTTTAGCTAAATTTTTTTTAAATAAGGGCCTACTAATCTAAAGATTATATTTAATTTATTATTAAAGAAGGTATATTATTTTAAGCTTAATTTTAAGCATTTAGCCAAGGAGACTATTACCTAGGTGAGGGAGATTACTTCTTCTTTACATACTTTTAAATATATGAAGGTGTAGTAGTTATATTTTCTTAGCTACTTGGACTTTTACCAAACTAATTTCCATTAAATTTTAATTAAAACACTTTCATTTTATCACTTGAGGTGCTATTGGCATTCACTTAATTCACCTTTATGTCATTTTTACTTTGAATTTGTGTAATTTCGAATTATTTATTTTAAATATTATTATTACTATTTTCATTTTCATATTATTTACTTAAAAGAATATTTGATGATTAGTCAATATTTTAATTTTAAGGTATAATTTATTATTGTTAACTATAATTCTAATATTAATTCTATATTTATTATATATTTTATTGCTATAAATTTAACTATTAAGGGTACAGAGAAGGTGAAATAATGTTTAATAGTTAATCTACTTATTAAAAATTACCTGGGCTATGGATATTAGTGCTTGGAATATTAGTTTATTTTTAATTTTAGATATTTTTCTGTATCAAAGATATATTTTTTATCAAAAGTATCTAGTTTTATTAATTTTAGTGCTCTGAATCCCCTACTAAATTTTAGATACTTCTATTTCCGTCATAATCATGTTATCCCTCCTCTCTTTCTCTTTTCTTTTATCTTAGCCTTATTGGAGGAATAGCTCTATGTTTAGGGAATCTTAAAGGAGATAGAGATTTTGACTTAATCTAAGTATTGAAATTAAAATCTAGTACTCTGCTATTAATTATAGAATCAGCTTCACTCTCAAATTCTTCTTAATTGTAAATTTTTTTGCTGTGAATTGGTGCTACCTTTGAAGATAATGTATTTATTACTTGAATAGGTTTATTGATAAAGCTATTTGACTAGTTTTCTTCATTATCTTCTTTTTCTAAATCTAGATAACCTAAAATTTCTTTTGGCTCAACAACATTCTTAAGGTTTGAGTTATCTTAACTTATTTAGTTATATTGGATAGAAGTGTTTTAATTGTTGAAAAAGTTAGCAGCTTTATTTTCTTCTAACTAGGAATGAGAATCTTTATAATAATTTGTATGATATTTATATTGCTAAAATGACTTTAATCTTTACTAGGATTTAAATTATTGTAAAACTTATTAATTATTTTGAATGTGTAAATTTATGTTAAAGCTGCTTGGAAATAATATTTATTAGTTATTCTATGTCGGAAATTTTAGATTAGTATTTAGGTCTATTTTTTTCAATTTTTATTGTAATTATTATTATTGAGTATTTGTTTCTTACTAATTCTACTCTTGATCTTTTCTCAAAGAATTAAACGAATTTCCATATATTTTCATTTCTGCTAAAGGCTGTAAGGAGTTGGGAGAATTGGAAAGATGAAAATTGTAAAATGCGTTTTAGTTTATTTAAGAGTCTCCATATTTCTTCATCAATTAATTTTAATAAATGTCTTTTGCAATTTCTTTGTTTTCCCATTTTAAAAATTATTCCTCAGTAACTCTTAGCATTTAACTGTTTTTTTCTTCTTCCTCTTCACTAGTATTACCTTCTTCAATATTTCTCTCTCCATTATTTTTTTGATTAATACCATCGATAAATCTACCCTCACTATATTTTAAATATATTATACTTTAATTTTTATGGAAAATAGAAGATGTTTTATTTGCCTTACAGTTAAACTTTCTAAGAGTATTCCATTTATTTTGGTGAAAATTTTTAGCTTGAAACAACTAATTAGTTATTAGTTTCTTTTTAATTTCGAAGATTAGATGTCTACTAGTTAGAAGAAGAATTAGAGGTGCCACCAAAATGAAAATTAGATCTATTTCCAAACTTTTATGGAAAATTAGGTTAATTTCTGTAAGGGAAAGGACGATTATTTTGGTAGAATTATTTACTTTTAAACGCGCTTAAAGTATTACCAAAACTCCTTACATCTGTAAAACCTGGGTCTTCTTAATCCCATGAATCGAGACTCTTTTTTTTAGAAACGTTCCTTGTTTTGAGTATTGATTAATTATTAGCAGAAGCTGTTTCAGCATCTAGTAATGCAAATTTTGGGTTAAGTTCTTCATCCTCTCCTTGCATGTCTATGAATTTTTATCCATCTAAGATTTTACTTCTACTTTTATTTGATTAGTCTTGCGTTTGCGATTACTTTTATGACTTAAAGCTAGCTTGCCTCTCATTTTCTGAATTCATATTATTTTTTACAGCATATGAGAATCTCTTATTTACATCTTAGCTATGATTTTTAGGATTATCTGAGAGTGCATTTTTTTCTTGATTTGCTAGATAATTTAACATAGATTTAATTTCATAACTTTGTCAATCAATATTTTAATTATTTGTTAAATAACTTATCAACCAATTATAAAATTTTTTATTTTTGATAAGAGTATATTAACTGTAATTCCTAATAATAACAATTAATTTATTCATTAAAATAATAATTATAAAATAAATTATTTAGAACATTTTCTTGCATTAAAAACATTTTATTTAAAATGAAACATATTTAAAATTTTTTGACATTTCTATTAATATTGCTCAAATAAATTAAAACATGTAAAAGATAAATCATAAATAAATAAATATTTTTTTATTTATTATTTTTATATTGTTTTTAATTTAAAAAAATAATGATCAAATTACAAAATTTTGAGTTTAAAAGTAAAATATCAATTTTAATTGATAAAATTATTTTGCGAAGAATTCTTCAATTAAATTTTGCAAATCTAATTTATTTTATTTGATTCTAACATATCTTAATAAAATTTGTTTTCTATTAAATAAATTTTAAACCTATTCAAAATTTTTAAATATGCAATCAAAATATTTTCAAAGAATAACTATTAGAAAAAAATAAATTCTCAATGGTCGATTGATTTCTTTCTTTGTAAAAAATAGTACTTAAAATTAGTACAACCAACAGAAACTACATAAAAAATGGCTGATTTTATATATTTAATAATTTAGAGATTTGTTGCTACTTTGAAGTGTATTTATATTGCTAGCGCTTTCTCAATTTTAAGCTTTTAAGATAAATAAATACAGCTAAATTTTTATGTAGTACAAGTTTGATATATGATTTATTAGCTATTTTAGAAAAATCAAGCCCAGAAGTAACCTCTGAATTAGTAAGCTCTGGAATTGTATCCACCATATTTGAAGTGATTGTAGTAAACACCATCTCTAACAGCGTACATTTCCCATCTTAAGGAGAGAAGGTTTCTGTAGTAGGCCTTTGTCTTGAAATACTTGAAGGGAAGGATAAGTAAACCACCAGTGAAGACCATATAATATCTAACCATCTTATCGGGTCTCTTGTAACCAACTCTTCTTTACATGAAGTTAATGAAGTTAGAAACATCATAAGCCATCTAGGGAGTAGAAGCGGGGGTACCATCATCGTAATCAACCAAACCATCAACTAATTATCTGGGCATACCTTTTTTTATAATTTATATGTTAATAAACCTTTTACATTTAAATGTTATATTTTATTGAATCTTTTTTTTATATTTTTTGAATAGGCAGGCAATATATATTTAAAAATAGTGCAATTTGAAAATTATTCAAGTCTATCTGTTTGTGATGGATGAATAACTTCTGGTAAGATATTTAAATGAATGAATTAATGAAAATTTGTTTTATAGATCTTAAGTTTATTTGCAAATATATTTATTTCTTAGAGAATTGAATTAAATATCTTTATTATTTTAGTTAGAAATTTAATAAAATTTAATTATGGTCTAAAAGATATTTTTATAATTTTGATGAAGGAAACTCATTTATTTCACATAGAAGCTTCAAATAATGATCCTATGCAGCTTATTCATGACTAAAATCGGTCTTAACAAAATTTTATTGAAAAGCTGTTAATGCAAATCGTATTTTATTGGCATATTTTTGAATCAATCTTACTTTAATATTAATATTGTATCAATAATTCTAATTTCATAACTATAAAATTTGAATTTATGCTTAAAAATATTTTGCTAAATTATATTAAAAATGTCTATAAAGCCTTAATTTTTTTATATTTTTCAGTTCTCTTAACTCTCCATTTCTTATGATTTATTTGTTTTTGTAAAAATAACCACTTTGCTAAAAATTTTATATCTTTCTTTCTTTCTTTCAAACAATTTCTAAAATATTTAATCTTAGAGTAAAAAATAAAAAATTTGTTCAAGTTCTGATGCGTTTGGCTATATTTCAATCTCAATATATCTGTTTGTGCTTATCATTTCATTTTTTAAATTAGAAATTATAATTTAAAATTATATTTTTTCTTCCTGCTAAGAATATTCTTTGAAAATAGTAAAAGATTTGCTTACCAATAATCATGTGATCGAAGTAAGGATTGAAGTATTTGCCCTTAGGAACATCCATACCGAAAGGAGGAGTGAAGTGATAACCAGTAGAAATGTTATAAATGTAGTTAATACCACCAGGTCTAAGCTTAATCTTAGAGAAATCAGTAGGCCAGACACCACCGTTAGCATTCTTAGCTTGATCCTAAGAGAAGTAAGGAGGATAGATGTGATCGCAAATAACTCTATCTCTCTCATCCCATTCTTGATAGTAATATTGTTTAAAATGTTGATGGGCAGGGTGAATAGTGAAATCGCTAACCATTTGAGCTAATTCTAATTATCTGTAAGCCTTATCCAATAAGTAATCGTACTTCTTGTAAATCATACCATGACAGTTACCGCAATTTCTGGCAAAAACTTGGAAACCTCTTCTGACTGAACCAGAATCGTAGGTACCCAAGAATGAAAATTGGGGCCAATAATTATGACCCTTGTGGGTACCAACTTCGGTAACCAATTCTTCATAACCCTTAATACCCCAGAAAGCACCAATATCATCTCTATAAATGAAATTCTAGACTTCCTTGTTTTGGGAGTTAGCTAAGGACAAACCGATAATACCTGCAGCGACGAAACTCTTCATTTCTTCTTGCTTTTTCTAATTATCTTAATAACTCTTTTTTGACTTTTCGTCTTTATTAAATTATTAATATTTTTTAATTATCTTTTTGTATTTTTATTTCTCTCTCTTTCTTTCTTCCTTGATTTGTTTGATTTCTCTTTCTTTATTACAAGTTTTTATTTCTTCATATCAATTTTCCTTCTTTCCTTTTTAGATTTTTCATGTTTTTTATTCTTGTCTTTGTATTTTATGGGGCATCAATAATCAATTTCTTCTTTATTCCTGCATATCTCAACTACTCGCTTCTCATTTTCCTTAAGATCTTTACAGAATCATTCATTTACATTTAGATTTCATTTAATGTTAATTGGATTATTTTAAAGTGTTATTTATTTATTTATTTGCATTTATTTTAAAATGTTAATTTTTTATATAGTAAAAACAAAAATCTTTATTTATTGATTTCATTTTTAAATGTTTTTTAAAAGATTTATAAATGAATTATTTTAAATATGACAATTAAAAATTTTATTTTTTAAAAAAGCATCTTTATTTCAAATCATATGTTAAACAAACTCTGCCTATCTACCTACATACCAACCTACTCCTGTTTTAAAGCATAAGTTTCAATATTGTGACAAGAATTTTAAATCTTTATAGTTTTCAAAACTCTAAAAAAATTTTAAATGTAAAAAATAATATTTTTTATTTGTAACAAATTGTAAAGTTTTAAGCATAATGATTTATCTTTTATCTCTACTAAATGAAATAATAATAAATTGCATGGCCTAAAATTAAAAATGTATTTATTTACAAATTTAAACTTGATTATATTGCTTTTTTAATTAAAGAAAAAATAAATTTTTGATATCTAATTAGATTATTTTAATTAAAAATAAGTTTTTTGATTGAAAGTCTATTATTTCTTTAAGTTGAAGACTCATAAAAATAGTTTCACATAAAATTTAATATCAAAAATAATAAAATAATTTAACTTAGTTAATAGCTAATTCTAATATATGTGCATTTCACGAACATTCTACGAATAGTTAAAGAAACAAAATTTGCTTGAAAAAAGATTCGAAAACAATCAATTAATGAATGAATGTATGTATTTGTGTATCATTAACTCATTTCCTACATACTCTTAAAATATTAAAAAATTAAGAAAGGTATTGACCATAATTAAAAGAAAAATAAAAGACAAAAAAATTAAGAAGAAATATTTATTTTAAATAAGATTTGTTAACACAAATTAATACAAACAAAATAAAGTAGAGGAAGAAGGATCTATACTAATTTTAACAGAGTAATTATGATTGTATAAAGAGGTTTACTTAGATTATTAGCTGCCAAGAACTGTTAAGCACTTAGATGTTCATTTTCCAGTTCTGCTGAACAACCCCAAGAAAAATTATTTAATTTCACTTCCGAACATATCGTCACAAAGGATTAAATTGCAAAAGATGAACAATATTAGGAATTAGCTTTTAAATTTGAAAGAGAATGGTAGAAAATTCAAAGAGAAACTGAAGATAAGTACATAATTACATAATTTAAAAATAAAAATATTAGAGTTTTATATTAGCAAAATTAAAATAATATTTGCCTTCAATTATAATTTTACTTTACAATCTACAGTATCGAATAATCTGACAAATATCATTTATTTTAACTATACATTTAATTTAAACATAACCTCATTTACTCAAATTTTCTACAAAAAGACAAATCATATTTTAGCTATTGTTAAGTTGTGCATAAATAGATTTTTCAGCACATAAAAATGCTAACAATTAATATTTTTTTATTTATTTATAATATAGATAAAGACAAGCTCTTGATGCTGAATTGACTCCTGCTTAAAAAAAGAGAGTTGAATTTATTGCTGACGCTTTCATTGAACTTAATATTATGGAAATTAGATATCTCAATCATACCCTTAAGGAACGTTTAATTAAGACTACTGGTCTTTCTCCTCTTAAGGTTAATATTGACTGGCCTTCTCTTAAATAGTTAGGTAAATTACTATAAATAAATATATCTATCTATTAATTAATCTTCAATAAATAAGCTTTTAGATTATTTAAATATGCAAATCTTTTTTATAATACATATATAGAAGAATATATATATATTTAATAAAATATATGAAGCTAATTAGTTTTTACTAAAATAAATTGTTTTTCTTACTTTAATTATTTAATTATATTAGAAAACGGTTCCTGGCCTCCTGCTAACCCTAACTGGTTCCTTCAACAAGAAGCTATTGCCAAGTTATGGCCTGCTGGTTAAGCTGGTTTATCATAATTATTCGGTGGTATGATGGGTGGTGGTGCCGCTGGTGGCTCTGGTGCCCCTCAAGCTGCTGCCGCCGCTGCTGCTCCTGCTGCTGAAAAGCCTAAGGAAGAAGCTCCTAAGGAGGTAAATTAAATAAATAAAAAATTTAAATCCTACAGTATATATAACTTTATAAATTAACTTAAAATATAAAAGAAACAAAATTATGATGTCGAATTATCTGCTATTGATGCTGCTTAGAAAATTAAGATTATTAAAGAAGTAAGAACTATCCTTAACTTAGGTTTAAAGGAAGCTAAGGATATGGTCGAAAAGACTCCTTGCATCCTTAAGTCTGCTTGTAAGAAGGCTGAAGCTGAAGAATTAAAAGAAAAATTAGCTGCTATTGGCTGTACAATCAATCTCATTTGAAAAAATTTAGGAATATTTAATCTCTTTTACTGCATTTATTTTATAAAGAATTGTTTAATATGTCTTTGTAGTAGTCGTGAAACCGATCTATTAATGATTTTTATATAATATATTAAGTTATGTAAGATTGATTGATTAATTAATTAGAAAAGAGTTAGTTAGTAAGTAAGTTAGTTAGTTAGTTCATAAGTAAACAAAATACTAAAAATTAAGCAACAAACATATCAAAAGCAACTTAGAAGCAGAATTTGAAACAAACTATTTTAATCATAGAAGTGTATGCAATACACTGAAATACTTTTATCTTCTTTTAAGCTCAATAACAATCAAATAATTTTTTGAACTACACAAACTATTTATACTTGTTTATTCTTGAAAAAAAAAGGTTATTATCTATTCTATCTTCTTTATAATAGAGAATTAACAATCGGGGCGTTTATGGGCCAGGGGGGTAAAAAAGGCATTTTCCTTGCTATTTCAATAAAATCATTTCAAAATTGATTTTGAAATGATTTTATTGAAATAGCAAGGAAAATGCCTTTTTTACCCCCCTGGCCCATAAACGCCCCGATTGTTAATTCTCTTATAATTAGTTAATTATTTCTATGTTAAAGTATTTAATATTTTGTAATCTTTATTCTAATAACATTTATTTTCTCTCTGATTTTCTTAACCTCCAATTAAAAAAATAAATTTAAAGGATTAAATACTTTGGCATAAGTTGAAATTATATTCATAAAGTTTAAAGCAAATTTTTAAGTTTAGGATACAAATTTTATTTGTTTTTATTTATTTTAAATAAAAAAATTTAATTAAAATATTTTTGATGATCCTTTTATGCTTTAAAATAAACATTTAGATTCTATAAATAATTTTCTATCGAAAAACTTATAATCAGCAGATAGATAATGAATGTATTTGATATAATAGTTAGTTATAATTAATAGTTAATTAATCAATCATAATTTTTAAATTTTTAAATAAAAACTTTTTTAGTGCCAGTTCACAAATTAAGATTTATTTATTTATTGACAATCAACTGAAAAAAATTATAAAGCAAACAATAGATATTTATTTTCAAATTCAGAATATAAATAAATTTTTAAGTTCTAAAGTAATGAGAGGCTCTTAAGTATCCCAAGTTTCGAAATAATCGGAAATGAATTAATCATCTAGATCTTCATTCTAAGCTTTTGAAAAGGATTATCCTAGATTTGATAACCTTGATCCTTCTTTAGGTAAACAGAAAACATAATTTCTTATTTCAGGAAAAACATTTCAAAGATATATTTATCGATTTATTTAACAGCATAAATTAACTAATTTTTATAAATTAGATGGAGGATTTAAAATTATTTATATTCAAGAACTTCCAATAACTATAAAGTAATATATAGAAATAAGATAATGCGTGTTTAAATAGATTTTTATATTTAGATTATTAGAAGGTATTGAATCATTTAATGAAACAACAAATGTAGAGCCTATTTTAATAAAAATGATGTAAAAAGTAAAGCTAATATTTAAGAAGCCAAGAAATTAATCTATAAAATTTATAATAGACTACTGGAAAAGAGAAAAGACTTGATACCATAAAAATTGAACTTACAACTGAAGCTGATCTTTTTTTTAACTTTGTATTCGAGTAAAGCAGTTTTGTTTTAATTTCTTTATATTAAATCTTTTAGATTTTTTAAGAGTTAAAATAAATCTTATTATCACTAAATAATAAAGAGCTAATGATGTAACATTCTTAAAAATGAAGAAAAAGTAAAAATGGAATATTGATTTTGATTAATTGTCTTCTTCTATAATTAAAATGCTCACAAGCTGTTAGAAAGATCCTCATAGGTACTTAAATTATTATTTCATACATTCAAATATTAATAAATAAATCAAAAAATTAGCTTTTAATTAGCTTTCGAAATCAACAAAGATCTAAATGCTGAATTAGTCATTTGCTAAACTACAGAATTCAAGCAAGTTGAGTTGATGAAATTAGATTTTATGACACAAAGTTAAGAAAATATTAGATAGAGTGTTGTTTTCCGTTTTAATTTAGTTAAAGCCAAGGTAATGATAGCAACATAAAGAGTTAATGATACAATTACAGTTTTGCAAGAAAATAATCCAATTTTATGTGATTTTATAAAAAAAAATACAAGCTTGGTTAGACCAAAATAATATTCACCGAATTATTGAAATTCACCAGCATAAAAAATATATGTTTTCAATTAATGTTTGTATATTAAATAAAATTAAAATTTATCTACCAGTTCATAAAAAAGTTAAATAAGTCCTTTAATATTTTTAGAGATAGTTTATAGAAAAGTACAAATATAGTAGACCCGAAAAAATAAATATTTATAATTTATTTATTTATGAGTATTAATAGTAATATAATAAATTATTTGTTTAAATTTCTAAAATAATCAATTTTAAAAATATATTTAGAATCATAAAAATATTAATTTATAGTTAAAATTATGCATAAATTAAATTGAAAAATGATAAAAACTAAAATTATTTGGAAATGATTGTAATTATATAGAAATTTTAATTTATTGCCAAAAATAAAAAGAATATTTTATTCAAAAATATTTCATAAGAAATAGATAAATTCTTCAATTAATTCTGAATTATTTTTTTCTATTAATATCAAATGTCTTGCTTATATAAATACTTTTAATTGAGTAAATTTAGAATAGATCCTTCTCAAAGTTTCTTTTCTATTTTATTAAGCTACATGAACACATACATTTAATAACACATTTATTATACATATATGTTAATCTAAACGTAGTAAAATTAATTAATATACTGGTTTACAAATAATATATTTCTAATTTTTGATCAAATTATAATCAATAATATAGAACTATTTTTAAAAACTAAAGAAATAATGCTACAAGAATTAAGTGAAGATTTAAAAAAAGAATTAGGGTAGAGCATAACCTCTAAGTTAAAAAATTATGGATAATTTGAGTTTGAGGGAAGCACTATAATAGTTGAGTATTTATAACATTTGTGGTTTCAAGCTAAACTTATGATAGTTCATTAGTTTTACATTCCAAAATCTTCCTAATTATATTCAATCAAAGAATCTCCAAACTTTTAGGAATTTCTTTCGCAGATTCAAGCATTTAAGGTGACTTAAGATAATGATTCTTTTACTGTTTCATTTTTAATCGAATTAAAACATGATTACAGCTTGAAAAAGGATACTTTTGTTGAGCAGCTGACTAAATTAAAGATTGAAAAACCTCATGAACTTAGAAGTGCTATTTCTAATTCTATGAATAAATATTAAAAACATTATGCTAACATTATTAATAATATGCCATTTAACAACAAATTAGATGATGTATTTAAAAGTGATTAAGCTGTTATATTTTTGGCTAAAAACTGTTTGTAAGTCCATGAAAATTAGTTACTTCCTCATGCTAAAATTGAGAAAAAAGTCTACTTTAACTAGCCAAAATGTGAAGAAAAAATAGAATATAATTAAGTTAGTGGCAATATTTTTTCTCAACTTTAAAAACAAAATAAGATTGAGTAATTTAAATTGGAATCTATTATTAACTCAATTTAAGCATATAAATACTTTACCTTTTACTAGCATAAATTCCTTTTGGTTTACTATACTACTTTCTTGTAAGTCATTGAGAAATAGGAGGAGGGCATTTTAATACATTAGATCGATGATACAATTATATAGTAAAGTGCATTATTTGCAGTCACATAGTAGGATGAGCATATCTTAATTAATATTGAAGGTGATAGTATGTAATCATATCCATAAATGACTCATCTACTTGGAAAATAATTAGTAAATATAATGGAAACAACACAGTTTATGAATATTTTTACTGAAACAATTGTTCATCAAAACATTAATTCAAATATAGAAGTATAGGAGCTATCTAATAAATTTAAATTGGGCTCTGTCCTCTTATATAGGAATAAATTTTTTACTAATTAAGCCTGTGTTTACTTGGGAAGTGATTTAGTTATTACAGTCATTTTGGATCATGAAGATTAAGTTTAAAAAGATAATTAAAATTAATAACCTATCTCTGATGAACAACAATAAATGAAAGAGAATTAAATGGAAACAGAAGAGTAAAAACAAAATAATGAAGAATAATAAATTTTCTAATTTTCTAGATTTGATCAATTTATTTAAGGTCAAAAAACAATTGAAGAAATAAGATTTAAATTTTAACCATATGATAAATAAGAACTTTTCGAAAAGGCCTTATAAATGAATAAATCATCCTTTTTGTTTAACATTTATAAATAAAATAGCGAACATTTAGCTTTTGAACTTGCTTCTGGTTTTAGGTTTTCACCATAACAGAAACACATTATTAACAAAATAGGAGAAGTTGTTTAAAATATATTTTTTTCTAAGTGATTTCAAAAAATAAAAAGATTTGAAATTGAAAAAAACTAAAATATAATATGAATACCATTTATTCTCAAATAATATAATCAATCTACCAAATAAAAAGTATAAATTTCTAACAATAAATAAATTATATTTCATTCAAAAAGCTAAAATTATTGTTTTTATAAAAAAAATTTATTATCTTTTTCATCTAAATTAAATATTAATAAACATAAAATTAACTAATTGAAATTATTTTAATTTATGTTTGTTTTTAACATATTTCTGATATTTAAATAAAATGAAAAAATAATTAAGTAAAATATTTTCTATTAATTTGATATCTGCATTTTCAACTATGTTTTATTTCTATTTCTGTAGTAAATAATAATATATTTATTGAATGATTGGTTGTATCTGAGATCATTCATTAAATTAATTTCTCTAAATAATTAATAGCCTTAAAAATAATTATTATTAAATTTAATAACATTTAAAATACTTCTGATGCTTGTTTATGTAAATTATTTAATTAATTTTTATAAGTATTAAAAATGTAATCAGCATAAATAGAAATAATAAAGAGTAAATATCCAGTTTTAAAAGATATAAATAAATTTCATCTGTCAAAAAGTAAAATAAGACCTAATTTTATACTTCATGATAGCATTTCATATAAATCTGAGTGCGCTCTAGGTGGAAAAACTATGATTAAGTATAGAAGATAGTCTGAGATAGAAAGGGATATCAAAAAATAAAATGAAAAGATGGTTGATTAATTAGAACAGTAAAAGAGAAATCTAACATAACATATAATTAGAAAGTAATTTAATAAAGAAAGCAACAACTTTGCACCTCCTATTGATTTTAATGCTTTCTTGGAAAACTAAGATTAAAAATAATAATCAGGCTAAGATACAAATACTTATAATGTTTTTGGCAATTAAATTGGTAATGATGCTTTAGAAAAATAATCCATAGATTTTAATTCTAGGCAATGCCTCGACTAACAACCTTAATCAGAAGTTTAACTTCCTTTTTTAAAAAAGAGATTTAATACTCCTCCACTAAGTAAAACTAGATTGACTTAGAGGCAGATTTAAAGCAAAAATTACTTGGAAGCAGAAAAAGTTATTGATATTTATGCAAAAGATAATTATAAGCCATATAATTTAGCTTCAAATTATAATATAAAATCATTAAATAATATACTTCACAGTTAATCAGATTTTGATTAATCAATTCTTCCTACTCAACCAAGAATATTGACAGAATAAAGTGAATCATAAAATAAATCAATTTTAAACTCTTAATCTATTCTAAAGACTACTACTAAAAGAATTAAAAGAGCTGTCAGTGAATAAGGGATAAAACCATATAAAAAGAAAACAGACTGCTTTCCTGAAAATGAATTTTATATGTATCTTAACTAGGTTACTTAAAACCGCTAAAAAAACAATATAGTTGAAAATTCTATAAGCAAATTATTAAGTACACTTAAAGATGAATCTACATCTGAGCCTAAAAAGGTATAATAAAAATTACATTTTCAATCTTGATATATAAACAAACAGTTTATTTATTTATTAATTTACTTATTTTATTACTTTAGATTTAGCCACAGTCAAATGCACTGACAAAAAGGAATAGGAGAAGCTTAACAGATTAAAAAAGAGTGCAGTTTGACGAAGATGGAAAAGAAAAGTATACAAAACCTCATTAGTAGCTTACAAAAATTTAAGAATTGAGCAAAAAAACTTTTTCAAAAGATAATATAAAATTATTTATCAGAAAAATTTTGTTAAATATTTAAGATTATTTAAAAACTCATGATAATATGGAGATTCCTAAGCATAAATTAAATTATTTAGGAGCTGATAGACCTAAAATTTCTTAAGTTATTTTTAGTAAAAGTGGTTTTCTTCGAAAGGATTTGACAGAAGATGATTTTTTGCCAGTCATATATCCTAAAGATTTTGTTAGATCTGAGGAGGATAGAAAAAATGCACCTGTAAATATTATATTAAATTATCGAATTTTTCTGAATTAGATTTAACTAACATTTATTTAAAAATAAAATAAATAATTTAGTCAGCAGATATAAATTTTGACTTGAACACATACTTTGATTTTATGTACTTCAACTCACGTCTTTAAGAATATATTACAAAGAAAACTACAAAAGCTTTGGTAAAACTGGAAAAAGAGTTAACAAAATAAACAGATTTTATTCAAAATAAAAGAGAATAGATCATAAAAGATCATTAACAAAAAACGATAGATAAATTTAAAGTTAGGGGCTAATCACAGGAAATACATGCATAAGTATTATAAAGTGAAGACAATTAAAGCTCCTACAAAAATTATAATTTAAAAAGATAGCAATATTTAATGGATTACATGAATTTAATAGAAAAGAAATTAGGTAACATGGATTTAATATCCTAACTTACAAGAAATACTTACAACTAGGTTACAGATGTTATAAAAGAAGTAAAAAAGCATTCAAATGAAATTTGAAAGATGAATGAGTTTTGAAACTTATTTAAAAAATGGAGTGTTTTTTTATTAATATAATAATTAATTATAAAACTCTAGAAAATAAAATAATTTATTTCAGCTTATTTTATTTTATAATTTCATTTTTCAATTAATTAATTTTTTTAGTTCATTTTTATTTATGCAAAATTCTAATTTAAAGTATTAAATTTAAAATTTTGAAATATTTATTTTAAAGAAAAAACAATTTTGATATTTTTTTAATTTGATGAAAATTTAAAAAAATTATTGATAATTCTAAGTAAATTCTTGATTGTAAAATAGCTACAAACAAATAAATGAATTATTTGCCTGCTGCTATTCTAATTACTGTCAATGAAACATTTATAATATTAAAAAAAAAGAGTTATATTAATATTAAGCAAGCAAATATCTTTTAGTTTTAAAACTCAATAAGTGCTGATTCAAAAGCTATTTTCATTGATTTCAATTACACTTATAAATACATAATAGATCACATTAAATATAAAACAGAAAATCAAAAGCTCTTAAAAAAACAAAACAAAAATAAGACAATAAGCATTATTTTTTATTATTACAAGCATTGATAAAGGAATTTGTAGTATTTCAAAGGTTTAAGTTCATAAAGTTAAAAAACAGAAATGAAAAAGAATGCAACTCAGTAGCAACTGCGAGGGGCTTCTGAAACTAGAAAAAATACAAAACCTGCCCATTATAATAGTAGTTAGAGTTTATCTATTTACCCAACTTAGAGTCAATAATAGCTGCAACAATAGTAGAAAACTCTTTCAGGAAGCATTAGCCAGTAAATGTGGATGTCTAAATCAGACTCTGTTTAGGGAGAATTTTTTTTTGATAACTAGAATTATTAAGCAGGGCAATAACAAAAAGCATAAGATAAAAATTTGAGTATTCCCATGAAAAAATTTTTTGGCCATGCTCCCTAATATAGGAATGCTAATTAAAGCCAATCTTAAACCAGTATAAATGCAAAAATTTAAAATGTATAATAGAAGTTTTGGTAGGATGTAAGTAAGAGCGATAAATCTTTAATGCGTTTAGAGTCGGGCAAATCTAGACCTGTAACTGCAGGTTAATTCAAGCCATTAACACGTGCATTTTCAATGCCAAAATTCAAAAATGGTAAACACATTTATAAATATACATAGTATTGAAGTTCTAAATTATGAGATGGACTATTAAATATTTTTAAAAACTTAAATTATATTTAAAAAATTAATAACTCAAATAAGAAAAACATTATGAAAACTAATCGAGCTCTATATTAATTTAAATATTTTCTATTATTATTTTAATAAATAATATAATTTTTTAATTATAGAAATGCTTCAAAATCATAACCTATAATCAATAAAGCAAGAAGAAATAGATGAGAGAGAGTTTCCTCAATTTTAAGAAAATATAGCATATGAAGGATAAATATAAAATGCTGTTTAAAATTTGAATAGTTAGGTTAATTTTTAAAGGTAAAGATTTATTTTAAATTTAAATTTTAAGATAATTACTACTAAAATGAATGTAGAAGGAGAGTTTAATAATAAATAGATAACTGGTTTTAAAACAAATTTAAATTTTAAATATAGTTTAAAATATTTTTTAATAATAATTTATATTTTTATAGAATAGTAAATATTCATTAATAGCCCTTTTAGTTTTTAAGTCATGTGGGAGGAAAATATACAAGCATTAAAAATATTTCAAGTGAAGAAGCTAACAATATAATCACAAAGGACCTTTTTCCTACGAAGATCGTTCCTGTTTAGCAGATGAATCAATATGAATAGCTTCAAATGTTTAAAAAAATAGATATTGACAGGAATATTAATGATTAAATATCTAAGCATGCAAAAGTTCCTACAATTATACGTCCTAGTACAGCAATATAATCTGCTCATAGCTAAGCAAAATCTACCAGTTAATCTCATGCTGATTAAATACCTAGTGCTGTATTGTCAGGTAGACTTTCAAGCTCCAAAGGGAGAACATAGTCTTAAGCCACTTTGTCTGCAAAGCAATAAACATAGGTTTAAGGTCTTCCACAAGCATAACAAAATTTTGGAAAAAGTAGGAATATTTAAACAGCAACTGCTAATATGAAAGCACCTGGTTAGAAGCTTGAACATTCTTAATCTTAAAATACACTATCTTAAAAGAATTCATTACCTTCCTCTGCTAATTAGTAAAGGTATACATTTTTTAATTTAATAGAAACATTCTTATCAAAATAAATGATATAGGTTACTTAGTGGAAAGTAATAGAGAATATAATCAGCAAAACCTGAGTTAATGAGAAGATTGTAAGATAAGAATAAAGTAATTGTTGAAGAAATGAATTAAGTAGATTAGGAGTTAGATATTTAAGAGGATGTCGTTGGTGATGATGAATTTTATAATCGTGCTGAAAATATTAAAGGTAAAATAGATGGAAAGATGCTATTAGACAATCGTCCTAAATCAAGTCTAGCAGGAAAGAGGCCAGTTAGTGGAAAAGTAGCTGGAGCAGAATCTTTTTTTAAAGAGTTTAGAAAATATACTTCATTTAATGCTTTAGATACTCCATATGAAGAATTATTTGATAGAAACGAACGTACTATTACAGCTACATTTGCTAAGTTTGGCGATCTGGGATATTATTCTCCAGTACAAAGAATAGGAAGCTATATGCAATATTCTGCCAAGCTTAAAACTGAGCATCTGCTTGAAATCGTTTCCCTTCAGTAAACAAGTACAAATATAGAAAAGCCTGAATGTGAAATTCCTATTTAATTAGCTATTATTGATGAGTTAAACCCTTATTAAAAGAAATCTAAAACTGGTATTTCAACAACTTTTACTCCTGAAGATATGAAAAGAGAGCCTATATCATTAAGTTTGTTCCCTGAATATTTCCCAGAAACTGACGAAAATTAAACTCCATAAGATTCTGCTAATGAGTTGTTTTATGAAATGCTTTAAGAAATGGGAGGAACTTATGATCCTTTTAGTCTTGGAATTAAAAAATATCATTATATTGATCCAGTTTTATGGCCTTAAAGTATAGCAAATTTAGTAGATTCATCTGTTAAAAGATATAATCACTATATTGAATCTGATATTATTAGAGCAGATGAAATACCTAAATTTAGAAAAAATTGGATGGTCAATGCTTTTAATCTAATACCATAAGAGCTCTTGAAAAATGAGTTTACATCAAGATAAGTAAAAATTATTTTTAATCATAGCAATTTTTAAAAATGTATTTCAAAAATTAATTTAGGTTTTTTAAGAAATATTTGAAAATTTCAAAACAGCTATGAAAACAGCTATGCTCGATTATATTTTAAGATCTCCTCAAGAAAGAGCTAGATTACATATACAGCTTGTTCCTAGAAAAGTATTATGCAGTGGTGAGCGTATTGCTAGAGAAGGTGGTTTTAATATTAATCTTTACTAAGATTGGCATAATTTTGTAGAATTTGGAAGAGAGTTTTGTCGTGGAAATTTAGTTTTAATGAATATAATTAATAGTTCCTTACAAAGTTGGTCTTATGAGTTTTCTTCATTGAGCTTATTTGAGTATGAAGCTTTCAAAAGAGTTAGCACATTAGGATATACATATAGTATTGAATAATTTACAAAATTGTAACAAGTTTATCGTATGAATGTTATTTCTTTGATGAAAAATATATGGCATAGAGGTGCAATCACTATTATAAAAAAATTTAAATATCTAAGAAGAGTTGATACATCCTATGGAAAATGGACATTAGGAGGTAATTAATAGTATTTATCTTTTTTAAATTTACATTTTATTTGTTAAAAATTAGGGTTTAAGAAGCATATTAAAGAAACCAAATTTGCCCTCAAAAATGATAGAATTTAGTAAAGATTAATGAATACTGGCAATATTGAAGAAATAGCAGAAGAAGAGCAATACGAAGAAGATAGTAGATAAAGTCATAATAGAAGGTCAATAAGAAATCCTTTAGGTGAGAGCAATAGAATACCTGAAGCTAGTGAAGGTTCTCCTTCAAACTAATATTATGGCTAATTTGATGATAACCATCATATGTATGATTATGGTGAAGAATATGACGAATTTGACTACCTAAATGAAAGTTTGGCATACTTAATTGATATAGATAATGAAATTAACACTCCTGAAAATGTTTACTTTTAAATGCTTAAGTATAAAATTGAAAGAGAAGTATAAATATTAGATTAAAAAGGAGGTTATACTAATAGGCTAGATTACTAAGCTGAAATGAATCAATAAATGCAAGGAAGCTAAAATGAATTTGATTTCTATGATGACATTGAGTTTGAAGATTTAAAAGATATAAGAGACAATAGCGCTTATCGTAAAATAGCATAAAAAACAATGGAGGATGAATAGGTATGGAGAGAAGAAAATGGATGGTCTCTTTACACAAAAGAATATAAATCTAGAATTTTAGATAATGTTGGTATTCTGATGGGCTTATAACTGCGTAAAATTATAGAAGAATCCTTTGCTTATTTAGAGAAAAAAATTATCAGTTACCCAACCTACCGCCGCTGGAAAGCCATATAAGCAAAAAAGAAGGAAGTAGGGTCTTTAGATTTTATAGAAGATAATATCTAATCTAATTGCGAGATTGACGAAGATGATGAAGAATAAGAGGCTTCAAAAAGCGGGCTTGGTTTGGGAAGCAATGCTCCTTCAAATGACAAAAGCCCTTATGATCTAAACGGGCTTCTTCCTAATTAAAATTTAAAATCCAAATCTAGACTATTTATTTTGAATTAAAGCATAAATAATGTTAGTGCAAGTGCAGCTTAAAATTCTAAATTAGATACCAGCAAGCGTACATCATAAATGAGACTACCTTCTAATAATTAATTAGGAAGTAACTAAACAGCTAGGCCTCTCAGCTCAAATAGATCAAGGGCTGGATTAAATGCTGATAAAAGCAGCTTAGCTTACATACCATAAGATGGGATTAATACAGAGTCTAATATTAAGACTCTGATATAACTTTACCCTAAAGATAGCTAAATCTTTTATAAAAAGGCAGATTTTATGAAAGATCAAGATGACTTATCACCAATATTATCTTTATCTTTGTATGTTGAAGAAGAGTAAATTAAATTTAGAGAAAATTCTGATTTAATCAAAAACGAATTCCGTAAATTATTTAATGATATGGTAACTTCATTTGACTAGTTTTTGCATCCTCGTTATTGTAAAGTCAAATTAGAAAAAAATTAGCAAACTCTATAGCGCGATACTTCATATATTTCAGAAGGCGCTTAAGGTAAAGACGAAAGGTCAAAATCTAATTAAAAGGGAGTAACTCGTAAATAATTTATGTCTAATGCACCTAAAAGCTTAAAGACTGCTTTTGATAATGTTACTCCTGAAGATTTTGAGGCTAATTGCTAAGATAGATTTGATGAGTTCTATAAAAAGTTCTGCAGCTTTGTACAAGTTTAAGAAAAATAAGCTAAAGTGGGTGGTTAATAAGCAAATACATAAACAGAAGGTGATGAAAAAGATGCTCATGCCAGTAAAATTTATTTCTAAAATATAAAAACTTAATATTTTAATTATAGCTAACAATAATTAAAACGATGAATTTGCCAACAGAATCTTAAATAGTTTGGTAGCACCAGGACAGAAGAAGAAGAAATTCTTGCAAATGGCAAATTTCAACGAAGCCTACTTTGCAGGAGTTGTAAACAGAACTATTACACATATCCTAAAGCATTTAGAAGAGAGTACAATAGTTTTGACTGTTTTTGATTAATTCAAGCCATTTATTGAGAAGTAAGCAGAAAGAGAAATAAGAAATGTTATTAACAAAAAATAAAATATGACAAATGAAGAATTTAAAAATTACTATGAAATCTTAGAAAAGTTCGACAATCTCTCTGATTAAATTCCTGACAAAGTCAAATTAACATTATTTGATGTAAGATGTACAGATGTTAAATAATACATCAAAAAGTAGATCAAGGATTTACAATAGCGCTTAATTTTTGCCTTTGAAGATATCATTTTAACAACCCTAAGATCGGTAACTGAAAAATATTCAAGAATAGCAAGTTTTATTAGAAAATCAACAACAACTGCTGATGAGGTAACCAATAATTTACATATTTTATTTATTTTTAAGTTAAATACTTTTAAAGGTAGAAGAAATGGAGAAATTTTTAGCAGAATTAACTGGCGATAGAATACAAATCAAATTAAGGACAAGTGCCTGCTTTTAAAAAATAGTTTTCCTTCAAAAGTTAAATGTAAAAGGTAACTAACAAATAGCAGATTTAGCTAAAGATGTTCATGAATGGCCTGAGAAACTAGATAAAGAGCTTATTGCATAAGAAGAAAAACACTAAATTGAACGCTCAAGAATTGAAGAAAAGCTAAGAGAGAAGAGAACAATATTTGAAAATAGAGTTAGTGTATATCTTGAAGATCTCAAAGATTTAGAAAAGTTTACAGAATATTATAAGCATAAGGATTATATAGTAGAAATTGATGAGTTTGAAAGACTCCTCAATGATGCTAAAGATCTGATGGAAGATATTAATGATCAAGAAAAGAAGCTCTTTGGTATCAGCTCTAATTTTGAAAAATTTTTCACTTTACAATAAGATTTTGAGCCCTATCAAAAGCTTTGGCGTGCTATTAGCGTATTCAGTGAGAATAAAAAAAAATGGATGGGTGACTCTGCAAGCACTCTCGATTCTTCAGATGCAGAATCTATTGTTAAAGAGCATAATAAAATTTCTAGTAAATTACTCTATGCATTCAGATCTGATTCGATTGCATCAACAATTAGCTAAAAATTCAAAGAAGAAGTAACACAAATGAGTGTATATCTTCCTGTAATTGAAATAATATCAAGGCCAGGCATTTAAAAGAGACATTGGGATAAAATTTAAAAAGTAATTCTTAACAATATAATAAAATAGTTAAATTTTAATTTAAAAATAGGTTTTAAGAATTCCTGATGATGAGTTTAACTATGATAAAATTTCTCTCAAGTATCTTTTAGCTAAAGGAATTCAAGAAAAAATAACAGAAGTAGAAGAAATTTCAGAAAATGCATCAAAAGAATTTGGTCTTGAAACTGCTCTTGATAAAATGGAGAAGGAATGGGAAAATTTATCATTTTAAATAGTAAATTGGAAAAATAGAGGGGTATTTATTTTGCAAGGTTCTTCAGTAGAAGATATCCAAATTTTGTTGGATGACCACACATTAAAAGCTTAAACAATCAGAGCTAACCCCAATATTAAATTTGCAGAGTAAAGAGCTGTTAGATGGGAGAAATTAATGCTATTTATCTAGTCAGTTTTGGAAAACTGGATCAAAGTGTAAACTCTGTATCTATATCTTGAGCCTATATTTAGTTTTGAAGATATAAGCAAAACTTTAGTCACAGAGACTGATAAATTTAATATAGTCAATAAAACTTGGAAATAGATTATGGAATGTGTATAAAATGATCCTAAAGTCTTGAGTGTAGAAAAGATCCCTAATGTAGAAGAAGAGTTAATTCATTGCCTAAAGCTTATTGAAGAAATCTAAAAAGGTTTAGAAGAACACCTTGAGTAAGTTTGATATATTTACAACACATTTTAAATTTCATTTAATGAATAAAAAAGATCCAAAAGATTAGAATTTCCTCGTTTCTTCTTTTTATCAAATGACGACTTACTTAATATTTTAGCTGAAACTAGAGATCCATTGCTAGTTTAGCCTCATATGAAGAAATGTTTTGAAGGTATCTCTGAGTTACTCTTTAATTACAATGTTGACATTACAGGTATGCGTAGTAGTGAGAAAGAAGAAATTTAATTTTTAGAGAGAATTTCACCTCGTAATTTCAAGTCAAATGTAGAAAAATGGCTTTTAGAAGTTGAAAAATAAATGAGAACTTCATTGTCTAAAGTGATGGAAGAAGGATTATTAGATCTCTAGTCTGGCTAAGAAAAAAGATCAGAGTGGGTAAGAAAGTGGCCAGGATAGGTAGTTATAGCAATTTCATAATTAATATGGACTGAAAGTTTAGAAGAAAGCTTAAACTAGTCAGGTCTAAATGGATTAAAGCAATTCTATGAGATTTGCTAAGGCGGATTAGAAGAAATAGTTACACTTGTAAGATAAAATTTAACATATTTAGAAACAATTACTCTTGGTGCTTTAATCGTAATCGAAGTTCATAATAAAGATGTTGTCAAGAGGCTTATTGATGATGAAATAAGCAACACTTAATAATTCGAATGGCTTTCAGAAATGAGATATTATTGGGATGCTTCAGTTAATAAATTGAATGTAAAGATGATGTCTACTTCTATGAGATATGGATACGAATATTTAGGAAACACTGGTACAATTTAAATTTAATTAAATAAACATATTTTAATATAATTATTTTACAGGAAGACTAGTTATCACTCCTCTTACAGATAGATGCTATCGAACTCTCATGAATGCTCTTTAACTTAATTTAGGAGGTGCTCCTGAAGGACCTGCAGGAACAGGTAAAACAGAAAGTACCAAGGATTTAGCCAAAGCTATTGCTATGCAGTGCATTGTTTTTAACTGTTCAGATGGTCTTAATATACATGCTATGGCCAAATTCTTTAAAGGGTTAATAGCAACTGGAGCTTGGAGTTGTTTTGATGAGTTCAATCGTATTGATTTAGAAGTTCTTTCTGTCATAGCTCAATAAATACTTTAAATACAATAATGCAAAGCTGCTATGAAAACAAACATATTATTTGAAGGAACTGAGCTTGTCCTTAAGCACAGCTGTAATGTTTTTATTACTATGAATCCTGGTTATGCAGGTCGTTCTGAATTACCAGATAACTTAAAGGCACTCTTTAGACCAGTAGCTATGATGGTTCCAGATTATTCGTAAATTAAAATATTAAAAATTTTATTAAAAATAAGAAATTTTACTTAAAAAAAAGATTAATTGCTGAAATTTCGTTATATTCTTTTGGTTTCGTAGATGCAAGAAGCTAAGCTAGAAAGATAGTAGCTGTATATAAACTTTGTAGTGAATAGTTAAGTAGCTAAGATCACTATGATTATGGTATGAGAGCAGTTAAAGCTGTTTTAACTGCTGCTTCTTAGCTAAAGAGAAAATATCCAAATGAAAGGGAAGATGTTCTTATTTTGCGTTCTATTACAGATGTTAATCTTCCTAAATTCTTATAGTAGGATGTAGATCTTTTTAAGAATATAACAAGTGACTTATTCCCTGGAGTTAAACTACCTAATCCAGATTATAACACTTTAAACACAGCTATGACTTCTGTCTTGGCTACTATGAATCTGTAAAGTGTCTAAAATTTCCGTAAAAAAGTTCTCTAACTTTATGAAGTAGTTAACACTCGTCATGGATTAATGCTTGTCGGATAGCCATTTTCTGGAAAATCTAGCTGCTATAAAGTTTTGGCAGCAACCTTAACATATGCCTGTAAGAAATTAGGGTCTTTAGATGAGTTACCTACAAATTATTACATTATAAATCCTAAATCAATATCATTAAACTTTTTATATGGGTAAAATAATTAATTAAATTTATTAATTTTTTAAACAAATTTAAATTTTATTAATTTTTAGTTACTCTGATCCTGTTTCTAAAGAATGGACTGAGGGAGTCTTAGCTGAAGTATATAGAAAGTGTGCCACTGCTACTGTTCCTGATAGATAGTTTATAGTCTTTGATGGACCTGTAGATGCTGATTGGATTGAAAACATGAATACAGTCTTGGATGATAATAAAAAATTGTGTTTAATGAGTGGTGAAACGATTCCCATGTCAAATTCTATGACTATGATGTTCGAAGTTGCAGATTTGAGATAAGCTTCTCCTGCTACAGTTTCTCGTTGCGGTATGGTCTATATGCAACCAGAATAATTAGGATGGTGGCCTTTGGTACTTTCATGGCTATCACAGGTACTTATTTAGTTTATCAAATAATTAAAATATTTATTAATTTGAAAATAAAGATTTCAGAATTTTTAGATGAATCTCTAATTGAACACTTAAATGAGTTATTTGATGCCACTACTGGATAATGTGTTCATTATATCAAAACGAGATGCAAAGAGTATCAGAACGTACCAGAAGGAACTCTAGTTGTGCAGCTTATGAGACTTCTTAGAGCCTTTTTGCACAAATATAGATTTTTTGAAAAAGAATATATTTCTAAAATAAAGCTAGAAGTTGTTTAAAACTCTTTAGATATGATTTTTATTTATTGTACTATATGGAGTATTGGTGCTACTATAGATGAAAAAGGAAGATAAGATTTTGATCGCTATTTAAAGTAGCTAATAAAAAATCCTTAAAAATGCGAAACTAAAAAAGACAAACTTATTAAATTTGAGAAGTAAGCAATGCTACCTGAAGCAGGTCCTCATGTTTTAGTGTACGATTATTATTTGGAATAAGAAGAAAGTGGATCATGCAAATGGAAAAATTATCAATAAATTATAGATTCTGTTTCTGCAACAGACTCTATCCCTGCAGATGAATCTTATCATAATATTGTGATAAAAACAGCAGAATAGTTGAGATTAACGGAACTTCTTTAAGTTGCCATTTAATATCATTATCCTTTCTTGGTGATAGGGTAAACTGGTACAGGAAAGTCTACTTACATAAATACATATTTGAAGTCGCTCTCACACGAAAAATATTTACTTGTTGGTATCAACTTCAGTGCTTAGACATCATCAGAAGAAACTCAACTGATTGTAGATTCAAAATTAGACAGAAGAAGAAAAGGTATTTTTGGTCCTCCTATAGGAGTTAGTTGTCTTGTCTTTGTGGATGATCTAAATATGCCTTAACTAGATAAATATGGTGCTCAACCTCCTATAGAACTACTCAGATAATTTTTAGATTAGAAGGGTTGGTATGGAAAAGATAGAAAGTTTATGGAAATAATTGAAACTTCTTTGATTGGTGCTATGGGTCCTCCTGGAGGTGGTCGTAACTAAATAACATCAAGGTAACTAACTACATAATTTTTTAATTAATTTAAAAATAATAAATTATTGTTAATTAAAGATTATTAAGACATTTTAATGTCCTATGCAGCAGTGAGCCTAATTAATTATAAATGGAAAGAATTTTTACAGAGCTTATGAGCTGGTATATGAACAAAATATAACTTAATGATGAAAATCTAAGAAGAACTTTTAAGCTATGCATTGAAGCTACAGTAGAAATGTATATGAACATTGTTTAAAACTTAAAACCCACTCCTGCTAAATGCCATTATCTTTTCAATCTTCGTGATGTAAGTAGAGTTGTTTAAGGATTGCAACTAATATCTAAAAACTAAATTGAAAATGACAAAAAAGTAAATATTTTTAAAAAATAAAAATACTTTCTTTAAACAATTTTAATAAAATTTATTTAGATAATAAGACTATGGATAAATGAAGTTAGCAGAGTATTTTATGACAGATTATCGTTTGAATAAGATTAAGTTTGGTTTTATAATGCATTATGCAGTTCAATTAGAAATAAAATAAAAGAAGACATCAAAATGGTAATGAAAGGTCCCTATGACCATATAAAATATAATCTGCTTACTCCTGAACCTATAAAAGTCATTAGATTTGGTGAACTCTTAGGAAATGTAGATGGAGATAGATTCTATGATGAAATGGTATTTATTTAGTTCAAAATGAACATTTATTAACTTAATAATTTCTATTTATAAAATAAATTAGATTGATATGGAAAAAATATTTGCAAAAGTTGAATACTTTTTGGAAGATTACAACCAAAATAATAAAAGACCTATGACTTTAGTACTTTTTGAATTTGCAATCGGACATATTATAAATATATGTAGAATACTTAGATTGCAAGGAGGACATGGACTTTTAATTGGTTTGGGTGGTTCTGGAAGATAGTCACTCACTTATCTATCAGCTCATATTAGAGACTTAAGATTGACTTAAATTGAGATGAGTAAAAGCTACTAAAAGGAATAGTGGATTGAAGATATGAGAAAAGTAATGATTCAAGCAGGAGTTGATAGCAAAGAATCAGTTTTTATTATAAATGATAGCCAAATGTCTAAATCTTTTATTTTAGAAGACCTAAATAATTTACTTAATTCTGGTGACATTCCAAATTTATTTTCTTAAGAAGATTTTATTCCAGTAATAGATAGATTAAGATAAAATGCTAAAAAAGAAGGAAAAGTTAAACTTCTTGAATAAGGCACTAATTAATAATTTTATGATTATTTTGTCTAGACTGTTAAGAAGAAACTCCATATAATAGTAACACAAAGTCCTATTGGTGATACTCTAAGAAATAGAATCAGAAACTTCCCAAATATTGTAAATTGTACTAATATTATTTGGTATAGATAGTGGCCAGAAGAGGCTTTGGATGCTGTCGGACATAAATTAATTTCTGAGCTGTATATATTTTTTCATTTTAATTAAATTTTAAATAAATTTTTAAAAATTAGATATTTAGATGGTTCTATTAGTAGAAAATTAGTTAACACTTGCAAACATTTACATTAGTCTTCTTTAGATCTTAGCTAAGAGTATTTAAGAAATGAGAAAAGAGTCAATTACATAACACCTTCTTCATATTTAGAATTACTTCATAACTTGAAAATATTGCTTTAGTAACAAAGGAAAAAACTAGAAGAAAATCGCAACGTCTATTCAAATGGTGTTTAAAAATTAATTTCTACTGCTGAGTAAGTGAAGCGTATGGAAGAAGAATTGATTGAAAAGAAACCTATCTTGATTTAGATGAATGAAGAAACACAAAAAATTGCATCTGAAATTAAAGCACAAGCTTTAGCTATGGAACCAAAGCGTATTCAAGCAGAAAAGTAAGAAGAAGAAGTTAACGTAAGAGTGTAGGAAGCAGAGCTAATTAAGCAAGATTGTGAAAGAGAATTGAGTGTTGCAAAGCCTCAGTTAAAAAAAGCAGAAGATGCTCTAAACACACTAGATTCTAATGATATAAATAAAATGAAGGCAATGCTTAAGCCCCCAGAGACCGTATAGCTTGTTATGGAAGCAGTTTGTGTGCTTTGCAAAGTAATTTTTTATAGTTAATTAAAAAGTATCATTATGAAATAACAATAATTTACAAAAATAGGTACCTCCACTTCCTGTTCCTAATCCTAAATATCCTAAAGAAAGAATTATGAGTTATTGGGAAGCTTCTAAGAAATTTTTATCAGATAAATATTTCTTAAACACACTTATTCAATATGATAAGGAAAATATTGATGAATAAGTTATGAAGAAAGTGAGAGACAAATATATTTCTTAAACAAAATTATTTAATCCCAAGAGAGTAGAATAGGCAAGTTCAGCCGCTAAAGGTCTTTGTGAGTGGATTTTAGCCTTGAGTGAATTTGAGAAAGTTTTGTAAATAGTGCGCCCTAAACAATAAAGATATAATTAATCCAAGCAAGAAGTTGCTATTTTATAAAATGATTTAAAATAGACTCGTGATGAGCTTGCGTAACTCAATAAAGAAATAGCTAATTTACAAGATAGCTATGATTAAATTCGTAAAAAATAACAATAGCTTGAAGATGATATCTTGGACTGTGAAAAGAAACTGCTTCGTGCAAGTTCCCTAATTGGAGGATTAGGTGGTGAACAAGAAAGATGGTTAAAAGTATCAGAAAAATTAGAAAACTAATTATAGTTTGTTGTTGGAGATATAACAATATCAACTGGTATTATTTCTTATTTGGGACCATTTAGTTAGACTTATAGAAACAAGTAAGTGAAAGCTTGGATAGATTACTGCAAGGGACTTTCTATCTAGATAAGTGAAGGATATTCCTTAGAAAGTACGTTAGGAGAACCTATCATAATTAGAAAGTGGAATATGAATGGTTTGCCTTCAGATGCTTTTTCAAGAGAAAATGGTATTATTACTTATAATACTAGAAGATGGCCTCTGATGATTGATCCTTAACAACAAGCTAACAGATGGATTAGAAAAAATGAATTCGATAATAAAGTAACTGTTGTTAAATAATCCGATTCTAACTTTATTCGCTCGCTTGAAACATGTATTTAGTTTGGCTAATGTTTGATTATAGAAAATGTTAAAGAAGAAATCGATTCAATACTTGATCCAATTTTATCCAAACAAACATTCAAAAACGCAGGTGTCCTAAGCATTAAAGTTGGCGATAATATAATTGATTATTCAAAATAATTCAAGCTATTTTTAACATCAAAACTTAGAAGTCCTCACTTTACTCCTGAAATATCAACTAAACTAACTCTAATTAACTTCACTATAACTAAAGAAGGTCTTGAAGATCAACTTCTTGAAATTTGTGTTCAAAAGGAAAATCCTAATGATGAAAACTAGAGAGTTCAACTTATCATTTAAGTATCTTTATCTTTTTTTATTTTATATTGAACTAAAATATTTAATTTTTATAAAATAGAATCACAAATATTAATAACAATTGGAAGACATTGAAAAGTAAATCTTGGAAGTTTTAAATAAAGCAGATAACATTTTAGATGACGAATAAGGTGTTTAGGTCTTATAGCAATCTAAATAAGTTTCTAATGATATTATGGAAAGATAAGAAGATGCTAAAGTAACTGAATAAAGACTTGAGTAGTCAAGACAAGAATATAAGCCTATAGCAAATCACAGTGCAGTTCTCTTCTTTGCTATTATGGATATGGCTTCATAAGATTTTATGTATTAATACTCACTCAATTGGTTCATAAACTTGTATATTGACTCATTTGATAAAGCAGAAAAGAGTAAATCAGCTAAAGCTTAAGATAGAGTAATTGCTGTTAGCTAGTACTTAACATATTCTATATACTCTAATGTTTGCCGTTCATTATTCGAAAAAGATAAATTATTATTTAGCTTCTTACTATTATTAAGAATTTAAGAAAATAAAAAACATATAGACAATAATGAATTAAATTTCTTGATTTCTCCTATTGATATTTCTTCTGAAGATGTGATTAATTCTGCTCATGATTTATAAGAAAATCCAGCAAAATCATTTTTACCTTAGACAACATGGTTGAGAATTGTAGCTTTATCTAGAATTTCTCCAAAATTCAAACCCTTACCACAATCTATTAGCGATGATTTATAATTCTGGCATAGCTTTTATTTCGATAGTTAAGCTCATACTTTAAAATTACCCGTTCCATTTAATGGTTGTACATAAATGTAAAAAATATGTATTATCAAAGCCATCAGACCAGATAGAGTTAATTTAGCAGTGCAAGACTTCATCAGAGCAGGTAATTAGAAATAAATGATAAAAAAGTTAACATATGATTAAATTTTTTTTATTTATAATCAAATATAGATTTAGGTGAAAAGTTCACATCACCTCCTCCTTTTAATTTATAACTTAGTTTTAATGATTCTAATTGCTACTAGCCTTTAATCTTCATCCTTCCAGGTACTGATCCAATGAATAATTTAATTAATTTTGCTGATTAAAAGTAGAAATATTTGAAAGCTATATCACTTGGTCAAGGATAAGGCGTTCATGCAGAAAAAGCTATTGATGAAGCTCAAAAGTAAGGAACTTGGGTAATTCTTTAAAATTGTCATTTAGCTCCTAGTTGGATGCCAAAATTAGAAAAAATTTGTGAAGAAATGCAAAATAATTCACAAAATAAAGAAAAAATTAATGTAAACTTTAGGTAAATTTTAATGAAAATTAAGTTTTAATTAGAATTCAAATTACCATTTTTATTTTTAGATTATGGTTGACAAGTTATCCCAGCTCTGATTTCCCTATTTCAATCTTGTAGAATAGTGTTAAAATGACTAACGAACCTCCTAAAGGTGTTAAATCTAATATGTTAGTTTCCTTTATGAGTGACTAGATTTAAGATTAAACATTCTTCGAAACCCACAGTAAGCCTAAGCAATTTAAAACTCTTCTTTATGGACTTTGCTTTTTCCATGCAGTGCTTTAAGAAAGAAGAACTTATGGACCTCTTGGTTGGAATATCTTATATGACTTTAATTAATCTGATTTGCGTATAAGTGTGAGATAATTGTATATCTTATTGTAGGAGTATTAAGACATACCTTACAAAGCTCTTCATTACATGGTTGGTGAGTGTAATTATGGTGGAAGAGTAACAGATGATAGAGATAGAAGAATTCTTCATGCTTTGATGCAAGATTTCTTTTCAGATTAAATTTTCCAATAAAACTTTTGCTTCGCAAACGATTCAAATTATATTGTAAAATTATGATTTAGTTGTAAGTTAATTATTTATAATTATTTATTTTCTCAATAGGTTCCTCCTATCGGTAATCATGCTGAATATATAAAATTCATTGAAGAAAAAATTCCTCTTAACTAAAGCCCAAGTATATTCGGTTTCCATGACAATGGTGTAATAGTTAAAGATCTTAAAGAAACAGACGATTTATGTGGAGCTCTTTTAATGATGATGGGTGGAAATTCTATGAATAATACTGAAGGAGATACAGAAACATAACTAAGAGCTATTTCATAAGATATATTAACAAAAATACCAAAGAAATTTGATCCTGAGTTAGTTTCAGCTAAATATCCTATATCCTATGAGAATTCTTTAAATACTGTTCTACAATAAGAAATTATAAGGTATAATAATTTAACGAATGTGATAGTGTCTTCTCTTAAAGAAATAGAAAATGCTCTTTAAGGTATAGTTGTGATGTCTTCTAATCTTGAAAAAGTAAATTTTTCACATTTAAAAAAATAATAATAAAATAATTAATCTATTTATATAGGTATGCAATAGTTTGCTTAAAGGTCTTGTTCCTGATTTATGGAAGAAATCTTCATATCCTTCATTAAAACCATTAGGATCTTACATTACAGATTTAGTGAAGAGATTAAAATACTACTAGAATTGGATTGATCACGATGTACCTAAGTGTCACTGGATAAGCGGCTTCTACTTTACACAAACATTTTTAACAGCAACTTTACAAAACTTTGCTCGTAAATATACAATCCCAATTGATAATCTAGTTTTTGAATTTAATTTTTATGGTGAACCTCCTGAGAATGTGAACGATGCAGCTCAATATATAGACATCACAGATGGTTAGTTAATGTATGGACTCTATATAGAGGGATGTAAATGGGATTACGATGAAAGATGTCTCGCTGAAAGTGACCTTAAAGTTTTATCAGTATAAGCTCCTATTATATGGTTGAAACCAACTGAAATATCTCAAGTAAACAGTTAATAGTAAATATATAAGTGCCCAGTTTATAAAACATCAGAAAGAAAAGGTACTCTTTCAACAACAGGTCACTCTACTAATTTTATAATGAGCATAGATATGCCCACGACTATTAGTTCTTCACACTGGGTAAAGCGCGGTGTAGCTATGCTTTGCTAATTAAGCGATTGATGAATTTAAATACAATAAATAAATTTTAAATATTTTAAATTTAAGCAGAGCTAATTTTGAAAATTAATTATTTTAAATTAAAAATAAAAATTATATAAAAATAAATATCTTTATCTATCTCTAATTTATAAATGTAGAAAACATTGCATTAATAATAAATTATATTTCAAATTTTACAACACCTTAATTATAACATAAAAATTAAGTACAATCAAATTTCATTTATTTATTTATCTCAATTTTTCTAAGTCTTTTTACTACTCTTGCTCTATTTTTCACTTTTGCCTTGCTTGCTGCTTTTTTATGCCTCTCCGTTTATTGGTTATTGCTAAAAATCATCTTAGAAATCTGATTAATTTTAGTTATTGTTATATCCATAATTATTTTAGTTAAAATTAGATTCATAGTCTTATTAATTTGAGTTATTCTAACTATATTAATACTATTGATAATTGTATCCATTTTAATGTATTTAATTTTATTATAGATAGATGTTGTTATTGTAATCCTCATATTGATTATCTTAGTTTGAATTATTATTATAATAGATATTATCTTGCTAACCTTATTTACTTTGATGATATGTTTGGAGTGTATTATCATTTTTATCTTATGAAGTATTATTATTTAATTTGTTGTCTTAAATTTAATCAATGCTTTAATTTTCAGAAACAACTTATTTTATAAAATTATTTTTATTTGTTTTACTATTTCCATTTTTTATTTACTTTAAACTTTCCACAGTTTTTTCATTTTTCTTGCTTGATGTATCCTGATAAATAAAAAGCTTTTCTCTGTCATTATAATAATCAGTAAAAGATTATTCAGATTCCATATGATAGTCCTCAGGATCACTTCTTTCTTTTTCTATTTTTTTATTTTTAGAACTACTCTTCTTTTAGGAAATTTTCTTCTTTTCATTAGTATCTTAAGTTATTTCTTCCTGCTAGGAAGCTTTAACCTTCTTTCTTGACTTTTCTTTTTTGCTGATTACTAATTTTTACATTTCTATATCTTCTTCATCACTAGCTTAATTTTTTACTTTTTTCTTATCTTTTTTTAAATTTTAAGGATCTCTAGGCTAGTTTGCTTCTTATTTATTCTAAGATTATTAATTAGCCTTTTTAGCTATTTAGTTGAAAATCTATTCAAGAGTAGGCTAATTTACTGTGTAATGATTAACATCGAGTTCCTCCTAGACTGAGTGAAAAATACCAAAAATTTCCCCTATACTCTTTTCAGAAAAAATTCTATATCTAGTAAAATTGTTAAATTGTTCAATTATAGTAAATTCACCAAATTTTTAATTGATAAATTCTTAAACTTTAAGAGTTTTTTGGAACATTAGCCCAAATTCTATAATCAACCTAGGCTCAACTCCTTATCCCTTTTCTTCATTTTTCAAAAATTCATAATGCAACTATGAGCAAAAACCTTTTTCTGTTATCTGATATAGCATATTTTACATATTGACATGAAATAAAAAGTCTTTCAAATCTGTTCTCTTTACTTATTATTTCATATTAACTGTCTTAGAAAATTTGTTTATTTATTTATTAGTGGGTAGTGTTGTTTTAATATCTATTTCATATCCTTCTCCAAATTTACTTTTGAGATGCTAAACACTTCCCATACACTAAAAGTTACCAGCAACCATAATACCAACTTTAGTTGAGAGAGCTTCTGCTTCTTCCATTGAATGAGTTGTAAGAATAATAGATGACTATTTCCTCTATGTTGAGATCCTGCTTATAACATCCCACATAAATCTTCTATTACCTGGATCCATTCCTGTAGAGGGTTCATCTAAAAATACAATTGGAGGATTTCCTAGCATAGCTATTGCAACTGAAAGTTTGCGTTTGTTACCACCACTGTATGTGCCTGCACATATGTTTTCAAATTACCTTAAGTTCATCTCATCAAGTTTTTTTTCCACTAAAGGAGCTATCATATCTTTTGGTATACCTTTAATAGCTGCATAAAGCTCTAAATGTTCTCTTGCTGTTAACTTGTCCAGCAGTGCATCAAATTAAGGGCAATATCCAATATATTATTATGCATGAACTAGCTCCTCAGGAATTTTATATCCCTATATATAGGCATTACCATTCACTATAGGCTCGTCTCCTGTAAGCATTCTCATAGTCGTTGTTTTACCTGCACCGTTAACACCAAGCAAACAGAAGACTTCACCATTTTAAATTGCAAAATTTAAGTTATCTACTGCAACCTTATATTATGAGCCACTCTCATAAAATACCTTCCTTAATCCTTAAACATATACAACAAAATCATTAGGATCTGATTAAGCAACTCTCTCGTTTTCCTCTTCAACATCATTATCCAATTTTTTAGGTTAGAAAGGAATATTTGATTCTTTTGAAAAAAGCTTTCTTTTTCCAAATTTTTCAATGATTACCAATAGTAACCCAAAAATAACTATCTGTAAGCACATAGCCAACAAATCTCCACCAGCAATTTTAAGATCTAAAGGATCAAGTGCTTTTCCATCCGTAGAAGATAAAGCATATAAATCTCTAGATGTTAAATTTAAAATACTAAAACTAAAGCAAAAAGAAGGAATGAAACGCAAAACCCAAGCTAAAGCCTCAATTCCTTTATTATCCAATGAGAAAACGACTCTCAAAATCATAACAGTAATAGATAAAACACAGCCAAACAAAATATGCATGAAGAATGAGAATAGTTATCCGTTTCCATAATTCTTAACTAAAAAGCTAAAGACATAAGTAAAAAGTATGATCGCTGGTCCGTATAAAATAAAAATAATATAGAAGACATAAAAGACAGAGCTATCAGTTAAAGAAGTAACTTAAAAAGCGTAAGCAAGCCAAGGGCAGGTCAAAGCAGGTATTAAATACTTTACAACATCCATAAATAAATTAGATGTCCAATAAGAAAATCTCGATACTCCTGAAACTATTTACTAGTGTTTAACTTGTGTTTCTCTTTCTTTTACTATGAAGACAATTAAACTTGCTGGGATGAATGCTAATCCTATATTAAAGATCATAGCTATGGTAATTCCATTTGCAATTTAATTAGCACTATTAATATAATAAATAATTTAAGCATTTCACATCTAAATAAAAATAAAATTAATATTACTTCTTTTGCTTAATAGTGTATGGAAGTGGTTTGTTTCTAGGAATAATTTAGATAGATTTTCCAGTTTGTTAATTAATAATTTATGTATTTAAGATATTTAGACTTATAGCTATAGAATTTTCTGTTTAGGTGTTTATGAAAGAGTAATAATTTATCTGTTTATTATTGCTATCAATAAAGTCAGCTTTTGTGTAAACACCAAATTTTAGATCAACATTTCTTTTCTAAAGCATCTAAGAATCAAATTATTCTATTAAATTAGTTGTAGACAATATTGGTTACATAACTGTCTTTGTTAAAAGAGGCAGCTTACTGAAATAATCCTATTAAGAACTAACTTCAGAACCATACATATAAGTAGGTGATGTGAGAGAGTCTGGAGTTAATACAATAGTCGGAGTTAAGCTTACACTTATTGAAGTAGAAAGAAGTAGACCTAAAATAATTAAGGCAGCTGGGATAATTACTTCACAAAATAATCCTCCAATATCTCTCTTAAAGCAGTGAAATCTTTTTTTAAGTAATGCTGAAAAATGCTATGAAAATATACTAAATCCTCCTTTTATTCTCACTTTACTTAAATCGAAATCATCAATTTCCTTTTATTTTGACTACTTTTTATTGATCTGCTTTGTAAAATTGTTATTTTCACTTGCTACTTTCAAAAAAACTTGCTCTAGAGTGGTTACAGATATACCATAAGACCTGACAAATAATGAATCTTTATTTCTTTCTAGTTTTGTGAAAAACTCCGAAAATTTGTCAACGTTTGTTTTTGGCACTTAAAACGCAACTTCAGCTGAAACATCGCTTATTAATTCACAATCAGAGAGGTTTTGCTTGACATATTTTATGAGAGGTTTGCTTGGAGAAGTATTTTCTTATTTGACAAATGTGATATTAAATCCATTTCCATAATTTTCTTTTAAGAATATACTTGAGCCAACACATTTTAACTTACCATCAGAAATGATACCTATTCTATCTCCCAAAAAATCAGCTTCATCCATAAAATGCGTTGTTAAAATAATTATTTTATCCTATTTATAATTCTTAAGGACATCCCAAATGTGTCGACGAGCCTCCACATCCATGCCACTTGTAGGTTCATCAAGTAAGATAACATCACTTCCACCTATATCAAAATAAATTAGTATCAATAAATATGTTTAATAATTTTTAAAAATATTACCAATAAAAGCAATAGCTACAGATAGCTTTCTTTTTTAGCCTCCAGATAAATTTTTACTTAAATAATTTGTTTTTTCTACCAAATCAACATCTTATATGATTTTTTATATTGCAGCTTCTTGCTCTTATATTGGCATATTTTTTATATTTGCAAATAATTCCAAGTGCTCTTTAACAGTCAAATCGTCAAACAATACATCATGTTAAGGACAAACACCGAGACTTTTTCTTATTTCTTCCATTTATGTTTAAACATCGTGTCCTTTTATTTTTATTAATCCAGAAGTTGGTTCTATTAAACCATTAATCATAGAAATTGTTGTAGTTTTACCAGCACCGTTATGTCCTAAAAATGAAAAAATTTAGCTATTAAACATTTCTAAGTTTAGTCCATTAACAGCCTTTTTTTCTTTGCCATCACTATGAAATACTTTTTGAAGATTTTTAATGACAATGGCTTAATCATTCTTAATCTAAGCTCTTAAAACTCCATCGACTTCTTCTTAAAGTACATTTTCATCTTATTCTTCATCTTCTTCACTGCTACGATTATATAGATCTTAGATAAGTTCTACATTTTTAGTTTTATGATTTTTTTTAGATTTTTTTTCTACTTTTTTCCCATATTTCATACCCAAAAAAAATAGTGGATGAGATTTGATTCCGAATTCATTAGGAAACACTTTGTCGAAATAAAAGAAAAGAAGACTAAAGACAACTAAATTAATCTATAGAGAGACAAAGGTAAAGTACTACTTATATCCATTAAAACTTTAATTCAAAATACTAAAGTCTATGCTCTATCCATTTGATTAAAAGTACAAGAAATGAGAAACTGACAAAGATATTCCTGTATGAGGAATTAGAGATATCTTAGTAAGAGTGTCAGATGATGCCTTTTAAATAATTAATTTAAGAATAAAAATGAATTTATATTTAAAATTTAAATTAAATTACTGATTTAATATCTATTGACATGAATGCTATGAATTATCCAAGGAAAAAAACCATAGCAGCTAATAATCCAATACGAGCTCTCGAAAAGAAAGTTGAAATAAATAAGCCTTGAAAAATAAGAACTTAACCAAAGAGGTTGTAAAGACAAAATAAGAATAGAAAACTTGCATCTTTAAAAATACATCCATTCAATAAAGCAGCAATTAAAATAGATATAAAAATATTCTTGATGGTGTACGTAACAATCCAAGATTAATAAAATTAAAAATTATCCATTCCCATCATTTTCATACCTTCTCTAATTTTTTTTTCTTTTTCCATCAGAACTCCATTAGTCATTCTTAAATAAAATACAATAAGAGGAAGGACGATATAAAAGTTAGTGCTTTATCCAGCTGTATTATAAAATTTATCTTCTTATTATTTTTATTGCATCATTGGCAGTAAATGTGGGACTATTTTCATTACTTGTTGTGATTATGAGGCTTCATTGGTCTAAATTACGTTCGAAATCAAATTCATCAAATGAATAAAACCATTTTCTATGTAAGTGTTAAAATAATCTAATTGTTGTCTATTTTTAAATTAAAATTGGATAAAAAATGTTATAAAAATCATTTATATTACTTAACATATTGATTTTATTAATTATATTCATATTAATCAGGAATTTTAGATATGTTGTATCTGATAGAATAATCATATAACCCATTAGAGACAGTATTAAACTCAATTCCAAAACAAATTTTATTTTTTGAATCACCATAGCTGCTTGATTATACTAAATCTTCCAAAGCATTAGCAGACTTCATAAATATAACACCTTAACTGTTAATGTATTAGTTTTCTATTAAAATAATATTTTGTATTAAAAAAAATCTCTTAAACTTAAAGATTTACTTTTAAGTTCTTGCGCTATCTGCTAAGTGAGGTTGTCTTCGGGAAATATTGCAATTTATCCTCCGCTTGAACCTAAATCAGAGCAGTGCCTATATTATTTAATAACTAAGTATAAGATATTAATTAATACCAGTATTAAATTACTTAAACATGGTTTAAGATGAAGAATCAGAAAAGTCAGGATAGATTATTTTAGTTTGATTTAAAAAGGATTATTATGGTAGATCTTTTATATCTACTTATTGCCTTAACATAAAAAATTATAAGACAAAAATAGCAGGCAAAAATATCTCACAAAATGTTGTACATTTATTTCTTTTAGTAATAATCCAATTTTTTTTAAGTAGAGCTTTTAGGTGATTATTTTTTCTTGAGCAGCACATATATATGTATGAGTTTTAGCTTTTAAACTTTTTTTTTATTAAATAATTGAAATAAATTATAGTAAATAATGCCAGTTAATATTAATTTAATCATGATTGAAATGCAAGATATTATTTATGAGAAAAGGAGTAATTAGCTTTTTTAATCTGGCGAATTCTTAATCTAGATTTCAAAAATAATGAAATAGATGATATTATTTTTACTGCTTAACTATCAGAATAAAATTTCATAATTACAAATAATTTGTAGTTTTTTAGGTAATATATTTCTAGCTGTATATAGATAATTTACTACTTAATCAGATTTATTAAATTCATAAAAAATATAGTGTGTTTACATCAATTTTAAAATCTAAAGATTTCAGAATTACATAAATTAAATATTCAAAATACATCAATATTTATCAGCTTTAGGAGTAATATGTATACTTTTTTAGTTTTAATATAGTATAAAAAACATTAAGATATAAACTCAATTTTTAAGAAGTTAACAAAGATTGATATTTCTTAGTTTATTGATAACTTCAGTCAGTATGGCTCAGTAATCTACTTTAAATAAATCACAAAATAAATAAAAAATTTTTATTTTATTAATTATTATTCATTATCTCATTTTTAGCTATTTTATTAAGACATTCAAAAAAGTTAAAACATTTTTAAATTGCGTCCAAAAATTCAGATATTTATTTAAATATTTACATTTTTTTTTAGTTTAAATTAAAGATATTTGAAGGATTTTATCAGTTTTATAATAAATTATTTAAACAAGTACCTTTCTACTTCAAGCTATTAATTATTTTATCATCAGATAAATTAAAAAGAATTTCAATCTATTTTAATTTTCAATTTTAAAATTTTAGAATATTAAGTGTAAAAAATAAATTTAAATTATTTATCTAAAAACAATAAAAAAGCTAATTACTGGAATAATAATAATATTAAAATAAAGCTAATTCAAAATATAATTGATTAAAATAAATTAAACTCTAAAGAAAATAAATAAATTTAATAACAATTCATAGTTAATTAAATGAACTAACTTATTAAAGAATTAAGCTATAAAAATGCTAAAATTGTTAATATGTTAAATAATTTTTTGATCAAAATTTTAAAAACATTTTTTAGAAATATTTTAATTATTTCATTTAAAAAAATATAAAATATTTGAATAAGCTAACCACATAAATTAGATAAGTATAATTTTTTTTATAAATTTGTATTTTTTAGTTTTTTTTATCTTATCTTGTTATTTGGATACTAGATACATATAACAAGATTTGAAATAAATAATTTTAGAATAATTAAATGCAAATTAGTAATTTATTTGACAGACACAAAAAAAAAATTTTATTTTAGATAGATTAAAATTCATTTTATAACAAATAAACTAAACTATTAAAATAGTAAGTAAATCAATATCTCTTTTGATTATGGTTTATTTATTGCTATTACTTAATTTAAACCTAGTCCAATTCTATTGCTTCCAAATTTTAAGGAAGTAAGAAGTGGTTGTTTTTGCTATTTTGACCTTAATATTAATTGGTTTATCTTAACTCTATCTACTATATGTGCTATTATTATTATTATTAGTTTTGCTTTTAAGCAAAATCTGCAGTCGTTGTGTTTTCTGCGTGTTTAGCCATGTAATTAAATATTTATTCCAGTGTTGGTTAATTAACTGTGTATTAGTTAAAATGTAATTACTTCTCATTCTCATAAAGCATACTGAAAATCTCTCCAATAGTTTATTAAGATTATATTCTATATCTTGAGAAATTGTTAAATTACTCAATCAATGAGAAACCCCCAAATGTTTTTTTCAAGTATTCCTCTACTTTTTATGTCTTTCTAAACATAGCTACGAATTCTAATATTAACTTAGCATCAATACCTTAAGTTTAATCTTTTCTTTAAAGTTCATAATATAATTAGGCACAAAATCCGTCAGGCTTTATTGTATTATAAATATCTAAGGCATTAATTTTGCTCAAATACTCTCTAATTTGAGTTACTCCAACTTACATTTTGATATCAGTATCTCTTGCCAATTCTTATATTTCTTACTTTGTAGGCAGTTCTGTTCTAATATCAATTTCATATCCATTTCCAAATTTATTTTTTAAGTGCTAAACACTACCCATGCATTGGAAATTACCTGCTACCATAATACCAACTTTAGTTGACAACGCTTCTGCTTCTTCCATTGAATGAGTTGTTAAAATAATTGAAGATCTTTTACGCTCAGTAGAGATTCTGCTAATAACATCCCACATAAATCTTCTATTACCTGGATCCATACCTGTAGAAGGTTCATCCAAAAATACAATAGGCGGATTACCTAACATTGCAATTGCTACTGATAATTTTCTCTTATTACCACCACTATAAGTACCTGCACAGATATTTTCAAATTATCTTAAATTCATTTCATCAAGTTTTTGTTCAACTAATTACGGAATTAAGTCAGATGGAATTCCTTTAATAGCTGCATAAAGTTCAAGATGTTCGCGTGATGTTAAATTGTCTAAAAGGGCATCAAATTAAGGGCAATATCCAATATATTGCTAAGCATCTTTTATTTAATCAGGAATTTTAAATCCTTGTATATGAGCCTTGCCAGTAACAATTTATTCGTCTCCTGTTAGCATTCTCATGGTTGTTGTCTTACCTGCACCATTAACACCAAGCAAACTAAATACTTCGCCATTTTTAATACAGAAGTTTATATTATCAACTGCTACTTTGTAATTGCTTTTGTTTTCAATAAAGACTTTTCTTAATCCATTAACATGAATTACGTAATCATTGGGATCAGAAGTTTTAACATTTTCAATTTCTTATTAAACATCGCTGTCTATCTTTTTAGGTTAATAAGGAATATCTGTTTCTTTATTAAACATTTGTAGACTGTGGAATTTCTCGATAAGCCAAATTACAATACTATAGAATATTACTGAGAGTCCAATCATAAGAATGTCACCTCCAGCTATACTAATAGCCCAGGCAGATTCTTTTGTAGGAGAGTTATCTAAGACTTAGTAAATCGATCTTGAAGTCATATTAATAATACCTAAACCAAAACTAAGAGAAGGTATTAAACGAACAAACCAGCATATGATCTTTGAAGCTTAAGCAGTAGGGGGAATGATTCTTAAAAAGAATAATGTAATAGAAATAATGCAACCAAAGACAAAATGTAAGAAGAAAGATCCTAATTAAGCATTTCCATAGTTCTTTGAAGTGAAACTAAATGCGTAAGTAAATAGAATTATAGCAGGACCGTAGAGAATAAATAAAATGTAAAAACATGAAAAAACTCCATCTTCAGTTAAAGAATTGACTGAAAAGGCTAAAGCAAACAAAGGGCAAATAATTCCAGGGACCAAATATTTAACAAAATCAACAAAAAAGTTAGAAACCCAATAGGCAAAAACTGAGACACCAGAAACAATTTATTAATGTTTAATCTGCTCTTCTCTTTCTCTAACAATAAAAGTAATGATACTAGCTGGTATGAAACTTAAACCGATAGAGAACATTAATGCTGCGGAAATACCACTAGATGCTGTACTCATTCTGTTATTAAATTAAAATATTAAAATAACGAATTTAATCAAATATAAATTTACTGAGTTGTGTAATAGCTGTTTTTCAAAGGGGAATTGTATGGAGTTATAATGATCTGTTTTTTTGTTATAGAATTAATGATTCCGTTATTGATTACATTAATACTTAATGGACCTATATCACCATTTTATGTGTTTAGTATTGATGTATAAACATATGTTTCAGGTTTTGAGCTATCATATTAGTAGAAAACAGCAAATTTATTTTCTAAACTTTTCTTTGCAAAGAAGTTGCTATCTAGCTGAGCTAAAGTAACTGCAGGATCTTGAACTTTATTAAATGAATTTGATCCATAAGTAGGAATGCTATCCACAAAGTTTTGATAATTGTTAGGGCTACCTGAATATGTCATATAAGTTTTAGAGTAAAGTTCAGGAGTCAATACCTATTTTGGTTGATCTACTAAAGTTGAAAGCTTATTAAGACTCATGCCAATTACTATAATTATAATAGGTAAAAAGATTTCGCAGAAAAAACCTCCTAAGTCTCTCTTGAAATATCTTATTCTTTTTAAGCACAAAGCCTTAAAATGAGTCCAAAATATATTAAATTCTCCCTTAACTCTTACTTAATTTAAGTTAAAGTCATCAACTTTCAGAGATTATTTTTTTTCAACATGCTTATTGTGATTGTTATTTTCACTTGCAACACTCAAGAAAACCTATTCTAATGTAGTAATTGATATACCATAAGATCTAACATGTAGCTACTACTTTTATTATTCTAAAAGTGTAAAGAAGTTACGGAATAACGATATATTTTTTAAGGGAACTTAGAAAGCGATTTCAGCAGAAACATCGCTAATCAAATCACTTTCTGGCATGTTGTCTTTCATAAATTTGATGAGAGGTTCAGATGGGGATGTATTTTCAGTCTTCACAAATGTAAAATTATAACCTTTACCATATTTTGTTTTTAAGAAAATGCTAGAGCCAACACACTTTAAATTTCCATCAGATATAATACCTATTCTATCACCTAAATAATCGGCTTCGTCCATAAAGTGGGTAGTCAATATCACAATTTTGTCTTATTTATAGTTTTTAAGCATATCCCAAATATGTCTACGAGCTTCAACATCCATTCCACTTGTAGGCTCATCTAATAAAATTACTTAGCTACCACCAATAAATGCAATAGCGACTGATAGTTTTCTCTTTTATCCACCAGAAAGACTTTTGCTAAGATAGTTTGTTTTTTCAGTTAAATCAACATCTTGAATGATTTTAGAAATAGCCTTCTATTATTCATTTTAAGGAACGCCTTTAAGATTACTATATAATTCCAAATGTTCTTTTACTGTCAAATCATCAAATAAAATATCATGTTGAGGACAAACACCCATAATTTTTCTTATGTCTCCCATTTGCGAACGAACATCCAAACCTTTGACTTTTATTTCACCTTCTGTAGGGTTAAGAAGTCCTGTTATCATTGAGATAGTAGTAGTTTTTCCAGCTCCATTATGTCCTAAAAATGAGAAAACTTAACTATTATACATTTCTAATGATAAATTATCAACGGCTCTCTTTTGTCCTCCATTTGTATTAAAAATTTTCACTAATCCTTTAATAACTAAAGCCTAATTATTTTCAGCTTAGGTTCTTAATGCTGCATCTACTGGCTCAAACACAGTTTTGCTGTTTTCTGATTATACCAGAAGTTCATTTTTATCATCCTTGGAATCATGATTACCGATTCCTAAGAAAAACAATGGATGTTTTTTACTACCAAACTCATTAGGGAACACTTAATCTAAGTAGAGGAATAAAATACCGAATACAACTATATTAAGTATGAACGAGATGAAAGTAAATCCTTCATAGTAGTTGCTAAATGTTTTATCTAATATGCCAAAGTCAATAGTATTTTTATTAGATTAGAAAAAGGCAAAATGTGAAGCTGAGATAGAAGCAGCAGTGTGAGGACTTAAAGCGATACTTTAAATTTTTGTTTAGGATATCTATTATTTTTTTTATTTAATTATAAAATTATTGAGAAATAAATTAAAAATATTTATTGTAAATTTTTTAAGAAGAATAAATATTACATTATTAAAGTTAAATGACCAGAATAATATAAGTTGTAATAGGAAAAATATCATAGAGGCTAGTAATCCTATGCGTGCTCTTGTGAAGAAAACAGTAACAAACAAACTTTAAAATAGTAAGGTTAAGCAAAATAAGTAATGCCAAACCAGCAAGAAAATGAAGCTTCCTCCATCATAAATATTGACCAAGAGAAGAGCTGAGACTATAACAGAAATTATTAAGTAAATAATAGCATATGTAATAATCCAAGACATGTAGAAAGAAGCATTACCCATTCCCATCATTTTCATACCTTCTCTAATTTTTTTTTCTTTTTCTATCAAAATGCTATTAGTCATTCGCAAAAATGTGATAATCAGAGGTAATACTAAGTATATGTTAACATTACTACCAACAGTATCATAAAAACTATCTGAAATTTATTTTTCCTATTTCATAGGGACTGTGTAAGGTGTAATAACAAGATTTTGATTGCTCTGCTCTTTTTGTAAAATAACATTGGAGATTATATTTACAATTGCTGTAAATCCGTTATCATTATACATATCATTCAGATTGAGTTATTACCTTTTAAATAATATTTTATTTTATCAATTATGAATTATATTGCTAACAATTATTTTACTTTTTAAAAGTATTTTCATAGTTTCCTAAAAACGTTTCAGGAACTCTGCTATCTGAAGAATTAAATCTAAGATAGTATTCGTAATTGTTATTTGCATATTAGTTAAACACAATAGCAAAACAAACTCTATCGTATGAAAAACCATACTTGCTAGAAGTTACTTAATCATCAAGCTATTCATTAGACTGCATATATGTGATAGAATTTGCAATATTGGGAAACTCTGTTTTTTTTTATTTTTATTTTAGTATGCAATTTTAATTTTAAAATTATTTTTACATTAAAGCTGAGCTGCTATTTTTTGTGTAATGTCAATATTTGGTATTAGAACAACTTTACCTCCTCCATTTGATAAATCGTTGCAATAACTTTTTTAAAATATTTGGAATTTTTAAGCTTAAAATAAATAAATAAATTTATATTTACTTAAATGCATTTGATGATGGAGATGAAGTAGGAAAAACCGGGTATGGATTATCTAAGAAAGATTATTCAGGTAGATTATTTTTGGAAATCTAGGACCTTAATGCCATTAACAGCAATATAAATAAAATTGGAAGACTAATTTCACAGCAAGAAGATTTGTAGTTTCTTTTCCATAAAATCCAATTTTTGCGCAGCAGAGCTTTGAGATGAGGACTAAAGCAACAACACATTTTATATTGTAAATTTTATCTTGAAAAATTTGATATTCTTTTATTTAACAAATTTTTGAATAAGTTTATTGTTTAATTTCTTTAAGTTTTACAATTCAATGTAATTTGTAAAAGTCTAATTTAAATAGGTGGAATATGAGTGATATTTGACATTATTTATTTTTTTAATTTGCATTAGTTTTTATTTACAAAATTAAAAAAGTAAAATAGATAAATAGTGAATTTCAAAGTCTATAAAAAACAACTTTTTTTTAAATTTTAAAAAATAAAAGCTAAATTAAATATATTTATTTTTAGCTATTTTATTAAAAAACTCCATTTTGATAAATAAAATTTTTTATTTAATTATCTTTTCTATATTTAAATGTATATTTAATTTTAACACTCAGATATTTAGAGATGAGGAGGGAGTTTCACTGAGAAATATATTCATTTTTTTATGAAATCTTAAAAACATCTTTTTACAATGATATTTTTTCATTCGTTTTATATTACCCTTTAAAATCCCCCCAATTGATTTGAAATCTATTACGCTTGAGCTTATTTTTAAATAATTTTTACAGAATTTATCAGCATATTTTTAATTAATTACAAAATTTTAAAAGACCTTAATCATATCTTACCTTCTAATGCATGAATGATAAAATCTGTTGAATAATTAACAAAATAAAATCAAATAAATTTATATAAAAAAGAATAGACAATTTGAAATAATCACTGAAGAGAAATAATAAAATAGATGATTATATTTCACAATAAATTAAATTATAATCTTCATTAATTATTAGTATAAAAATTATTTCAAATCGTTAAGCATAGAAATCAATTAATTTCTATATACAACCATTCAAATTTAAATCTCTTAAATCCTAATAAATTAATTCAGTATTTATATACCATTAATTATACATATTGTACTATAAGACTAAATCATTTGATTTTTTATCATGTAGGTTTGGTTTGGTAATAAAAGTTAGAAATTCCATCGCTAAACATATTGCTTAAATAAATTACACTTAATATTTTATTTATTTATATGGTAGGTATTTGTATCACAAATTTGTTAGATAAATATCTTATTCCTATTAAAAAAATTATTAACATAGATAATTCTCCTAAATTAGTAGAAAACTTAATTTTGCTCTGCTGAATATTTATAATGTATTTAATAAGATTTTCGTTTTTGTTACAAATATTAACGATAAATTAAATATTCAGCTTTTTTCGCAGTTAATTATCAAATAAGTATTTATTTTTTTCTACTTTTGAATTGTAATCATAAACTAAAAATATCCATAATAAAAATAGAAATTCATTAAAAATAGTCTTAGCAAATTCTTCATTTTCTTTCAAAATAAAATCAAAAATTTCATGATTATTTTTATGAATATCTATTAAGTCCTTTTGTTTTATAAGAATGAAAGACACAGTTTTATTTTTTATTAATTTTCAATACTTTTTTTTTGAAAAATAAATTTTGGTTTGCTTATTCATATAAAAATAAAAATAAATCTTAAATTTTGTAAATTATAAACCCAACTAAAATTATTTTAGTAATTGAATATGAATACTTCCCTTTTTGATTGATAAGCTTAAGAATTTTTAATAACCACTTTTTATTCCAACAAATTGAAAAAATAAAAACTTTCAAATTTTTATATATGAAACAAGGTTAAGATAAAAATGTTCAAAATTCTATTAAAAATAGGAAATTAATAATAGTTAATTTTAGATTTTTAAATATAAATTAATTAAAATAAATCTAAAAGTTAAATCATTTTTAATAAAAAATTCCTTTTGCATTAATTTAAAGTTAATAAAACATTTTTTATATAAATTTATTCAATTTCAGTAGATATTCTGGATAATTAAACTAAATTTATAGGTTATAATTTAAAAAGATTATATCATCTAATCAGCTTTAATGTAGTATGAGTTTTAAAATTATGTATAAGATCACTTAAACATTGTTTTTTAGATTAAATTGAGCAAATAAAAATAAAATCTTTTTTTTTTAAATAATATTTCATTATATTTTTAATTTTAATATTTATGATAATTTAAATACAGTTTTTATATTTTTAAATTCTTAAGAATGAATTAATCAAAATTAATTTTAAATTATTAAAAAAAATAGCTAATTTCTTTTATACTCAAATCAAAAAAACAAAAAGGTTTCTTCATAAATTATAAAATGTTATTAATAAGTAAAATCAAACAAAAATACAGGTGGGAGATATCGTAAAAGAGATTAAATAGAATCTAATTTTGAGAATGAAAGATATTAGATAGTTTCACGTTTCCTTATTTTTAGAGGCGATAAAAAATTCATCAAAGGAATAAAAAGTAAAATAAACTAAAAAGCTAATTATCTTTAAATGATTTAACATTCCACAATCTTAATTGTATAAATTTGTTTTGAATGTTATATAGTAAACTCATAAAGAAATTAACTAAAAATTTATTGATATTAAATTTTAAGAAATTAATTAGAGTTAAGAGAAATAATAGGTTTATATAAAAATATAGACGTAGGTTAGATTAAAAGGGAGATAAGTATTTGAAGAGGTATGGAAAACTTAGAGTGTTTATAAAATTTTATAAATACAGAAGTTCCTCATGAAGATATGACAAAGGAACAGATAGAAAAATTTTCGTAGAATCTAAAAATAAATATGTAATACAAAGATGAGCCTCGAAGCAATATTGCCAACAAAGATGGAGGAAAGGAGTGCACAAATCAAAAAATGGTTAGTACTATTCGTTCAGTAGGAAAGCATGTATTATCTGAAATAGGAAAAAAATTACTTTCTGGTGATTTAAATTTAACTCGTGTATCCTTCCCAATAAAGTGTTCAGTAGCCTAATCAGCACTTGAAAGAGCAGGGCGTGGTACTTGCTTTTTCCCAATTTATTTTTCTAAGGCTGCGCAATCAAACTCACCTATTGAGCGCATGAAATTAGTTATTACTGCAACAATTGCTAATTTCTACGTAAATTGCACTTTTTTGAAGCCTTTAAATCCAATTTTAGGTGAAACATTCTAAGGTTGTTACTAGGATGGCACAGAAGTATATTGTGAATAAATTAGCCATCATCCACCAATTACTTCTTTTTATTGCGTAGGTCCTGAAAAGGGGTATGTTTGCTATGGCCATTATGTTTATGAAACAAAAGCAGGAATGAATTCTCTTACTCTCAAAAATACTGGCTCTCGTACAGTAGTATTCAAAGACGGATAAAAAATAACTTATAATTTTGGTGAAGAAAACTATTCAGGAACATTTATAGGTACATTAAAATTGGAGTCAAAAGGAACTCTAACTTTTGTTGACTAAAAGAATGGTTTAGTAGGAACAGTAGTTGTTGGCAAAGTTAAAAAGAAACCAACTGACTATTTGGAAGGATAAATTACTTAAAACGGCTAGATTGTATCTCAAATATCTGGTTCTTACATGGGATATATTTAAATTGATAATGAGCGTTATTGGGATTATAGAGTTGCCCTCCCACTAAAGCTTCATCACTAAAAAAATCTTTTAAAAAGCGATAGCTCAAACCGTTCAGATTTATAATTACTTAGCATGATGGCACTTATGCCAGCTTAAAAAGCAAAAGAAGAAATGGAATAAGTTTAAAGATAAGATGCTGCTCTAAGAAAATAATTTAAAACGAATAAAAAATGAGAAAAGAAAATGCCAACCTTAACTTATTAAACACAAAAATAAATACTGAAGAGAAAAAAAAATAGTTTTATTAAAAATTAAGCTAATTTTTTGATGTAAAAAAATTAATTACCAAAAGACCAACAAACCAAACAACTAACCAACCAACTTTAAGTGTGTGCTATATAAAAGTTATAATTATAAAATAATTTATCTTTTACAAAATTAAACAGCAAAATAATTATTTATGCATGAAAAATTACAACTTACTAACGGACTAGATTTATTTAAATATTCGTTGCATGTTTTTTATCTCATCTATCTCATTCACGTTTTTTATTTAGCTTATCATATCATAAATATAAATATTATTTACTCGGTCGTTTATTTATTTATTGATTTACTAATTATCCTTTATGCACTCTAAAATAAATAGATGAGTAATAAGATTTTTTGTTTGTTGTTTTAGTAAAAGTTAACCATCCTTTTTAAATTTTAAATTAAGAGAAATATAATTAGATAAACTATTCTAATAAAAAAAGGACTTTTATTAAAATTTGGTAGTTTACAATTATTTGAAGTTAAAGCTTATTAAAATCATTAATATCTCATCTATTGTAAAATCTTTTAACAAAATTAATAATTTTTTTAATAAGTAATTTTTTATTTGTAAATCCCATTATTGTTTTTCTAATTAATAGTATTTGTTTAGTTAATTAATTAATAAATTAATGTTAAGAATTCAAAAATTATTTTAACCAATAAAATTAGAATGAGTGAGTAAAATATATATTATAAATAATTAATTTTATTAGGAATTAAAAGCAAATTAAAAAAATAATCATTATTTAGTTATAAAGCTTATTTCTATCTATTTGTTCATGGATTGGATTGAAAAATAAATATAAATACTTATTTATTTATTTGATGCTAATCAAATAGAGAATAGTATTGTCACATAATTTTTTTCAAATTTTTTAGCCATATCTCTCACTTGTTATTAATTACCTAACTTTTAAATATTGACTATTTATTTATGAAAAATCAAGTTAAATAATTTGAAAAATAAAAGGAAAAACTAGGAATATCCAACTGTAAAAAAAAAAGCATATTAAATAAATAAATAAAAAAGAAACACTTTCTAATACATAATCAGTAGATTTTGAAAAGAGTCATTATTATTAAGCATAACAAATACAAATAACTTATAACAAATAATTAAAACTATTCAAAATTTAAATTTTGATCCTTCATTGAAAATGAGTCGTTAGGCATACCAAGATTAGTAAGGGTAATTTGGAGGAAATGCAAACTTCTAAAAGTAGCAAGATTATTAAGAAAATCCTGCTAGATTTACTGGTTCATCAAATTAATAAACCATCCCAAAAAATAATAATCTTGGAGGACCAAGAGCTAATTAGGGCCAATCTACTGGAAATTTTGCAAACCAAGAACCAAATTATCAAGGAAATTATGAATATGCTCAAGTTGACTAGTAAAATGGAATTCTAAGATAGAGAATTCGTGAGTTAGAAGATCAGTTGCATCGCTCTAATTAAGAAAACGATAATTTATATAATAGACTTACTCTCACAGAGAATGAATTGAGTCGCACTAAAGAAATTCTCCTTAAAATGGGCGATACTGCAGGCTGGAAAGGAGCTTAAGTGAATGATTTAAACAACCGCTATCATGAGTTAGCTTCTGGCCACAATTAATTCCTTGAAAATGCTAGAAGTCATACATACACTGTTCAACGTGAATTGGAGCATAAAGACAATGAAATTAAAAGATTAAAAAATCTTCTTGATGAAAGAAATGATAAGTTAAAAGTTGTAACAGTTACTCAAGAGAAAAATTTTGATCGTTGCTTGACCCTAGATAAAGAAATTTAAAACCTTTAAGAAGAAAATTAAAAATTACGTAGAGACCTTTAACAGAAATCTCATGAACTTGATATGTCCAAGCTTTCTCATAAGGCAGAAGGAACCTTTATGGTTGAAGTAGAGCACTTGAGAGGTGATGTGCAAAGGCTCCTTGATATGTTGCGTAACACTGAGGAATATAAGGAATTTGCAGTAATTTATTTTACAAATTAAAACTTCATAAATATTATTTTAAATAGTATTTTAACATTAATAAAAATTAAAATAAATGTTATTCAGCTTCATTAAATTCAAATTATTATTTTATTTTGGAAGCTAATAAATATAGATACAATTTAAATCTTAGATAATCAAATTTAATTTATCAAAGATTAAAATTTAACTTATTCTATAAAATAAGGATATTGCTGACGATTCTAGCCACTCAATTCGTTACTTAAAAGATATCAAAGCTCGTACTTATGTTGATGCAAAATGTCATACTCATTGCAAATTTATAAGACCTTGTTAATGCCCCAAAACAGGAGAAAATTAATGGGTTGAAGATGAAAAGCTGTTATGGGTACCTGAAGAAGCTTTTAGATTTGCACATGAATTTAGATTAAAATACAATGGGGAATTAACTGACACATTAATTGAGTAGCTACTCTTCGAATTAAATAAAATTTGGTCAAAAAGAGAGTAGAGATTGCTTAAGCGTGTGAAGGGAAGTGCAGCTAGTGAAACTGCTAGTTTAAGAAGATAATTGGCATTTAACCCTACTTATGATGAACATTAAGCTAAAGTAACTATTTAAAGATTGCAAAACTAACTTAAGCAGGCATATAAAGAGAACAGAGAAGCTTTTGCTTAAAGAGAAAGGAGAAATCCTCCTGGTACTCACTATGTTAATGAAACCTTAAAAATTAACAAAGAATTGCATAAAAGTAAAAAGAGAAGCGAATAATAAAATGATGTCTTAAAGAAAAAGGTTGCAAATATGGAACTACACAAGTATGGCGATCATGCCTAAAAAGCTATCTTTATGGAGGGAGCATAATGGATGACTAATAAAATACTGTCTGAAATTGATGGTTTATAATAAAATATTAACAGTCATGCAAAATAATTCCATGAAAAATAAGAATAGCTACTATTTAACAACGAAAAGGATGCTAGCTCTTCCTTCGGTCCTGGTTAGTTATCAGTACCTGATCCTAATTTAATTTTAAGAAAATGCGATTGGTTCCTTGAGAATGTTGATTAAGATATCTATACATTTAAGAGTAAAGTACAATAGTTAAATAGACATTCTGAGAAGGACATGATTGATGCTAACTAGGCAGTTAAAACAATTTAGAAATCAAAAACAGCCATTATCGGTACTTTTTGAAAGAAAAATAGCTATTTTTAATGTTTTACAAAAGACTAAAGTTTTTTATGCAAATACATACTAATTAATCAAGAGAAATTCCAAATAAAAAAAATGAATGATATAAACCAAGTTCATTTAGTAATTTGATATAATTAAAAATTAATTTGTTGCCTAATTTATCAAACATATTGTCTAAAAAAATATCTATCTATATATCTACCTACCTACCTATCTTTCTATATTTTTCCTGTTTTATTACTAAAGATTTAAAATTATATTTTTGAAAATATTTAATTAAATGAATTGAATTTATCTGCTTATTTAAAGCTAGAAGAAGGAATATTTTGATTACAATGAAATATATTTAAATATCATTCTTAAATATATGTTTAAAGCATTTATCATAATAAAAATCAATAAATTATTATTATATTTTTTAAATTTTGAAATATTTTAATTTATCATCAAATAAAATATTTTTTATTAATGATTCATTTTTAGGAGAAAATATAAAGAACAGGAAATATGTAGTTAGACATAGTATGGTATGAATAATCCTTCTAATAAAGAGTAAATAGCTACAAGGTTAATAATCTATTGTTAAGGTAATGATTAGAGCAATAAATAATCTGATTGATTAATATTTACTAAGCTACGAAGAAAATTTATAATTCGCAAATAATTTGTAATTGATCAAAAAAAAAAAAAAATTTTATCCTTTTAGATATATTAAAAACAGTTTAGTTAAAGAAACATAGTATTATTTTCAAGGCACTAGCTTTAGACATTTGAATTTAGTTTTAGTTATTTATGAGCTAATAGAATTAAATGGATGTATGTTTATTTTTATAAAGTTATTCATTCATACTTTTCTGATTATTAAATATATTTATCCGATGACTAAATTGTGTATTAACTAAAAATTTCTAAAATTTCAACTAGGATGGAAAATAACTTGAAATAATTGAGCAATTAATAAAAATGAAAGGTGCAAAAGACTTAAATAGTCAAAACAACTTTGGGTCTGTAATCTCTTTTCTTGATAACCGATAAAATTTCTTTTTTTCTATTTCTCCTGCTATTTTTATAAATTCTAAAATATTTAATAAAGAACAACATTTTAAAACCATTTTTGGCTCTTAATCGGGAATTTAATTAATTATTGTTAGCGTTTACTTTGCAACTTCATTCACTCATTTTTATTAAAAATTAGGCACAAAATAACATAGGATACCCTCCATCATCTAGCTCTATACCAAGAGATTAGAATTTCAAAGGATATTAATATGATGAAGCAAAAGAATAAAATTAAGATGAGAAAAGAAAATTTGAAATTGTTAATAATGTGCAAAAGACTGAAGAAGTTGATAGAATTCAAAGTATCTTAATAAGAATTATTTTTTTTGTTTTTTACTTATAATCAATTTATAAAGATAGCAACAGTAATGTAATAGTTCAAGAGACACAATAAAATTTAGGCATACCAAACCAAAATATTTAAGATTAAAGCAATATGTAAATTAATTAATAGAATATTTAGTAGCAACAGTATCAAGCAGCTTATTATTCTTTTTAAGGATAGAAAGCTTATTAGTAATCTTAAACATACCCAACATAATAATAATAATTTTATAATAACAATATACAGCAATAGTAATAATAACAATAATATAATTAACAATATTAATACCCAAATTATAGCAACTAGTATCCTTAAAACTCATGGAACTAACAATATTATTAGCAGCCGCCTGTTTATAATTATCATTAATAGTATGCTTCATCTTAAATTCCACAATAAAATTATTAATAATAAAACCCTGTTGCCTTTCAAAACTCATCTAATTATTAACCTATTTATTAATATTAAAATTAATAAGCATAGCCATATTATTAAATATAACCACAATAAAATGTTTACTAATAATAAAATATAGTAGGTATAAATTAAAATTCTAATTATTAAACTTAGTACGCTGTACCACAAATGAATAACCCTTCAAATTAGGTCTATGATTAGAATTAATATTAAATGTAATTGCAAAAACAGACTCAAAATAATTAATAAGTGTAATAAAAATAATTTGGATATAATAATGCATTGAATTAGAATTAAAATTTACCAAATAATACTTTTTAAAATAGAGAAAGTGTTCCTGTTTATTAAAATACAACACAAAATTCTTAAATGATAATTGGTAACTAAATAAAGAATACAAGTGATTAGTTGTAGTTTGGAGAAGAAAACAAATCAAGTATTTCATAAAGAACTTAATCTTAACAAAATAATTAATAAATTGCCTCATTTAATAAAAATTAAAATTTACAAAGTAATTCTTCTTAAAAAGGTTACTCAAAGCATTTAAGAAATAGAGATGATAATTTTGACTAAAACAATAGCTAGAAGTCCCAAAAAAATAGAAGGAATAACTCAAGAGAAAGAGAAATAAGCAATGAAAAGTTATCTTCAAAAAATGATATCAGTACATATCAAAGTATGAGAAGCAGAAGAGAAAATAAGAGTAAGTATGGAAATAAAGCAAGAGGTAGCAGTAGATATTCCTCAAGAACATCTTCTTCGTCATAATCTAGGAACAGATCACCTTCATCGTCAAGATCTAGATCATCTTCTTAAAAACATGGCAAAAGTCGTTATTCACGTAAGAAAAATGACTCTCGCTCCAATTCTTCTGAGTATTCAGGATCTTCTTTCCATTCAAAAAGTAGTAGAAATAATATAAAATAAAATAAGTAAAATAAATCTAAAATTAATAAAAGTAGCAGTCTAAATGATATTAATCAAAGTAATAAAAAACCATCCTCTCAAATTAAATCATTAGAAAAAATTCCTTAAGTTAAAAAAAAAATATATTTATAGAATGGAAATCCTGTTTCTACAGTTTATAATACTGAAGGAAATGAAGAGATTGATAGTCAAAAAAAACCTGAAATCTAAATTACTAAGAGGTCAATAAAGAGTATAAATTTATCTGGAGGAAAAATCTTTAATGACTAAAAAAAAATAAAAATAAATAAAACATAAAAAGATGATTTAATTTAACAAGATTCTTATGATGATGAAATGAAAAATGATTAAATTCCTATAATTGAGTTTAGTTTCAAAAAAGAGACACCTAAGCTATGTTTAGGTAAGCTTAATATATTTAAAATGGATTAAGATGAAGTAAATGAGGAAGCTGAAGATAGTGTTTCAAAAGTGAATAAGATAAATTAGTAACTAAAAGGAGTTAAACCACAACTCAGCCGTTAGTAGTTAGACTAAATTAAAGACTCACCCTAAAAGCAGCAAGAATAACCCCAAACTAACAAAATATCTTTCAGCATTGATTATAATTAACTTAATAATTAAGAACATAGCAATTCATCAAATAATTAGAGTGATTCGTTGAAAAAAAAGTTATTAAATTCTTAAATGTACTCTTATAGTATTTTAGGAAAAGAAAAAAGGGGATATAGCCAAATAATTAACCTAAGAAATAAAATTACAAAAATAATTGAAGATTAAGAAGAATTATTAAATGAGTAATAATAATAACAACAATAACAGCAATAAATGAGTAGCATAAATTAATCAGAAGTAAACTAAGATGACTTCACAAAAGGTATTTTGAGAATTTACATATTTTTAAATTATTTTATTAATTTATTGATAGTTTTGTCAAAATAAATTAAAATTTTTGAAGGTTAAGTGAGTTGAAGGTCAAGATAAAATTAAGAACTCTAATTTTCATTCCTTAAATTATATTTTCAAAGAAAGACACATATAATTTGTTTATTATTATTGATTTTCTTTTCCTTATTAAAATACAAAACAAATTTATGAAATATTTATTTTTATATAATTTTAAAATATATTTTCTTACTAGTTTAAGATAAAACAAAATAAATTTTTATACATGATATAATTGGTTTAGATGATATTATTGGAGGAGGAATGAACCAAAATAGATATTTCTGTGATAAAAAAGGTCAAATTTGCTTTAAGTGTGGTAAACCAGGTCACGTTAGAAATGCTTGTGTTATGAATGAAGAAAAGGATGTATGCACTTACTGCTTAGGAGATCACTTTATGGCAAAATGCACTTAAAAAGTATGTTTCAAATGTGGAGAAATTGGTCATGAAAGAAACTAGTGTCTTGTTATGAATTAAGATGGCAATAATAATTTTAATAGCTACTAAAAGAAAAGAATTCCTAAATGTAATAACTGCACTAAAATGGGTCATATTTAGTAAGATTGTGGAATTATTAGACCAAACTATGATGCAAAACAAGAACTCTCATTTAGTTATAATTTCAATGAATATGATTTCCAAAATTTGATATGTTTAAATTGCTAGCAACCAGGACATATTTCTTGCTTTAAAAATATTTAAGTATATGATAGTGTATATAGCGAAGAAAAATTATCAAATAAAATAAGATAACAACTATTTAAAACTATCTACATGAATAAATACATTTAAAGTAAAAATAATTAAAATGAAATCAATGAAGATGAAACCTAAAATGAAATTATTTCATAAATGGATATAGAAAAAGAAGAAAAAATATAAGACATCAGCATTTAAAAAAGCATTTCAGAGAGTGAAGCTGAATAAAAAATTGAGGAATAAGAAAAATAAAAAGATTTTATATCATTCTAAAATAATGAATAATATGAATAAAATTATGAAAGAGAGCCTTTTAGCAAATAATAAATTTATGATTAAAGCTCTGAAGAAGTCATAATTAAATCTCCCCAAAGCCAAGGTTATACATTCTCAGAAAAAGATGTGAGTTAAGAAGAATAGTTTACAGATTCTGTTCATTAGCATAATGTTAATTTTGAGGGAACAGTATCTGATAACAATAAATAAGCATTTACTACGAATAGCCAGAATGTTTGAATTTTTTAAAAAGTTATTTTAATTTTTATAGTTATAAGATAATTAATTAATTAATTTGATTTTTTAATGGTATATTAGATTTATTTTTCAAACATTTTTTTAAAAGGTAAGTAAATTTTATTTCAATTTTTATTGGTTAATTAATACAATTTGGAAGGATTGGATTTGATTTGATTTCAACTTAGCTAGCTAGCTATTCATTATTATACAAAAAAAAAAAATAAACAAACAAACAACTTAATCATCTTCAATATCTAAAGATTCATTCACAATTTAATTTTAAAATAAAATATGTATTTATTCATTTACTATTTTTAACTGTTAGTGCATTTAAAAATTAAAATTTATTAAAAATCTACTCAATCACTATTTATTATAAATTAGATTATAAATAACAAACAAATAAACAAAATCTTCATATTTATTAGAATTTTAAAAATTAATTAAAGTGAATTATGGTTTCTTTTTCCAAAATCTACAAAATTAATATTATACTATCTAAGATAGCTTTGATTATTTATTGATTAATCTAAACTAAAATATAAAAAATATCTTTGATCAAAAAAAAAAAAATTGTTTAATATTTTTCAACTTTAAAATATAAACAACGAAATTATCAATCGTTTATTAAAAAAATAATAATAGCATGGAAGTTAAACCTAGCTTTTTGAATAGTAGCAGACAGTTTCCTTCTTGTGAAGATGCTGAATAAGATTCTCCAAACAAATTAAGCGATGATGAAGAAAATTCTGAAAATTTTACTAAATTTAAATAGGAATTAGAATTATTCAAGTAAATTGTAAAAAGATGGGGAGAAAAAAATATAAATCATATTATGAAAGTAACGCATAACACAAAGGATGAAAATGATAGGTACAATGTGAACCTTGAAATGAGCAATCAGCAATTTTCTTTGATAATTAGAGTAATAATTTTTTTATTGAAATGTTATTTAAAGTTTTTTCTAAATAGATTAATAATTTTCATCTTTTTTTCATGCCACAAGATGATGACAATGATGATTAAAATTAAATAACACCAAATATAGTAGAAATCGCTAATGTTGATTATATCAATAATTATGAAATAGATTAATTCGAAACTTAGCTATCTAATAAATGGATGGAGTAATATTAGTAAATTGATAAAAACAATGAAAAAGTCATTTTATCCTTTTTAGATGAAGTAACATTTTAATTAAATACTAGAAACAATCTTGAAATATTCTGGTATAGTTGATATTATTATACACAGAATTAAATATTTTATTTAAATAAAACTAATTTAAAAAAAAAATAATATTTAATTTTATAATAAAGCTCAAAGCCAGATTCCATAAGATTATGAATTCAAACTAAAATTAATAGAAACCTAATATTAAAGATTTTGTTCCTTACCCTGGTGGAGCTACTATAAGCTGGAATTCCTAAGGCCATTTAGCTGTTATTAAAAATTTGAAGATAAGATAATTAATTGCTCAGGATCCTTCGCTTAAAATGCTAGATTAAACATAAAAAAAAATGTCTAGATTAAATTAATATCTTTCTAAAGAGAGGTAGAATACCAAAAATTAAGCAAGTTTAAGACTTAACAAGGATTTTTTGCTTGCTGACTCAGAAGAAAATGACGAAAATGTTTTTATTCATAATTTTACAGCTTTTGAGGAAGATGAGAACATAGATAACAAGGACTATTTGAATTTTAAATTTGACAATTTTCACTTTTTCCCAGATGTTATGCAAATATGCACATTTTTTGTTGATCACAAAAAAAATTTAGCAATGACTTCTCAAACTTCACAAGATCCAAAAAAGGAAGAAAATAATTTAATGAATAGAAGAAGAGAGAAAATAGTACTTAATCCTAACGATATTTATGCTGAGAAACTTAAAAAATTATTAATAAATAGCTAGAGTAAAAGAAGAGACAATAACGATGATGGGCTTTCTTCTATATTTGTAAAAAATTTTTGAGATAGAATAAAATTGAATGTCTAATTTATTTATTAATAATAGATTTTTGATTTTGAAAAAAGATAATTAATGGAAGAAAATAAGTTATTAGATTTTCTAAATAAGATGATAGATTTTGGTAAAAAGAACATAGACAATGATGCAAAATATGTCCAATTTATTATTTAACAAATTCTTTATGATAGTACTGATGAAACAATAAATATAGTAAAAAATATATAAAAAGTCTTAGAAAGCAAAGATTATGATGATATAGAAAATATAAGTTATATTGGAAATTTTTTGCTTAAAAATTATTTTAATGAGTTGATAGAAACAAACAAAGAGAAATTTTTAATCCTAGCATTTTAAGCTCTAATATTTGAAAATTTTATTAGCTTTGTTAGAATTAAGAACTTTATTAGAAATGTAGCAAATTAATTCAAAAGTGATTATGAAGAAGAGTACCAGATGATGATAAATACCTGCAATAATTTAAAATTTGATAGATTTTCTTTTACACCATTCTGCATACAACTCTCCCACTTTCCTTTTGTTTAAAAATAGAATATTTTTAAATAAGACACTACAAAGTCTTAAGAATTTGTAATAACTAACCAAAAAAGTGTAAGATTTTAATTATTTTATTTAGGTTTATTAAAATTTACATTTTTATTCTAAATAGTATTATCAAAAAGCAAATAATAAGTTTACTCATGCATAAATACCTAATATTAATACTGTGAAAGTATACTAAACAGTTTATTAGCTTATTAACTAAAATTATAACTTTGAAAGAATTGAGCCTTACAATATTTTATAGTAAGAGCACAGAGTAAGCATAAAATATAAAAAATAATTAAATAAAATAAATATTTTTAAATAAAAACAGGCAAAATTTTTAGCATAATACATTTAAATTTCAAAAAATTTAAATAGAAGAATGCTCTTTATAAAGGAGAGGTTCCTAGAAAAATAAATAAAATTAAATTTTAGTATTCGAAGATTGATAATATTTTTAAATTGCTTGCTTAAATCATTTTGTGAGGGAGTACATACATATATCAATGATTTTAAGGAGAGTTGTTAAAATTATGAGTTAGAAAGAGATAACTAATAAGAATAGGAATGCAGTGTTTGCGAATTTAAAGTAAAATTACTCAAAAATTGCAAATATTTATCTACTTTCTAAAGGTAAAAAGAAGCAGCATAACATGCAGACAATGCAAGCATGGGGGTCATAAAGAGCATATTAGAGAGTGGTTTAAAAAAGTAATTTTTTGACATCAAATTAATCATTTAGTATTATTTTAAAAAAATAGAATTAACATTGTCCTTAATGCTTCACTTGCCACTGCTTTAAAAATTGAATATATGAATATTGAAAATTTCTTAGATTATTACCAGTTTAATTATATCTTTGGAATGAAAGAAAAGATGCTTTGTAGAATTTATAGTTTATATGTAAAAAATTATTATCAAAATTTTGTTTAATACTATTGTTTGTTTGTTTGCAAAAACTTATTTAATATAAATAGTAGAATAAAAACTTTAACTGTATTAAGTTTATTTTTATAAAGTATGAATAGCCATAGATAAAGCTTATAAAAATCAAATACTAATTTAGATTTGTCCTAAGTAATTTTAAATTCTATTACCATTTTTTTTACTGATTTAATGTAATGATCACACTATTTTTTATTTTTGCTAACATCTATGAATTTATTTGGTTTATTTGCCATATTTTATTTATCAATATTATATAGTCATCAAGAGGCTTATTTAATAATTAAGTAAATGAAAATTTGAACAACTCTAAAAGAAAAGAAGATGTTTCAATTTCAAAATTTAAAATGTAATCTACGTTTAAATAAAAGGATCAGCTTTATGATAAAGATGATAACTATGTGCATTCTATATATGATCAGAGCTCTGATTAAAGTAGTAGGAATTATAATTTTGAAAAAAAAAAGAAGAGAATGTTTTTAAACGTTTTAAGCGACTACTTTGAAAAAGATAAAAGTTTGTAAAAAATAAATATGATACAAAAGTAGTTAGAAAATATTTAAACTGTAATCCCATTTAAGGCTAAATATTTTACAAGAGACGCAGCAAGCTAAATAATAAAAGAAAATTCATAGCTCAATAAGCCGAGTAAATAATCTTCAAGTATCTTTATGGCTCCTATAAACTTTCTTATCAACTTTATAAAATGCAAAAAATTACAATAATCCTTACAAAATAATTTTATTAAGCTTTGGTTTTAAAAAATACCAGCCTTAAATCCATACAGTAAGAAAAAGTTGGTTTGGGATTCGTGCACGACTATCATCACTTTTCTAGTATTATATGTATTTTCTTTAAGAATAGTATTTGAAAATAATTAAATAGGTAGTATATTTGATATATTTTAAGCTGTTATTATTCCTACTTCTTTTTTTTTTTGGATTATTGATTTGTTCATTGAATTAAACACAGGAGTGCTAGAAAGAGGAGAGCTTATTGTTGATAAGGTATATATAGCATCTAAATATTTCAAACAAAGACTTATTTTGGACTTAATTGGAATACTTCCTATTGCTTACTTCATAATAAGCCCTAGTTACAAATAAATATCTATTGACTTTTTAATTATATTAAAATTGAAGCATTTTTACTAAACTTTTTCTAGACTTGAGCATTACCTTTCATATTAGTAAGACAAAAAAAACTTAATTGATTTACTTAAACTCGTTTTACTTATTTTAGTTACTAACCACCTAATTGCACTTCTTTGGTACAGGCTAGCTACGTTTGAGAAAAATTTTTTAGGATATAAATAAACTTGGATTGATAATTTAAAAATAAATGCCAATTCTTTTATGGATTACTATTAAATAGCCATATATTTTGCTACTGTTACTGTATATACAGTTGGATATGGCGATATATCACCGTGTACTCTTTTGGAGTGCAGCTTTGTAACATTAACAATTATAATCACTGGTATAATTTTTGCTTATGCAATTAACTAAATCGGTCTTATAATGTAAAATATAAATTCCTCTAAAACAATTTTAAAAGACGATTTAATGATCATGAATAAGTAAATTTTTCTCACTCTTTTTATATTTATTTTGCACTTTTAAATTAAAAATAAATTCCATTTAAATTTTTTTGGATTTTAAACAAATTTTTAAATATTTTCGAACAAAATAGTTTTTAATTGTATTTTTTTTATTTTAGATTCATGCAATAAAAGAATGTAAACTAAGATCTTCGCATGAGAATAAGAAATTATTTAGAGCATATGCATAGATAGTTTTAAGAAAATAACTCTGATGGATAAAAAAAAGTTTTCAGCAAAATATCTCCTTCTTTGTTAAAGGAAATAAACTAAGATATCTATAAAGAATTTATTTTTTCAAATGAGGTTTTCAATTCAATTTTTAGTTTAGAATTTTTAAAGTCTACATTAGATGCTGTAGAAGAATTTGTGGCGACTCCAGGAGAGTATCTATTTAAAGAAGGAGAAAGAGATGATCAAAGTATTTATTTTGTATTTGAGGGGAAGGTATAAATAACACTTAATCAGCAAATAGTTTAGATAATAAAGGGATAAGCAATTAATAATAAATATTAATTACAACTTAAAAATAAAAATGAAAATTCACAAGATAAATTTAAATAATCTAAATTACAAGATTAAGATTATAAATTGATAAATGAATTCTTAAAAAAACAAAATTTTTAAATGAAAACACAAAAAAGTATTTAAATGACTAATTTACTTTTAGAAAGTAATAAAAAAACAGCTTTTTAGTAGGAAGATGATTTTTTTGATTTAAATAGGCTTGCTGATGAGTAATCTGGAAAAACTATAAGTAAAAGATAGAATGTTAAACAAGTTGCTATGGACATTCTTTTAAAATTGAAAGAATAAAATAAATATTTTGGAGAGTATAATTTTTTCAGCAAAGAATCCGAAAGAATTTATAGTGCTTAAGCTAAAGAGTTTAGCAGAATATATAAGATGAAAAGAGAAACATTTCTTGAAAAAATTAAAGATTTTTAATCAGATTTTGAAAAATTTTGTGAAATTCAAGATGAGATCTTACAATTTAAGCATTCTTTGAATTTTAAGCTTCCATGTGTTGTTTGTGGAAGTTTAGCTCATTAGCACACCTAATGTTAATTTATTCATTATGCTCCAAATTAATGGAATTTAATTTAATTACATAATTTTTCTCTTGAACAAGAAAGGAGATTCTAATCTAGGTGGGGTTTAAAATCATTTAAACCTACTCTCAATTAAAAATATATTGAATAGAGAGCTGAGAAAATATAAAAAACTCACAAAGAAGAATTAGATTAAATTCTTTAAAATTTAGATAAATCTCTTATATTAGAAAATCATTCATACAATAACTTAGAGTCTTAAATTAGCATCTTCAATTAATAAGAAAGTAGTAAACAATAAGAAAATGAAAAGATAGATGAAAACGTTAGCGATGAAGTTTCAGAATACCAATCTGATTAATATGATGGATTAAGATAGAGAGATAATACAATACGGCAAAGAAATGAAACCATTTTTGAATTTTAAGATTCAAAACTGAGCAGTAATATTCATGAAAATAAAAATATCTTCAAAAAAACTTCATAATAAAGACTAAGTAGTAAAACAACAAGCACGAGAAATTAAAAATCTATTTAAGAGAATCAGTTTACTAGTTAATTTACCTAACAGCAGCAATAATAAGATGAACAATAAGTTATTTAGTATCTGAATGAGAAAATTTTATTAAAAGATTAGTAATAGTAATAATTTTCAAATAACGAACAAACTATAGCCAGGCGCAGTTTTTCAAATTAAAATAAAAGTAATATTTAATCTAACGCTGATTTATCTAATAAAGTTTATAGTATGGCTAGTTTCAATTTAAAATTAAATACGAGCAATAACTTGCAATGCCATCAACCTAATATCAGCAATTTTGTAGCGTCTTCAATTAATTCAAAAAGGGAAATTATATCTCCAAACTATTATAAAAATAGTGATACTTCTAAATAAAATTCTTCTTAAAAAGAAATACCAGTTAGTGAAGATTACAAAAAAGAAATAAAAAGTAATTTTGATAATATGCAAAGTATTCAAAAAATTTCAACAAGCCATTCAAATTTATAAGATCATTAAATTAGTAGTAGATCTATCAAAGATTATCCTTCTTCAAGGTAAAGATCAAGGTAGTACGATAAAAATAATAATGATTCAAAAGAAAAAAACTATGAGAATCATTTACTTTTTAAATAGTTCACAGAACATATTTGTAAATAAATTTAATATTATCAAAAATCCACTCTTAATGATAGAGAAGATAATTCACCTTCAATGTTTCACCGTATATCGCATTCTTACGCTTTAGGGAATATGACTGATAACAGTAAAACAAATTAATTTGATTAATTTGAAAAAATGAAAGAGTTTGCGAACTATTTTTCTCACAATAATTATAGCAATATTATATTAAAATTTAATTCTTTGCAAGACAAATTATTTTTGTAAGCATTGCATAAAAAGTAAAAGATCAAAAACAGGAAAAAAGCTTTTTAAAGTAAATAAAGCACTCTGCGTTAGTAAAGTGTTATAAACTTTAAAAAACTAAATAAAAAAGAATCAGAAGAGAATAGCATGACTTCTTATAACAGTTAATTTTAATTAAAATGAGCTCTATAAAGAAGATAATGAAAATAATAAAATAATTTAAAATGTCCTATTTAATTAAAAAAATAAAAAATTTAAACCAAAAAACTATTAAAAAAAATAACTCTTAGTCTAAAGTTTTTAAAATTAAATCAACAAATTAATTAAAATTCTAAACTTTGTCTGTAGTTAAATTAATTAATATTTAAAATAAATATATTTTATCTGTAAATAAATAAAAATATTAATAGTTTTAGTTATTCAAATAATTTAACTTTTCTCTATTTTTATTTTGAAATTATATTTTGAAAAAAAAATTTAAATCAATTAACTTAATTTTCAAGGATTAAAAAAATTAGGTCATTTAAAAAAAAATTAATTTCTGATATTCCAAATTTTTTGGTTTATTTTAAAATTATTCTCTTTTACTAAATAAAAATGAATGAATTTATTATATTTATTTTTTATGAATCGTTAGTTAGTTAATTAGTCTATTGTTCGTTTTGTTTATATTTCCAATTTTATTTAATCTATCATTTTTTCAATTGTATGGAGAATCTCCATATGCTTCTTGGCGACGCTCACGAGCAAGACTATTCATAAATTCTACCAAATTACTGCGTAAGAATTTATCTTTTTATTATTCTGAAAACTATTTAATTATATTGTAATTATAGTTCTTGAACTATTGTCCTTGAGAATTTAAAAACTCGAATAGTTCTAAAAGATTTTCTTAGCACTGTTAGTCAGTATCTGGATCATATGTCAAATCAATTAAACGAAGGAAAAGAGCTTTACTATCCTACATAACACGCATTTATATTGCTTAAAATAAGAAAATACGCTTGATTATTTCACTAGCAAGCGAACACATTTCTCTTTCTAATAGAGCCAAAAAAATGTAATTCTTTAATTTGTTGAATATCGATATCCATGTTTCACTATCTTTATCAAGCAATGTGTTGTGGAGACATCCAATAATTATTTCTAGGTGTTCTTAACTAAATTCTTTTAATTTCTCCTAATGTACGTATTCATTCAAGGCTTCAGCTATACCCACACTATTCCAGCTGATAGGAGCAGAAGTTAATTTATATTTAAAGGAATTGCATCCGCCAACTATCTAGCCTTCTTCCTCCCCTTAGGTAGGGTTTGTTAAGAGTACTGATTCTCTAATATTAGGAGATATTTTTAATAAAATATCTAAGTATCTATTGCATAAAATTGGATAGAAATTTAAAACAGGTGCAAGATAAATAAGCCCAATACGAAGGATGTTTTAGCTGTGTTTAGAATCAAATATGCAATAGACTATATTCATCAAATATTTTTAACGCTCTTTTCTATCTTCAATATCTTATTATTCATCTATTGCTTCTTGCTAAAGTGAGTTTTAAAGAGCTTCAGGAGGGTTAGCTTCATTTTCTTCACTTTATTTGTATTAAGAAGCTACAGAATTCTTTTTAGTTGATTAGCGAGGTTAATTTTTACCATTTTAAACAGGTGAAAAATCATCTTTTTCTCCTTAAAAACTATTTTAGATATCACTCTTGACTGAATCAGCTTCTTGACTCCCTTTTCCTTCAGTTTACTTCTTTTAATGAGATTAATTGTGAAGTTATTGTTATTTGTAAAGCTTATAATTTTCATCTTCTTAAGCTAAGTAAAGAAGTAAATTTTAACAAATAATCAATATTTGGGCTTTAACTTCCCACCAATCATCATTTATTAGATTATTCAATGTTTGAATTTTAGAGAGAACAGGAATATAATCATAAAAGCAAATTTCATTTAAAATCTTAAGAGCATTTACTCTTGTTACTGGAGAAGTAGATGTAAGAGATCTGATAGAATAAGTAAAGAATACTCTGTAAAGTTCTACATCAAAATCATCTTCATAGTTTTAAGTAATTAGCTATGCTAGAATCGAAACAAATTCCTATGAGCGTGTATTGAGTAAATGCTATATCTATTTAATCATATGTAAACGAGCAGTACTATCTTTGGAGCAGAAGCGATAAATAATGTCACATAAACTTTCTTTCTTTGTAGGATGCTTAGCTATAACATCAAGTAAAGGCGATAGAAGAATATTTTCAAACATCATTTAAGTACTCTAAGCATCTGATTCTACTAAAGCACTAGCAACCTTACGGAATAAACTCAGAATATACATAAAAGTTTTAGAAGTATTGCTTAAATAATTTAAAGGCTTTATAAACATGAAGAAAAATTTTTTAAAATCTAAGAAGTTATTGTTTAAGGTATCAATAATCAATGGTATGTTATTGTCGATAAAGCTTTACAATAGAACTTTCATAGATTTTTTTCTAACTTCATCGCATCTATTGAATATCTCTACAATAAGCTGTGGCTTCTTTTCATCAATACCTAAATTTCTGTAAAATGATATTAGCTGATCTTTTTTAATCTAAAAATATTTTAAATAATGCATTACTTTAAATCTAAAGCTATAGGTTCCTTTTTGAATAGAGTTGAAGATTGATCTTATAAAAAATCTAAAATGCCTTTTGCTTCCATTAACTGACCTTATTGCTCTTTATTTTTCTTACTAGTTGAAGAATTGTATGATTTTAGTTGTATTTCTCTTACTTCTGGCTGAAGAGAGTCTTAAATATTTTTATTATACTTTTTTTTACGCTCTAGCAACATTTCTTCCTCTTTTCTTAGCTACTCTTCTAACTATTGTCTCTTTTTAAATGTGAGATACTCCTTGATATTTGAATTTTATTTTTCTTATCTTATATTTTCTTCATGTTAAGCCATAACAACCTTAGTACGAGCTTCTCTAAGATCGTTATCTGTAATTCTTGTTAATTCCCTATCTCTAGCTAAGGTTGCTCCAGTAGGTTTCAAATATGCTGGAGGATTGTAGTCCTCGTCCTCCTCTTCACCTGACTTTTTTGGTTTTTTATCTAAATTTAATTTACGACGAGTTGTAAATTCATAAAGTTTCTGAAGGAAAACATAAGCTGCTTCAGGAGCTTAGTTATATATGGGTTCATAATCTTCAGGAGCAATTAAAAAGCTTTTTTTTAAGAGTAATTTAGATATTTATTCCCAATTATCTCTTCTCCTTTCAAGTCGTTATCCGTTGTCATAAGTGTAAATATTTACTTCTCTTGGGAAATACCTACTCAAAATTTCAGCAATAACGAATCCATTTGCTAAATCTCTTCTAACATTTCTAACCTGATACGCTAGATCTAAAGAATCTAACCATTAAATAATTTCTCTAGGCAGCGCTTAACTTGCATTCATTTTATTAATTTGTGTCTTTACACTTAAGCTTTAACTTAATACAAAACTAGATTTTGTTAAATAAAGATTGATTGATATTTATATATAAAACTATATGAAAAATTGTATATATTATTTTATTATCTAATTATCAATCTGTTTATATTATTTATAAGTTTTATTAATATCAAACTATTAATTTTTAATTTTTGTTTCATTTATTATGTAAAGTCACTAAAAATGCAGAAACTATTTATTAATTAATTAATTGATTTATTTATTTATTAATTTAATTCTTTTGAAACAGTCTACCAATTTTTATTAGTTATAAACTTAATACTTTTTGATAATTCAAATTATTTTAATTAATAAAAATATTAATATATCTTTGCTACATCATACAACAATATCTATGTGTTTATGGATAAACTGTCTCAGCTATTTATTTCATTTTTTCAAAAATTATTTCAAATCTTGATATTAAATTTACTTTTTCTTTTTTTGAGTCATGAAATAAAATTATTTTTAAAATTTAAAAGATTTGAATTAATTTATTTGGATTTTTCTAATAATTTATTCATATTTTGAAACAAATATCAATATTTATTTTTGGAAAAAATTTTGTTTTACTTTTTATAATTAAGAAATCTTGAAATAATACAATTAGAATAAGAGTATATTTTTAATAAATGATTGACTTACTTTAGGAGCTTTATATTGTATGTATAATATTTTAAAAAGATTAGATTGAAAATACTTAATATATTTTATCTATTTTAGCTTACTGATATAGATCAATCAAAAATGTATCAAAATCAAGAAAATAAGGATTCATAAACCATTTAAAAAGGTGATAAGTATATTGATGAGAATACTATAATTAACGAAAAAATGAATGAACAATTTTAAAAACCTTTAAACGAATGTTTTAGTCAAATAAAAATATGTATCCGCTAGATTAAAATTCTTACTTCATAATATTAAAATGCTACTTTATAGAAACACGAAATTGAAATTTCATAAAAAATGGATTAAACAGTACAGAATTTAACACAAACACAGCAATAAGTTAAAAAAATTTTTGACGACTTTGAAAAAGTATTAGAAGTGGAAAAATAAACATAACCTGATGAGCCTGAAACAAGAATGATGTAAGTGTAATATGGAATATATTGGGAAGAATTTTCTGAAATTTTAAAAAAAGTTAATGAAGCCAAACTATATTATTAAGATATGATAAAACAGAGAGCTTTGAGGTAAGCTCAGTTATTAAATAATAAAATTACTGAAGAAGAATTAGAATAAATAATGAAAAACCCATTGAATAGCAGTGAATAATAAATTTATTAACAAATGCTCAAAATGCCAAGTGCATAATTTAAAACTTACGTTAATGATGTCTAAGAAAAATATTCTCACATTTTGGCTCTTTAAAAAAGTATAATTAAAATGCATGAATTGGTGAATCAGGTATCAATGCTAGTGTTCAAGTAGGGAAAAGTTATTAACGATATAACAGAATATATCTCTTAAGCATTAAATTATAATGAAAAAGCTGTAAAGGTATTAGAAAAAGAAAAAGTTAATCAAAAATAAAATAGGAAAGTAAATTTTAAATTAGTTTTTACTCATATTTATTTACTAAAATATTAAGAAAATGATCTTAATTATAGTGATTGGCATGGTAATCATACTTGCGATAGTGTTGTCTTCTGTGATGACTAAGAAATGATAAATTTATTTATAATTAATACTCTTAACTTATATTTTATGAAATTGTTTGAAATTATTTTTTAAGTAATAAACATCAATTTAATAATTTATAATTAATATTGTTTGAAGTTGAATTTAGTCAATCAATTAATATATATTTTAATTATAGCTGTTAAATAGATAATTAATTAATTAATTAATTGCAAAATTTTAGAAATATACTAGTTTCAGGAATATAAACTTATTTCTAAATTAAATTTATTTGAGGTTGATATTTTAAGAATTTGATTGGTTTTTTAAAAAAAATCAAAAAGAAGTTTCTGATTAAAGATATTTTTGCAAAAATAATTATAAAAAGCTTTTAAAATTAAAATTATTACAGTAGGAATACAAAACTTTAAGCATGATAAGAGCTTTTTCAAATATTCGAGCCATATCATTTAAATAAAAATAATTTAAGTTTGATTCGTTTAAAGTAGAATATTTTTTAAGTTATATTTAAGTTTTAATTTAGAAAACAATAAGCATTATGTTTTAATGCAAACATAAAATTAATCAATACATTATTAAAATAATAAAAGAGTTTCCACTAACCAATAGTTTATAGATTTGCTCATTATGATCCATATTACATATTAGGAGTTGATAGAAGAGCAGAGTTCTCAGATATAAAAAAGGCTTATTTTAAATTAATTGCGTAATATCACCCTGATAGAAATCCTTCTCCAGTAACATATTATTTATAAATATTTTTCTTTAAAAATAATAGTGCTACTTAAATTTAATTATATAATCCATTTCATTAAAAAATATTTTATTGAAACGTTATTAGGACGCTACAAAAAAGTTTGTACTTATCAAGGATGCATTCGAAGATGTAAAAAGATAATTAGGTTAAGAAGTAAAAATGACATATGAGTCATAAAGAGGTTCAAAATCAAGTGAGTTTTAATCAGTAAGACCAGATACAAATAGATATAAGGAGGACTTCGAAAATGAATAAGAGAGCAGTGAAAGTGGACAATAATAAAAATATGGAAAATTTGATTTCAGAGAATATGCCTCTCGTACACCAGAAGGGGAGGAATTTGATAAATTTAGGGATTCTTTTGAAAATATAGCAGATATTGAAGATAAAACATTTACACCAATTGATGCTGATATTCCTGATGCTTCAAGTAAGAATTTATATAATTATTAAATTAGATTTTAACTTTATTTTTTCATATTACATTAAAATAATATCTTTATAAAATTATAATTTTTAGAAAGATTTAAGTTAGAAGAGAAAATATAAAAAAATACTTTTTTACCAGAGGACTCTAAAGTCATGTTTATGGTTTTACTTACAATATTTTTAGCCTTTGTTGTTTATATGTAAGCCTGTTTATATTTAAATATAATTATTTATTTATTCAATTTAATTTATTAATCCAACAGGTCTTCAGCAAATTCAAAATCTGTAAAAAATAAATATGAGGTAGCTATTTATCATATGCTTAATAAAGATAAGCTACAAGATTTGGAAGAAGAATATGATAAGCATGAAGAAGTTACAAAAAATTTAAAAATGAATTAATAATATAAAGAATATAAGTAAAAGTTAGAAAAAAACCTTGAAAATGCTGAGCAAAAAATGCTTGCTAGAGTTCCTATCATAAGAGAATATTCTTCTATATAAGATACTATAAGAAGTGAGAAAGGAGATGATGAAGATGATGAAATATGATTGGCTTGATTTAATAAATTGATATGATCAAACTGTTAAGCAATTAGCAATAGGGATAGTAAATTAATGATAAATTTTTATGAATGAAAAATGTTATTTTAATAAATTATAAAAAATTAATTACTATGTATATTCACTATTAATATAATATTACGTATACACATATTAATGATCTAAATGTATTATCAGAAATCAAAATCTTCTGATTACAAATTAGAATCTGTAAAATATATTAATAATTATAATAATTTTTTGTAATTTGATTTTCGACATACTAAGGATATTATTTTTTATTAATTTAGTTTAGTAAGTACTAATATTCTTACAAAAACAAAACAGGTAATATCATTTTATAAAGATTTTTTTGTGTAATAATAGAATGTTTTGATATTTTAGGTATATTTTAATCAATATTAGATTTTTAAAATATTAATATCGATCACTACTAATTTTATTTTTTTTCTAATTCTTTTTGGCTAAATAATATAGGAATTTTAATTAATCTAATAACTCTAGTTAATACATTCATTGATTAAATATATTTTTAGATTTTAAAATTTTTATTTTTTGATTATAAATCTGAATATTATTTTAAATTTTTTAATCATAATTCATAACAAATGGAAAAAATACATATACCTTCAATTTTAAAATCATTAATTTAAGGAAAAATAAATAAATTTCTCTCTCTATTTCAGGAATAAATTGATGTAATCGTTTATTATATTAAAAATCTAAAATATATTTGTTTAATAGTGAGAGAATCAGTAAAATATATAATAAATGATGAAACATAAATTCTAGATTGTATCAGTAGTTTTTGTGTAAAATAGTGTATTACATTAGAGACTTGTCTTTAAAATTCAGGTGAATATTGATTGAGTTGAGGCTATATTTTTCATAGACCAACAATTTATAATATTGAAGATATTATAAATAAAATCAAAGTCTATATGCCTATTTTATATATTTTTTAATAGAAATCATTTAAAATCAAACTTAATTAAATAAATCATTCATACATTTATAAATAAGCACATAGATTGATAGAGAGAGATAAATAATTAGAAAGTAACTCCTTATACAAAATTATTTTAAAAGGTTCTTCGCCTTCAAAATGAAAAGAATAAATTTTATCATAGGTTTTCTACCTAATATATTCTTATCATATTTACTAATCATTTATCTACTTGTTGGAGAATGTATAGCTGGGCATATTTATCCTTGGGATATATCTATGAATTACATAAATGCAGGTTTTGCATCAGTTTTTACTATACCTTTCAAGCTAGATAGTGGAATAAGCTCAAGTGATTACTTTAAATTAGTATTTCCTTTTAAATTACACAACTAAGAATAATATGGTACACCAAACGGAAATATTCCTGTTAATTTGATTGCCTCCTATGCTGTTGCTTCTGGTGGATATTTATGCGGAACTGGAAATTATATTAATGCATAAGTAAATATTAATGTTGTTAATGGGCAAAATTAAGAACCTACTGCTTATTACATTTCCTTTTAAGATGTGTTAGGAAATCCTATAAGCTTACTTGCAAACTAATACTACTATTTAAAATTATAATTAACTGGAAGTAATGTGAACGTTCAATCTCCAGGTATTAAAGTTCCTATTTAGGTAATATTTGTTATTAGAAATAATAGAACTAGCTCACCAGCTATATCGCTTTGTTAAAAGATTTATCAATATCTTATTATATTGAGCTATTAAAAATAAATAGTTTTTATTTGTAAATTACTTTATATAAAAAACATGGAATTAAAACATTTTATTAATAATTAATATTTTAATTCAATAATCCTTAATTATTTTAAAAAGGCATATACTGTAAGCAGCATTTCAAGTATTGCAATAGTTTATGACAGAAATCCTAGCTTTACTAATATAGCACTTGGAGATTATCCTTTAATGGATTTACAACTAACAGTAACAATACTAAACTAAAACACTGCCAATATGATTGGGGCTCTTAATACAGTTTATGTTGATGTAGGAGTCAAGTAATAAATATAAGATTAAGCAAGAATAGAAATTAAGTTTTTAAATAATGATTTTACTTTTAATACAAATTGCTCAACTGGAAGTTAATTATAAAATCCTTACATTCCTCCCTTACCCTCTTCCTAGTACAAATGTGTTTACGATCCATCTTAGAATACAATTACTTACTCAATTTTAAGAACAGTAAATGCTAATGAGATGTTTAGGTAAAAAAATATTTTTATTTAATAATATTTTATTTTTTATAATAAATTAAATGAAGGTTTGTGGTAAATGTGTAAAATCCTAATTATGTTCCATAGTAGGCATATTTATAAGTTAGAACTTTATTATTCAATTAAAACAATATTGTAGAGATTTAAAATAGCAATTCAATATTTAGTGTGAATCAAATTTAATTTAGTTCATAAAATATGCAGTTAGGATGGGGCTTAGAATATTCTTCTTCAGCATTTAGCTTCTATCCTTTTAATCTTCAGGTATTGCGTTAAAGTAATTAGAATCCTGATTTTATCCCTTATAATGCATTCCAGTGGTTATTTAAAATATCTCAAGACTTGCCTGACAATATTAGAGTATAGGTTTAAATCTAAGTCCCAAATAAGTTAAAGACTTTTGTTTTACCAGGATCAATAAGCAATACTTTACCAAGCTATACAGGATTAAACGTTTATTGTTATTTAAATACTTTAACTGATCCTACCTAGTCAGTAATAATATGTGAGAATGTTGGTAAAATGCTAGCATCTACTTAATACACAATTGGTTGTCGTATAACATTTCCTTATGATTTATTTACTTCACCATTAGAACCCAACTTTGGTACTATTACTCTATATGCTGTAATTTTTTAAAAATTTTATTAAAGTTTGAATTGCTCTAAATGAAAATAGGTTGACATAAACTCAGGAAATCAGATTGGACAAGCTCTTTCAGTAAGCTAAAATGCTCTTTAAATTGTTTCTACAAACAACAATCAAAATTGGTCTATAGGAACAACTAATAATTTGGATTACACACTTTTTTCTACTGCAGCACTTACAGACACAGTAAATTCTGCTAATTTAAACATTTTAGGCGCAGTTCCTTCAGCATCTAGCACTACTCTTTAGTAATTCATATTTACTATGAAAATTCCTTCTACAACCATAACTAGCACAGTAGGAAATATACCTAATGGAGCTGGTCTTATTATACTAGCAAATCCTAATGTAATATCACTTCAAGCAAGTGATTCTCCTACAATAACTACCAGCAACGATTCATAATTATAAAGCCCTTTAAATCTCTTTACTTCGGTTCAAATTAGTGAAAGAGCTTCTTATTTGAAAATTAAAATTACCTCTTTTAATAGTTAAGATTTAGATCTGATTTTTAATGGATCAAGTCCAAATTGCTATTTCAAGATAAATAGAGGTAGAGTAATTAGACATTCTTCATATTATGCTGATTAGTATCTGATGGACTTTTATATTGCTACATTTGATCAAATAAATTCACCTAATCCTATATTAAAGAATGTTTTTCTTTATAATGCTTATACAATTAACACAGGTGGACCAGCTAACATAAGGTAGATAAAATTATCTTAAATTTTTAATAATTCAATTCTTATTAAAAATAGATATGGTGTAAGTAATTACATGACTAAAGCAACTCCTACAGATGGAACATAGTTACCAGTTATTTTACGTATAGCTGGTTATTTTAGTGCTTCAGACTTAGGCTCAGCTCGTACTAAGATTGCAATATTCTTTAAAAATCTTGAGCCTTTCTATTCAAATTCTAATTCTAATTATAATATCTAAGTACATTTTTAATTAAAATAAAAATAAATTAAATTGCAAATTAATTATAAAATAGATACCATGTTTTTCATCATTAACAACATAATACACTTGCAGCTATTTTACTTCTGGATAGAACGGTGGAATAGTCTAAGGTTAGAGCTATGCAAATTATCATAGGATTGAGATCTAATTTTAAAAGATTCCTACTGGTGCCAGTGAAAAATTTTAACTAATTATACCTCTCAAGGCCTTTGCTAACAAGTAAAACAGTAATGTAATTATCTATTTAGCTGGATTATAGACAAGTAATCTTTACAGTTCGAACAGCAATCTTAACTAAATAACTTCTATTTATAGACTAACTGGCAAGAATAATATTGTTCCAAGTAATTAATTATTTTAAAACATAATTGCAGCTAGCTAAACTACAGGTAAATTTGTTTAAAATATTTTCTAATCAAATTAATAAAGAATATAAATAAACAAGGATCTTATAATTGGGTTCTGGCTTCTGGGTCTAGAGTTGGTTTGATGAACACTAATTTGTAATTTAAAATTAAAAGTAATACAGTTATAAATGGTAATAAATAAAGTATACCATATTTAAATGGAGCTAGCTTTACTTTATGCTCTGAGTGGAATTATTATACAGCAAGTTCTACAGCATCTTTTCCACTTGGATCTTAAGATTCTACTGGATCATGCCTAAGCTTTAGCTATCCTTTGAGCTTTACTGGAACTACTCCAAATTATAGGTATGGAGTATATTGTCCTTATGAGTAAGGATCAATCACTATTTCAACAATTCTTTAAATTAGCTATGCATTTTTACCATATATAAACGGTAACATGCCTCCTTCTAAAAATATGCTCGCTTGGTCAAACAATGATGGTATTTTATCTGAAAACTAGTTTGGTGTAACAGGTTTTACTGCTATGACATTAGGAAAAATTATAGTTGCTCCAGTAACAAAATCTCTAACAGTAGGAAGATAAAGAGAGTACTTTTCTGTATAATTCACAACATAAAACCCTATTGTTTCGGGAAATTAAATAACTTTGACATTCAATAGTAAATATTTATTCGTTTATTTTTTTTATTTTCTTTTTTAATAATTCATTAATTCTGATTTTTAAATATAAATTTAAAATTAAAAAAATAATAATAGCTGCTGCAGCATTTACTGACTTTAGTTTATAGACTGTAGCTAATCCTTGTAAATTATCTGAAATGAATACAGGGATTCAATAAGCAACTTGCTCAGCCTCAATTAATTCGGCAAATAAATAACTGAACGTTATAATCACAAACTGCTAAAATTGTCTAAAGAGTGGTGGGTCTACATATACTTTAACAATTTATGGAATCTAAATGAACAATCCAGCAATTACACCCCCTACCAAATTTGGAATAACACTTTATGCATCTTCTGCTGCTACACCTCTACTAATAGTTGACCAATCAGCCAGTATTAATGGTGCATAGCCACTAACATATATTAATTCTAGTCCTGCTACAGATCCTACAATTGTTTTTCAAAATTTGTATATGGGTTGCTAAAATCAAAGGTGTAGAACTTTAATGTATTTTTCAGTTACTTTTACCAATAGAATAGTGGCGGTTGATGAGTAGCTCATTTTATCTCTTGGTGGATATGCCAAAGATAATGTGGTTTACCAGAGTAATCTTGTCTGCCAGATATAAAATCCTATTGTAGCTCCAAGCACAATAGGAACTCCTTCTTTTAGCTGGTTATCTATGGATACCACAACTTTATCTTAGATATTAATTATTCCTAAAAAAGAAATTCCAGCCAATTCCTAATTTTTATTTTATTGTGATGGTATTAGAACTCCATATTCTATAAACCCAGCTTAAATTAATGGATTTATATCACCTCAAGGTAATAAAATTAAATTCATTTTAATAAATTGAATACTAAATTTAATTATCAATAATAGGTTCTGTTTTGTAGATTTACAGTGGTTTTTTGAGTAGTACTGTATATTCACAGATTAAACCCTAAAGTTTATTCCCTTCAAATAATTTAGCAGTTTAGTATAAACAGCATAATACAGTAGGATCAAGTGTCGTCTTTAACTTTAACATAACTTCTGAAAAAATTAATATTGTATCAAGCACAAATATACTGATCAATTTTCCTACAACTTATTCACCTCTTTTAACTTCAAGTTATATTTATTGCCTTATGAATAATGTGTTTGTGAGCTGCCAAATAGTGATGCCATATACTATTTTAATTACTTCTTTACCTTTTAGCATAACAGTCAACAAATTTTTTAATATTTAAGTGTTTGGAGTTGAGTAATCAAGTATATTTTACAGTAACTACATGAGTATATTTGTTGGTAAAATTAAATTTTATTTAGAACATAAAAATATATTCTTTAATAATTAATTAATAGGAATAAGTAATCAAGCTTCCTACACTATCCTTGATGAATTTGGAGATGCTAATGATATTCAGCCAAGTACAACTCCTTAGAGAGTTTGGATTACTAAATTAAGTGTAGAATTTTTTTAATTTAATTAAGAAATTTTTTATTTTTAAAACAACTAATTAATTTTAAGGTTTCCAACAATTACATTCGTAACACAGCTAATTATGCTCTTAAAGTTAAAGTACCTGCTGGCTCAGTTGTTTAAGGCAATTACTTTTACATAGATTTTCCTGTAGTTTGGGATAGAATAATAAATTATATAACTCCATTATGTTTCTTATATAATCCGTTAAACACAACTGACTATTCTACTGACTGCTAAACTTTCGGAAATAGGTAAAATAAATTTAAACAATCAATAAATTTTCTTTAAATTATATTATAATTTAGAATTACTATCCCTGTCATTTAAACAGATTAAAATGCTAACAATTTTTATTATATTGTGCTCCAAAATTTAAGAAATCCTGATTAAATTGCTTGTGATGCTGGTAAAATGATTATATCTATCTCCTAAAACAACGGAAACTCAATAGCATCTAGATCATCTTCCAATTTATGGAATATTGTTGGTTTACCTTTCTAAAATAATCCCTCTCAGATAAACTTAAACTGGGTAGATCCTAATACTGGATTGGCTATTACATAAGTATCTGCCTATGTTGGTATGGAATAAATTCAATATTAGAATGAAATCAATTTATTAAAATTATTAATAAATAGGTATTTTTAACAATTTAGTTACTGTTGGAAGTGATTATGGTGCCTTTTTAAAAGCATTTTATATCAAAACTTCTAACAATTAATTTTCTCTAAGCCCAGCATAACCAACAGCTTCATTAGGGTAACTAAAAACTTAATTTGTTATTGAATAATATGTATTTTAATTTATTTAGATATCCGACAGCTCAATTCTAAATTGCAGCTAATAGTACCACTACTCAAGGTCTTTTCTTAGTTTAGCTTCAGAAATCAGATGATTAAGGTGCTTAGACTGCCCTTCCTTTTTTAAAAATTCAGGTTATTGCATAAAAATTTTCTTTAAATGTGCAAGATTTAGTATTCAAAATACCTGTCTCAGGTCATTCTCTACCTATATTGATAGACATGCTAAACTGTTAAAGTTTATATGATACACTACTTTAAGGTACTCTATTTGATCCTACTACACCTTTATAATCAGCTGCAGGACTTAATTTTGTAAATAAAAGCAATATAATTTTAAATTATAATAATCCCTAAGCTTTTTACATGGTCTCGTCAAATCCTAATAGTGCAGTTTTAAATAGCAATGGATAAATAAATATAGTCCTAACTACACAAGCCTTGTAATTCTATAATAGCGTAAATCTTTATTAAAGATTTTCTTTAAGTTCCTCTCAATCTTTATTAATTTATAAAATAGTTTCCGTAACTAACTTATCAAATCATACCAGATAAAACTATAGCACCCAAAGCATAATTACAGGTAAATTAAACTGATAAATTAGTAAATAATTCTAATTAATTTAATCTCTATTATATTTAAAGATATCTTCGACAAGCACTGACAAGGGTGCTACTCATTTGAAAATTGTTATAGGCTGTAATTAAGATAGTACATTTTATTATGTTGCCTCAATTTATGGAGCTTAAAATGTATCACCTTAATTTGTCATATAAAACGCATGGAGTTTTACTATATCTAACTTATTGAATGATCCATATAATTATCATTATGGATTTACAAATATTATACTCGGATCTGGATAAGTAGAGAATGTTGATTTTTAAACAAAAACCGTTCAAGTAAATAAATTAAAACCTTCTACAAACTACAATATTACTGGTTTTTGTGTAAATGGTAATGATTTATTTAGTTCATCTTAGACCATCTAAGTTACCACAAAAGGTAACTCAGGAATATTTTTGACAATAAGCTTTACATTTTCATAGGTGGTATTATAGGATATGGCTAAATAATTTGCATGCTTTTTAACATCTTATCTAAAAGTACCAGCTCCATAGTAATTTATTTTTCTATTTATTAATAATTTAGAAATAATATTTTCTTTTTGATTTAGTTAATTTAAGCAATTATTAATTTTACTTTAACAAATCAATTTTTACTTTTTAAGTTAAAAAAGAATGTTTTATTTATCAATACAATAATAAATTTAAAATTAATTTTACCAAAAAATTCAATAAAAAAAATAAATCCATGTTATTTTTTATTCTAATAGTTTAAGAACATAATATAATGATTATTGCGATTTGACAACAGGAAGTAGAATACTCAGCTAAAATTAATAATTTTAAAATTAAAACTTCTTAGCAAAAGAAATTGAGCAAAACTTTGAAAATAGATTCTTAGACTCATCGAATTCAGGTTAATCTGGATAAACTTAAACTACAAAGATTTATATCTATCCTATATATGAGTTTGAAAAGGATACCATAACTCCTCAAATATAAATAAACGGTATAAATCAAAATTTATTGACAACATATGCATATGGTAATATAACTGGATTACCTTCCATAACATCAGTTAGTTAACCAACTTTAGGAGATTATTTGATACCAAATATAGTTAATTAAACTTTTATTATTGCCAATCCTGGTTTAGATAACGTTAATATTACAGGTTTATAGTGTGATTCTTACTGTGTCTTTTACGGAATGGTTGATTTAGCAAGTGTGCCAACACCAACCTATTATGATATCAGAACTGGATATCAAGGAAAAAGTTCATCTAATGCTACATTCTAATTCAGCTAAAAAACTTACAGCAATTCTATATTATATTTTTCTTTTTCTAATCTGTAAAAAAATACAATGTATTCATTTTTTTACTACTCTGCTGCAGATGATCCTAGTATTTTCTAACCAAGAACTTAAGTATACACAGTATAGTTTAGTACATCTCAACCAGATACTCAAAGTTCTATGATTATTTCTTTTAAATTACTAGTAGTTATTTTACTATTCTATATTTAATTGATATGATTTTTAATAATATGAACTTGTATGAATTAGAATAAAACTAAATTTTAATAATTTATTAGGGTATTCGAAAAATTCTTCTATAACTAACTTTATGTGTGATTACTAAAAATATCTATTTGTTTAAAAACTAAATACATATTTTATTTTTAAAGTGAGCAACTATCAAATTTTAAAGATTAAAAATTATGTTAATCAGTTAATAAATTAAATATATTAAGTGAATACCAATCACACTAAAGTTCATTAAAAGAATATTTCTTTGTATTTTAATTACTGATTTTAAGTAGAAAAAACAAATCTAAAAATTAAATATCAAACTAAAAATTTGAATAGAAAATGGAATTTGATCGGTCCAGTATTTCGCCTTTTTCTTAAAGGTCAAGTGATTCTCCTGCTCATATTAATATACCATAGCTGAATATTCGTAATAGATCATTTTCTTCACTAAAATCAATCAATTTAGGTAAAAATAGCAGTCCTAAATCAATGGAATAAGAAAATTAATATGTTTTAAGTGAGACAAAAAAGTTGCTTTAAAGGGGCAAATATAAAAAAGCATTTATTAATCTTAGAAGATATTTAATGGATTAAGAAATAAGTAAAAGTATTCAAATAGATTTTTATTAGTAAATTATACACATTTGTCACAAAATTATCAAAAAATACTTTAAGAAAACAACTCCAAAAATTTTAAGCAAAGTCCCTCCTTTGATGAGTATAATTTACTAATATCTTAATTAATGGGAGTCTTTTCTTGTAAGTTTGCAAAGTGAAGAAGATTGCAAAGATTTGATTTTTACCAAATAGGCTAGTGTATAAGAATAGGTTCTAATAAAAAAATAATCTCTTATGTAAAAAGATCTTTAGGAAGCAAAGACCACAGCATACAAATAATCTCAGGTAAACAAATAAATATAATTATTTATTATAATTTGATAACTTATTTATTAGATGGATTAATTTTTTAATTTTTTTCATTACAAAAATAAGTTTTAAGCTAATCACGCAAGAAACAAATAATAAGTAACCTAAAACAACTTTTCAGAGAGTTACGAGCAAGTTAAATTAGGAGAAGATAAGTAGAATAAAATATCTTAAAAAAATTTAATTGAATTTGATGAGCCTCTCCAAAAGATTAGTGATCATCAGGAATAAGATTAAGAGGAAGATGAGGAAGAAGAAGAGGAGGATAAATATGATCCTCTGATATTTATAAAAGATAAATTTCATTTGCATAGAGAATAAATGCTAAATCATTACCTCAAAACCCTATATTTAAGCTATTAATTTCATAAGCAAGTAAATTAACCTATGAGATCATTAAAATTTTTAATGAAAGGTTCAAGTATAGTGAGAGATTTTTTGAGTAATTTACTATTTATTTCAAGTGCAGACCTCTCATACATTGCAGCGTAAACTTTTTGAATATTACTTCATCATTATAATTTCCTCTAATAAAATTCATTATTTTATCTATTTCAGTACTTAATTTCATATATAAAATCAAAATTAAAAATTTTAATAGAACAATAGAACTCACAAGAGGAAATATACATTTAGAGTAAAATCAAATAGAGGAAGCTAATATAGCTTACGAATATGCTTTTTAAATGTAAAGAAATGCTATTGAAATTTGGTTTAAGAAGCTAGGAAGCTTTAGTAAACAAGACATACCAATTAAATTTGAAATTAAATGTGAAAAATGCATTACTCAAATTGTTTTAATTCTATTGGTTAAATCAAGTTGTTTTGAGATGCAAAACTAGTTTTCTAAAGCTCTTGAGACTATTTAATTAGCAAACTGGTTTTCAAATAAGCTGCTATTATATGAGTCATCAAGCTAATTAAAATAAAAAATAAATAATCATTACAATTTTCTTAAAGATAAATACGGAGATCTCTTATAAGAGGAAGCAGAAATTTAAAAAATTCTTAGGTAATTTGATGAATCTAAAAAAAATTTCATAGAATAAAAATAAAAAGAAGATTCTAGTAGAAAATAAAAATTAATTGATGATTTGAACTCTTATCTTTATAAAAAGGCTGAGTGTGAGTAGTTAAATAAAAATCTCAAAATTTTAGTGAAAAAACAAAATCCTTTAACTTAGAAGGATGAGTATAATATATCACTATAATTGATCTCCTCTTAAGATAATATCCATTAAGCTGATACCTAAGCTGTTAAGAATGGATTTGAATCATAGAAACCAAAATCTTTGAGCTAGATATTTAATTCAAACAATAATTCGAACCATGCACTTTAATACTAAAATTAAAGAAAGGAACCTTCTAAAAATTATTTATAAATTTTTAACTCGAAAGCTCAAAATAATAAAAGCCTTTCTGAAATTCCTAGTTTTTAAGACTAAACCACATAGATAACTACAGGATTAGCTACATCTAAACTATATGGGATTTAAAATAATCTAATGAATGGATAACACTAAAATAAAAATAAATCTTTTAGAGAAGGGTTTAATATAAATAATATCATGGATTATACTGACTTAGAATATGCTTAAAATAGTTAGATTCATTCAAAAAGATAATCATTTTCCACCCACGGAATAGATCTTAACTCAATAATAAATTTTGATTAGAATATCAATAATTAGAATTTATCAAATAACACGTAGCTATAACAAAAAAACTCAGCAGAAGATTAAAAATTAAATAGCAGCTTTAATAATTAAGGAAATTTTATATCTCCTATAGCATTTAATTAACATAAATATTTAAATTCAAATAATCAGTTAAATCCATCCTCGAAAAATTTCAATTCTGGAAACAATTCTAACAACTCTAGCTTTATAGGATTACATAACTAATTTAATGCCAATGTTGGTCCTAATTTATATTTAACTGACGCTTTTTAAAATAACTATGCCAATGGCTCTTAAGCAACATCGCCTAGGATATAAGATTTAAGCTAACTTACTTCAGATCAATAAAGCTTATTAAATAATCTCAACTTTTAAAACAAAATTTAGCTCTAAAGGAATTCTTTTTCTTAGGATTTATTAAAAACAAACAATGACACACACTTTGAATAACGTATTAGACCTTTTTCTGGTGTATCTAAAATAGAAGATTCACAGATAAGAAAAACTAGCTTATAATTAAAACAATAAAATTATGCAAAAAAATAAAATTTATCATTAAACTAATATGATTTAGATAAAATACAACAAAATGATAATCATCAATTAATTTAAAAACTAGGAAATAAAAACTATTTAAATGTCAACTTAAATTAAATATAAAATGCATCTCCCTCCTAAAATAATTTTAGTAAATCAAATACCAAGCTAGATAGCTAAAGAAGGTAAACTAGAATGACATAATCTCAGTCAAAAATTGCTTCATTTAATAATCTTAATCATTAATAAAAGCCAAATCACCATAAGTAAAAGGAAGAAATTAAAAAACACAAAGTTATTACAAATGACTTATATTTTAACAAGGATCCTCCTAAATTTAATGAAGAACCTGAAAAAATTGAACAATTAAAATAGAAATACAAATTTATGAGAGATGATGAAGATGATGTTAAAGAATTGCAGTAGAAATAGGAAGTAAAGTATAAATTTATGAAAATACCTTTAGATTAACGAAGAGATTTAATTGATCTTGATATTTGTATGAAGAAAGTAATTTAAGAATAACTTGTTTCATAAACTGACCATGCAAAGTATCCATATATGCACTGGCTTTGTGGAAAAACTTTATAATAGGTCAATATGGATAAAAAAGAGCTTTAATTTTCTAATTTAATGGTGCAATTTAAACAAAAAAATGGTAACGGTAAATCAATTCCTTAAATTCAATAAAAGGAAGATACTATGGTAGCTATATAAAGAGAGATTAAATAGTTTAACGAGTAGGCAACCATTTCTAGAATAAAAGAAAAGGTAAAATTCAACTAATCTGGAAATAAGATTCACGACAGTAAAGCATTTGAAAAAATATTTAATTCAAAGCCTGAGAGCTAATAACCTACAAAACCTGAATAACATCTTGATGTAGAAGCAAAATAAAATATAAATTTGAGATCTAAACTGATGTAAGCAGCTTAGAATCAAAAGTAAATAGATGAAGGATTAGCTTAAAGCTCTTTAGATGGTAAAAATTCAGACAAAAAAAGAGCTGTATCCTTATTAAGCAGTATTTAAGAATAAAAGTAAAACTAATAAATTAAAAACCGGTCTAATAATTCTGATCATAAAAAGATCAAATAGAACTAAAATATAAATATGCAACTAGTAGAAAATAGTGAGCAACAGAAGCTATTTGACTATTAGCAATAAATTGAAAAGGCTGATTATGCATTGAAGTAAATTGTACTCTCAAATGAGCAAGAAAGAGAAAACATCAATAAACAAATAGAGAATCTACAAAGCAAGCACACTAAAATAGGCGTAAAAGAATTAGTTTAAACTCTGACTAAAAAAGAAGAAGAAGCATATATATCACATAAATCAATTTTAAATGAAAACGATGAAACTGATATTACTCATTCATATGATGATTTGGATGTTAAATAAATCAGTAATAATAATAGACACTAAAAAATGAAATACTAATTAAATGCCTAAAAGCAAAATTCACAAAAAGATAAAATTCTCGCTTCATCAAAGACATTCAGCCATGTAAATCCAAATTATTTTAATTTGAGCTATTTGAAAAAAGAATTTGGGGATTAGCTTTATTCATCTGATCATAAGTAATCAAATATTGCATTTGAAGTTGATAAATTTTTGAATCTTGCTTGCTCAACTAAAAATCTTTCACAATAAAGAATGCTCAAGTAAAACTAATTTAGCTTTGCAGAAGCCGCTTTACTAGCTAAGTTAAAAAATATGGATAATAGTGGGGGGAGCTCTACAAAGCATGGAAATAAAAACGGGAAAGCAACAGGAAGCATGCCAAGAAGATATACACTTCTTTCCTAGTAAAAAAATGTTTGATTAAAATGTAAAAATTTGATAAATAAACAAGTAAATCACATTTTTTGATATTTATTAAGAAATAAATATGTTAATTAGTATATGAGTTGAGTGGTATACTAAATAGTATTTTGGTAAAAATAATATTTTGTTATAGTAAATTACTTTTGAATTTTATAACTATATCTTATTTATCAGTAAATTTTAATACAACTTTATCCATGAAATTTCTATGAAATAAGTATGTGTCAATATTTAATCACAAATCTGAAATATTTTTTTGTAAATCAAGTATTATCATCTGTAATTATAAAAAAATATTGTAAGGACAAAAATCAAAGAGTGGAAGGAAATTGATTCGTCTTTCAAAAATATGAAATTACTATATTATTATAAATTTATAATGAAAATTTGATATTTAAAAGCATTTATCAGATATAAAATCTAAAAAAAAATTCACAGTTTTTTATTATTTTTGATTAATCAAGTAACTTAATTTTTATAATCCTCTATTTATGTAAATTGGTAAAATATATCTTATAATTTAAAATAAAATGAGTTAAAATACTATTGAATTTTTTAAGCTCATCGTTTAGAAATACTTATTTGTATATTTTTAAAAAGCTAACTCTATATTTTTTAAGACTATTGATTAGCAAAATTAGAACTGTTCATTTCTTGAAGAGGATTTTATTAACTAATTAATTATCTAGCTGCACATTATATTTTTCACGATATATAGATTACATAAAATCAAAATTTTAATAATCAAACTTTAATGAAACAAGAGTAGAATTGTGGTTATTTTCAAATAGATAACTAAATCTATTTGAAAAAACTAAGATAAAAGGAATGAAAGAGTAATTAACCTAATTAGATAATTTTTTTTACAAAATAAATAAAAAATTCCCCATTCATGTTGAATATAAGATCACCTACAGAATTAGCAGTATAAGGACATCAATTTAAATTAAGAAAGTAACTTAAATTTAATACTTTCTGGCCATTAATATAAAATTAGGTTTTTATTTTGTAAAATATGCAATTAAAAGTCATTTACAAGCAGATTTTTTTATTAAATTTAACATTGAAAAATTTAATTTTGCAATTTTAGATTGATTTATTCGTAATATCTGAATGTTTTGATCAAGTATCCTTGATTAAATGAATAAATAATAAATATCTCATAAAGAGAAATATTTAACAGAAAAAAATCAACAATTTTATATTCAAAAAATCATTTCCATTTTTATCTTCATATTTTAAAATAACTATTTGAGAAATTCAGTAATAATTTAGTTTTCTGTCGATATTTTAATTTACATTTTTTGTTTATAACTTACATTAAGTTCGAGTCTTTGCTTTTTAGTTTGCATATTTTGAAAATTGGGAACAAAATGATCTAATTAAGTTGAAAGATATAAGTAGGTAGGTACTATTTTATTTACAATCAAAACGAATTTTTCAATATAATCTGTAGCAAACCTTTTCTAAATCATTTTACACTAGCGGCTCTTTAGAGATAGTTTTAAATAATATAGAATATTTTGAACTAAAATTTGTAAATATTTATTTAAAAATACGAAGTAAAACTAGTGGTAAATCAACTTTTTTCTTTAAATTAAAAAATATTCCTTACTTTATGGAGAAATTATTAGCATAACTTAAAATTTTAAGAAGGAATTAATCATAAATTCAAAATAGGATTTCCAGTATAGATCTTTCTCGATTAGCTTCTACATCTTACAAATTATAGACCATCATATTTTATAACTTTTTTTAATATGCTTAATAATTTTTTTCAAAATAAGATAGATAAAATAAGACTAATAAAAACTATATTCAAACAAACTATGGTTTCTTCAAGCAAAGATTAATTATATTTTCTTAATTTTAAATTATAGGGTTCTAAATAATTTACAGTTGTATTGGGAAAAAGTATTCAAATAAAATGTGTATCATATTTTTTCGCCTTTAGCAAAGGAACTTTTTTTGTAATGTAATACTTAATTAAATTTTTGAAATTAAGAAACAGTTCAAATCGCACCTTTCTTTTATCTTAATTTAATAAATGGAATTTCTTGGTTTGATTGGCATAAAAATTATATATTTATTCAAATTTTATAGATTTAAATTATAATCTTTATGATCTTTTTTTACCTTTCACCTGATTTTAGCTTTTTTAGCTTTATTAATTGAAATATAGCCAAAAACTTAAACCCTAATGTCTGCCTGATACAACAGATAACAAAATGAGAATACCTCACATATTTGAATACTCATCTGCACGCAATGAAAAAAATATAAATGATCTTTTCATAGATTATTAATTTTACTATTTATTAGCTTACATGCTTTTTTAATTGATTTGTAATTGATGATACAACAAAAATATAAATTTTTTTTCTAGTTTATTGGCAAGTCATTTAAGTAATTAATAGATCGTATTAACAGAAAGTGATGAGAGATGCAGTTATATAAGTAAAGTCTGGGTTAAATCGATATCCTTTAAAAATTTAACAAAAATATCTAAAATTTAGTTAAAAAATAGTTAAGGATATTTGAGGATGGCTAATAGAACATGTTGTAATTTCAATTTTTTAATTGATGAAAAAAAATATGTTTCTTTCAAGCTTGTCTAGGAAAATCTATGACTAATACTTGAAGTTGAAAATAAAAAAGTAATTAATATTATGTATGAAAAAATTAGTCAGAGTTTCTTTAAACCTGATGTAGATTTGTTATGAACCAGAAACATAAGGTAAGGAGATTTAAATTAATGTATGGAAACTGGTACATTGATTTCTTTTTACCCAAAAAATAAAAACTCGAGAAAAAAAACACTTTTACTTGATTTTTATGTTTAAATAGATGGGGGATATTTAAATAAATTAAAATCGAGATTTTCTCTATTGCTTGTATAAAAAATACACTACCCATTATTATAAGTATGCCAACAGTAGTACTATCACCTCTATTAGTTTTTCACTTTTATATCACTTTCCTTTCATATTAAAGTAAGCCAAATTTTTTGTTATATTTTATACAAAGAAATGCAGCTAATTTTTTAATGTTTAAACTGAAATCATTATCACTGAGAAGAAGAAAGACAATTTATAATTAAATATAGCTACTAAATGCGCTTGTAATTGTTGAATTGGTGAAATAATAATATTTTTTACATAGAAAGGCTCTCATTAAGATTTCTTTATTTTCACTTGCTTTAATTTGAACTAAAGTTTTATAATTTGTAATTTCGCTAACATTATTTCTTTATTGCGATCTATAAATAAAATAAGGAATTACCACAATTCATTCACTCTAAGCTCTTTAGAATTCTTAGAAGTTTTTAATTTTATCTTTCATTTGCAATAATATAAATGAATTTCAGTCTTTTTCTGAATTTTAAAAAAAAGATAGATTTTTAAGTTTAAATTTGATAACAAAAAAGCAAAAATTTAAATGTATTTTTATAATTAATGTACCAAAAAATTAAAAAGTAAAAAAACTGTATTTTATCATAAATAAACACACAACAATAATACACTCTTTCTGAAAAATAAGTAGCTTTAATTTTATCATGAAAGGATTTTCAGCAATTTTTAGCAACTATCAGTGAAAAGTATTCTTTTTTGTATGATTAAAAATATTAGCTTTCTTTTTTTTTAGTTTTTTTGTAAGTTGATGAGCGAAGTGTGTAAATTAAAGTAAAAGAATAAATTTTCATGAGGTTTTATAAGATTTAATTATGAGTAAATGAAGATACAATTCTGAAGGTAGTGAAATGAAATTTATAAATTTGAAGAATTTATTGATTTTTATAGCCTAACATTCATGGTCAATTTAAATATCAATTACCAAAAGTAAAAACAATTAAGAAATTAAGTTAGTAAGTTTTTAATGATAATAATAAAAAATTAGGCAAATGAAAGAGGTGGGAATTAAAAAGATATTTAAAGGTTGATGGATGGACAGATAGAAAAAGAATTAAATGGTAAAGAAAAAAATCAATCAGCTAACAAAAAAAGACTATATGGTAAAAAGAGGTGAATAGATACAATAAATTAAAAACAAATGATAGATTAATAATTTCGAATTGATGATACCAAAATATTTACATATACTATTATGGGGATTTAATTAAAGTAAAATTACGATATTTAATACCTTTGCTAAGAGTTTGTTAAAAAAAGTCAATTATCTGATCGATAAATCAGTCTACAAACAATTCTTTACAAAAAAAGAAAATATATAAATAATAATTAAATAAAACTAAAAATTCTCAAAAAAGAAAGAAATCTTTGAGTATCAAAACCTAAAAATATCAATCAATTAACTAATAAATATTGCTTAAATAAATACACAAAAAAACAAACAAGCTCATTTTATTTCGTATTCACATTGAATAAAGGAATATACCGAACACTTTTTATTTGCTTTTTCACTTATTTTGTTTCAGGTTCAATCAAACAACCTCCTTATATTTCTTGTTGGCTACCTCAAAGAACTATTTAAAGTATATTCTTCAACCAATTAGGGCTTTACGACAAATTTAAAGGGTTATAGAAAAACTTCATTTCTGAAATCTACAAAATTAGCTGAGTAAATTGTTATACTATTTTGAAATTTGCTGATTTACAATAAAAGAACCAAATGAGTATCCCTTCATTAATGGAAATCAATATGCTCTAACACTCATAATTTTCACCTGCAACAGACCTGCTAGCAAAAAGTCTACAGAATATATAAGCCAGTTCATAATTATAAAACAATATTTTGCTTTAATAACAAGATTCCTCCACACAATCCTCTTCTTCCTCTCTTTAATAATCATTTTTGGGATAAAATTCTTTTTTATAATAGGCTATTAACAATATATCAACCTAACCCTTAGCATAAACTTCTTAATAGTAATTTTAAATTCAATAAGCTTTGTAGCCTTAGTTTAACCCCTACTTATAAAATCTTAGTCTAAATGACATCTAATTATTAAAAAATTCATTACAATAATCTTAATAAGTTTAGTAAAATAACCTATACAATCTCAATAAAAACTAGAATTTAACTTTTAATCCACTGTTGAAGAAGGAAGATAATGGTTTATCTTTTGGATAAAATCAACTTTTCTAAATTTAAGATTTAAATACTGACTAAATGAATTAACAACTATTATAAAGCTAACTAATCTAGCTAAAAAATAAGCAACTACTAGAAAATACATAATTGCCCTTAATGCACTTATTACAATAGCAATAACAACAATAACAGCAATAAATATAATAATAGTAATAACAACAGTAATAAAATTAATAAATGTATAATATGCTTTATGCCTAACAGCTTCTTGCTTAATAATAAATACATTAATAGCAGATTTTAAATCCTAGAAATACAATAGAATAAAATGAAATTCTTTTTAGAAATAACCGCATACTCTCTAACTAGGGCTTACAAAGTGATTAGGTTTCTTCAGAAATGCGCTTCTTCAACAAAAAATAAGAAGCTTGTATTCAAGATAAAGCAATATGCTTTGAATCTCCAAATTTATCCTGTACAACACTTCCCGCTGCTAGAAATTCTTTTTCGAATATCTCGTAATCTACTTCCTCTTCATAAATTAATCTAGCTCTCTATCCTTAGACTTCACCTTTAATTTAGGTAATTTAATTGATAATAAAATAGAAAGATATAATTCTTGTTGGCATTCTAATTTCAAAATTATTTATTTATTGATTTGAGTAAAAATGGTATAGGAAATAAAGGTCAAAATATTTAATTATTTATTTATTTACTCTATCACTCTCCCCACTCACTTCTTTTAGATAGACATTAATTTTGTAGACAAAATTTCTCAGAAATTTTAATTAAAAGTGAACCAAATTTTAATTTTATTTCCTAGTTAATTAATATCAAAGTTGTAAATTATGGCTAGGTATCACACTAATTAAATAATTTCTAACACTTTGTTAAATTTTTAACCCCACCTGCTTTTTATCATAACTCATTTTAAAATTGGATCTAGAAATAGAATACCAAACAAACAAACTAACTAACACATATCCTTATTTCAGAAACTTTTCTATTACAGTCTATTTTTTGACACCTTCAACATATTCATTTTGACAAATTAATAAATTTGTGAGATTTTAAGTAAAAATTATCTTTTCATTTTTCACTCCTGCATGAATGAATGCCATTCATTTTCTAGCGATTTTTATTTCTAGTTTAAATTTTTGTAAAATAAATATTAAATAAGAATTAATTTTATAAAATAGAATATTAAATCAGAACAAGGTACTCAATATCCTCAATTGAATTTTCTTGTCCTTTAACAGTTATAATAATAACAGCTTAGTTCATATCCACAAATTTAATAAAACTAGCTCTAATTTAACAAGTTAGGATAATAAAAAATAGACTTCCCATCTTACAACGAGGAATCTCGCAACTCTAAGCAAAAGAAGAAGTCAAATCCTAAGAGAAATACTATCAAAAATTTAGGAAATTAAATAATATCCTTCATGTGTAATAAGAAATCGATAAAAATAATACAAAAAATACCTTAGATTGAATTCGAAGAAAAGGAGTTTGACGAATTTAAGAAATTTTGTGAATAATACAAAAATAAGATGTTGAAAATAGCTGATTTGAGAAATATATGGATTTCAAACAAATAAAATGTAGATGATAAGACCTCAAAGTATCACAAAATAATTAGAGTGCTCTCTAGATTCTATTTAAATAATGAAGCGATTCCAAAATTATTAACATCAAATAAACTTAAAGACAGAAAAATTCATCTATCAATAAGAAGAATACTAGTAGAAAAGTTAAAAGACCCTGAATCTTTTACAACCTTAAACTAATACTCAAAAAAATGAAAAAAATTTTGTATCATTATTTAATAACTCATTCAATAATAATAAATCAAAAATAAACAAAAAATTTGTTGCTGGTCTTTTAAAAAAATGTAATTTTCAACTGAAATTCATAGAATTAATAAAAATGTAAAAAGAAACAATTTCTTTGCTAAAGTATCATTTATAAAATTTAATTAATATATTATGATCACTCTGGCTGATATAATAAAAGCGAAATGAGATTGGTTGGTTAAAATTCAATTGAATGAGTTGCCAAGTGAGAGTAATTACACCAAAATTCATAAATTAATTAAGAGAATAAGTGTAACAATCATTTAGGCAATTATTATCCAAAAATTTCAAAGATTTTCAATTTGATGATGCTTCAGCTCAAATAAGTTTCTTTAGGAAATTCTATTAATCAATTATCATCACCAAAAGAGCTAACAACAGATCAACATTAAAATGTATGTAGGTACTTTATAACTAATATTAAAATAATTAATATTTATTAAAATAACAAAACTTATAATAATAAAAATTACTTTACCCTATTTAGGGATTAATAAACTACATTATTTATATACTTTTATTTCATAATATATACATATATAAATAATATACAAATCGTTTTGGGATTTATTTAATTAAGTAAAAAATATCTTCATTTAGCCAAAACATATTTTTTGTAGATATTACAAAAATAAATTGTTTAGAAATTACAATTTAATTAATTTACATCATTTTTTCTATTTTTTGATTATTTTTTTGGAAAAATTCAAAAAGTTATTATCATCAATAAAATAATTGGTGTTAGTAAAAATGTAATTGCATAATTATTCTTATCCAAAATCCTCAGTTCAAATTGGTACTAGTGAAAAATGATCAAAGAATGAATATCAAACTATTATTCTAAACTTGTATTTGAATTTTAAAATTTATTAAAAGAAAATACTTTAAAATTTATTTGCAACACTTAAAAATAAAATTTTAGTTTAAATTGACTAATCGTAGTCTTAAGCAAAAAAACTACTATGTAATTATAAGCTTTTTATTCTAAAAAATAATTAATTTAACTAAGAAAAAATTGATTGATCATATTTAATTAATGAAAAAAAATAAAATTTAAAATACGTAAAAGATATATAAATTTACTTATTTACTTTCTTATAAACAATTATGATATATAAAATTTAATTTAGTAATTTTTTTAAAAATGTTTTACAAAACTATTTTAGTTACTTTTTAAATCTTCAAATAAATTATTAATGTTTTTTACTTTCTAAAAAATAATCTTTTCAAGAGATTTCATCAGATTCCATAGGACTGAATTAAACTATAGGAGAATATAATGGAGATTAATCGTCATATTAGGACTAATTTTATTCATCCAAAGAAGAGACATTGTCAATTTAATATGATCTTTCTATAGGATTGTATATCTAGTTTTCATAAGATTTTAAATAATTATTATGTTTACTATTTTATGGTTCGTCATCAATAATTTAAAATTTTAAGCGCTTTGTGCTTGAACTTTGCTAATATTTGTCACTGTTCTACTGCTCTTCTCTAATTTTTCTTTCGAGCTGCTCTCTTAGGGAGTTGCTAAATTCGATTTATTATTGAATTTACTCTAAACCTTAAGATATTTCACTTTATAGTTTGAAATTATTAACACAATCTTATTATTATGGTTATTGAATTTTGCTTTTATTTAAAACTCTTTCATCATTTTGCATGAAAGTATGTGGGTTAGAATAGTTAGTATTTTTTGAGGATGTGTTAGTGTTCCTAAAGTTTAAGGACTGCTTACTGCTATTAATATTAATTTATTCTTCAAAAGGTGTAGAAGTATCTAAGCTATTTTGCTTTTAATTATATGCTGACTAATAATTTTATTAATATGGTCTTATCAAGGAATTGTGACGAGCTATTACTGATTACTAATTTGGTTTTTAAGGAACTTGGAATGGGTCTTAAGATGATTAGAAATTATTTTAGATTTTCAATTAACTTTAAGAAAATTCTGATTAAAACCTTTCTGAGTATCTTCCATGTCTCTGTTAATTGTTATTATTTAAATTAACATCACTCAAAAGAGTATTATAATTATTAGGTTGTTGCAAATTTGGATTCTAATATTAATTATATTAAAATTATGTATTATTAAAGTGTCTCTAATTGTTAAAATTGTTATAAACTTAAGATTATTATTAGCTATTTTAAATATTGCTAGTTTTCATTTATAAATTTATTAAGCTTAAATCTTTTTTATTTGATAAAGTTGAGTTTTATGATTGGAAAGCACTCATACTTTACTAAAATGACTAAGATTCTTAGCTTCCTTCAAATTTACTATTATTATTTTAAGATTTTTATTCATATTCAAATTGGCTATGAATATTATTTTTCATTTAATTTATTCCAAAATTGTTATTTTTTACAATTTAGTTTTAATTAAAATTATATTATTGAGATTTTAATTCTGAGTTTGTATAAGCACCTTCATAAATTTAGTTTGTTTTTAATTTCTTTTTAGTCTGATTAATTGTGATTCCATTTGAAAAATGCTGAAGATCAGGAGACTGGTCCCTTTCAAATTGTTAAACAGCTTCTTATTTATTAGGTGAAATAGCTGTATTTAAAATTTTAGATGAATAGATACCTGTTTTCTAGTTGTACCCTAAAGAGTCTTTCAACAGATTTGGTTAATTTATATTACTACTTTGCTTATTTAGATTCTATTATTAATTGCTTTTCATTTAGCTTAGCAGATTCTGAAAATTAGATTCTTTGTTAAACTTTGTGTCTGATAACTGCTATTGTTTACCTTTCTCAGCAGAGTTTTATAATTATGAATTTGTTCCTTTGAATTGACCTTTTTTATTTGCAGGGTTGCAGCTTGAGTATTAGAATTGCTTTACACTACTACTTTGATCAGGATTTACATCATTAAGCTTTATCATACTTAACTTTTTTTCTTCTTCAACTTACTTTAGCTTAAGTTACATCTGCTCTTACTCAATTAAATCATGCTATTACCTAAGTTTTTTCAATTTTTTTGAAAGCCTTTTTCTTAATCTTTTTTCTTTTTTTCTATCTACTTCTTAACCATAAGTTTACTGTATTTGGGACTGTCCTTCGTTTTGAAGTGTTTAAAAACTTTTTTATGCAGAAGATTAAAATCCATTTAAGTTTAAATTTTAACCACATTTATTATAATTCTATCTATAGAAGCTTTACTAGTTGTTATTCTCTTTATCTTATTCATAAATTTCTTCTCCAAACTAAATTAGATCTTCATCTTTTTCCAGAAAATCGTTACTGTCATAATCTTCATTATCATACAATGTGACATTATCATCATCTTCTTCTTCATCATCTTATTAGCCCAATTTTTTTAAATTAAAATCTTCTTATCCAATTTATCTCCTTTCTTTTGCTAAAAACTATCCTCTATCAATCAGATCGTAATCTTCGTTATCAAGCCATTCAATATTATTTTCTTAAATTATTTCTTTTGCTGTTTAGTGTAACTCATCTTCAGCATTTTAAGGCTTGCTAATTGGGGATAAATTACCACCAATATTTTTAATTTTGCTACTATTCTCTGATAATTTAGGCGTAAAATTATCAAAATTTAAACTATCTGTTTAAAATTTCATCTATATCTTACTTTTTTGGTTTTCCAAATCTTCATTTTTATTGGCTGGAACATTTTAGCTGTTTGTTACAAAAACAATATTGCTTGTTTAATTTGTTGTTTATATAAAAACTCTTTTTTCTTGAGGGGATATTTTTTTAGAACTTGATGATTAAGGAAATACTGAACTAAAAGCTGGAGGAGCTTCTTTTTTCTTATAAGAATTTATCGAGGCAGAATCATTTTCATTAGCTACTGATTAAGGAGTTTAGCATTTCACTGCAGAAAGAATACTATATCCTTTTATTGCACTGTTTGCAGCTGATTTATTATTCAAATTATCACTTTTTAACTTTTAGTCGCTATAAACATATGAGTTTGTTTGAGCTGTGCTTAAATTACCAAGCTTTAAATTAGAAAAACCACCACTATTATTTTAATTAAAATTTTATTTTGATGCTGTAGGAGTGGAGTTGTTATTTATAGCAGGATTTAAATTTTGAATTTCTACAAGTCTCTGCTTTGTTATATTCTGCTACTATGTGTTATTTTCCTATTCAGAATGTTATTCTTATTAATTCTTACCACTCTTCGCGCCAGATGAAAAAAGTTTTGATATTTAATCAAATGCATTAAGATCTAATGTTTTAGTATTTTTTTCCTGGTTTAAATTTTCTGTGGATTGTTTATCATTATTTTATTGAGCTTACTTATTGCTCTACTAAATGTATTCATTCAGCTTTTGCTATTTATTATTAAGCAATAAATTTAAATATTTTATCAATCATACTTAAAATGAATCAAAAAAACAGTAAATTACATGAATGTGATATGAAATGTCTCTATCAAACAATTGAATTATTTTCTATGTTTCTTAATTTAACTTTGCAAAAATAAAGTCTAATTCTTTTAATTATATGTCTTCTTCTTTCTTAGTAACTTCGTACTGCTTCATAACACTCTGATTCTTTTACAAACCTTCTTAAACTTCTTTAAGCAAAACTTCAAATTCAGCCTAATTTGAGTAATTATTCCCCTCTAATGTGAATATTCTTTACATAATAAACTTTAAATTTAAAACAATTAAAATCAGAATTAGTTTCTATAATAAAAATAATATTAAATTTTATTTTGCTATCCACTTAAAATATTAAAATACTCATTTTGTTAAGATTTTTAATATGCAGTTTATTATGATTAAATTACCTCTTATTGTTGAAGATTCTATGTAATGAGGCGTTAATTAAGAGCTTTGTCACTGCTTTCACTTAATTCTTTTAGTTTTATTAGTTAAGTATAATTAGATATCTTTTAGCTTATCTTTGATAAGCATTGCAAAATATTATTTTTCTTTTATTCGTAAACATTATAATTAGGAGATTGTTTGTTAATGTCATAAATATTAGATTTAGATTCAGATTTTGCTTATTTAATAAACTACTCTATTGAAATCACTTAGTGGTTTTAATGGCTACTCTAAACACACTTGCAGCATAATAAAATAGAATTAGAGGACATCATTTTGCCGGTAGACTTTTTCCCATTCTAAGATGATACATTCTCTATAGACTATTTACAATTTTTATCTACACATAAATGAGTTATTGGCTGATTTCCATGTAAAACATTCATTTCACATTTAAAATTTATAAATTTTTGAAAAAGCTAGTTCATATGATAATCTTCAACTATCAGATTGTTATAAGATGAAGGTATTCGATTTACTGATGATATTTTTGTTAATAAACACTTTTTTATAAAGAAGAGTATTCTTCTGCAGCCTTTATTCTTAGTCTCTTTCCTAAATTTGATGCGCGAATTTTGAATTTAAATAATAATTAAATGATTCTGTGTTTTAATTAACAGGATCGATTATCTTAATTGTTTTCCTTATTTATATTTTATTAATAAAAATCAATTTTGATATTGATTTACTAAATACTATAATCATTCTTATTAAAGAATGAATGCTTGCATCAATAATTTTAAAAACTAAATGTTCAAACAAGTTTATGAATATCTTTTATTCAAATTATAATGAATGTAAAATTTTGGCAGTATAATAAATTATTATTAATTAATTTTATTGATACTATTTTTTTGCTCATCATTATTAAGAGTGTTCATTCTTTCATTTATATTTATAAGCATTATGTTTATTAATATAATTTAATTGTTAAATTTTGTTCCTTATTTTTGTATTTTAGTGTAGGATACCAAAGATTTAATATTTTAATAGATAATTTTATTTTTTGTTAAGAAACGTAAAATTAATATTTAAAATTATTTCACTTTTTTTATGTAATAAGTAAACTATAATTTTCAACAATCAATAATATTTAAATTAATTCTACTTTTCTACTATTTTTTGCTTTCTTAGCAAAAACATAAAAATATAAAATAAAATAAATTTTAAAATGAACCTTTAATAATTGTATCAAATAAATTATTTACTTATAAAAGAAATTTTTAAAATTAATTTTATTTTTATATTATAATAATTCGTATTATAAGCAGTAATTACTTGGTTTGGTTTATGTTATAGTAAAGATATAAATCTACAATATAATAAAGGAATTCATTTATATATTTTTTTATGATTTTTGATAAAACTTTATAAAATGCTCAAATAGATTACCATAAAAAAAGAACTTAATAGACAATGCTTAGATGAGGTTATAAAAAGCTATGGTGAAAATTAGTATTTATATGTTATAGGGATTTTCTATTAGCAAAGAGCATCTACAGAATTCATTTTCAATTAGATTTTTGGGTATGATTTCAGCTAAGAAATCGATTAATAAGGTTGATGATGTTAATTTTTTTAATTTATAAAAAATATATCAAAATAATTTTTTCATCAATAACTATCAAAGTATTTATAAATTTTATTAATAAGAGAAGGCAGTGTTTGCGTATAAGTCTGACAAAGATCAATATTCCAACTTAATCTTTTTATTTAGTAATTTCTAATTCATTGATGTAATATATTGTTTTTTATTTTTTACACTTTTCATTCATTTGCAAATTCACATCTTTTCTATTTATTTTTCAGTATGTGTGCCTTACCAAAAGCCGCTGTTGCAATCTTTAAATTAAATATAACAGTAAGACTTTAATTATGTTGAAGAATTTATTTTTGAGTGCAGTGATGTCTTGATAAACTTAGATTTTACTATGCAAGATAGTTATCAAAGCTTGGAAAGCTACATTAGCAAAAACTTGAAAGAAAGAGAAAATCCTTATGTTAAAAAAGAAATAAACTATATTTATCCTTTAGACTAAGATATTAAGGAATTAGACAAAAAAGATAATATAGATGAGCAAGAAAATCAGCTTATTTATTAAGTTAATAGAAATAAGGGTAATGTAATTTAAAGATGTTTAAAACAGCAAGAGTCTAAAGACATTTAAGAGTCATTAGTCTTAAAGATACAAGAGTTAGAGAAATATTAAATGATACCTATTCCAATTCAAAAAATAAATACTTTATTTTCTATCATATGGGATAATCTCCTTTTAAATTAGGTAAATTAATTCATTAATTAAAGTTTATAATAATTTATTATTTAAATTAGAATAAAAATAGTCTATTTTAGCTTAAATAAATTATTGTTGGAAGTCATTACGAAGAACAATGGGATATGTTAGTTAAAGAAATGTAGCAATGGTCTAAACAATTGCATATTTAATGTATGGAAGGAATGATACATGATTTTAATATTTAAAAGGAAGAATATAGGAAAATTTCAGAAAAATGGAAGGTATCAAGTGTGTTTTTGAAAGGGTTTCTTCAAGTTTTAGATGAAAATTATGTTAAGGAGTAAATAAACTAAGAGATTTAAAAATAGATTTTTAAGCTATTTAATTTCTAATTGAACTACATAAAAAGTAATCTTAATGAAATATTTTAAAAGAAACTCACAGAAATATAAAATCAAGAAAAACAGTAGCTATTATAAAAGTAGATTTAATAATCAAACCAGAAACCTTAGTAAAAACCAGAAACCCAATAAACAGAATAATAGCCAAATTAAAACTAATAAATTGATTTAAGCTAATCACAATCATCACCTTAGTTTAAATTTTAACAATCATAGTAGTAAAGGGAATCTTTATCTAATTCAAATCCTAATTAAAGTATTAACATTTCCAAATTTGCTTCATAAAAAGTTTCTTCAGATTTAAACTTTTCTTAGATTGAGTTCTCAAATAATGAGAATAATGAAATATAATAGAAAATAAATGATATTTCATTTAGTTAAGACTTGATTGGACTATAAAGACAGAACTCAAACAAAAGCTCAGTAGATTTACATAACTAAACATTTGGATTATTAGATGTTAGTATAGTAGAGGAACCAATAGGATAAATAAAGTAAATAAAAGAAAAGTCTTCAGAGCAAGACAGTGAAGATGAGTTAGATTAAAAACTGATATTAAAAAGAGTAGGAAGTGAAACATATTAAAGTAATGATTAAACAGAAGCTAATAAGCTTGAGAGTTCAACAGAAGTAAACTAAAATAACTCTAATTAAAGTAATGAAAATATAAAAAGTGAGGCTTTGAATTCTCCAGCTTAAATTAAAGCTTTTAATACAGGTATTCAAAATTAAAGCTAGACATAACTTTTGTTTTCAAAATAGAAAAACTTCAAAGGAAGTGGCCAATATTTTCAAATAGAAAAAAGTTAAAAAATACCTAACAAATTAGCATATTCTTAATCTCCAAATATCAAACAAAAATCAATAGAAAGAGGAAGAAATTCAATTAGACAGAACTAATCATCAAGCTCTGAAATTTAAGAATATAAATTATTTGAAATATTAGAGAAAACTAAAAATTAAGTGAAGATCGAAATTAAAACAAAAATGTTTGATACATTAGATTAAAAATCAAAAGAAGAGCTAGGCTAAATAACTGAATACGAGCAGATAGAAATATAGATTATAGAACTTATTACAACAGTAAACTTAATATATTTATCATAAGTTTAATTGCTATCTAAATTTCTTTAATTTCAGGTATTAGAAAAGAGGGCATCATTGGAAGTATAAGACTTTGTTAAACAGAAAATTATTACAAGATTAAAGACTGATATTTCTGATTTATTTACAAACAAAGACCAAGACTTTTGGGTGAAATTCAAAGGTATTAAAAACAAAATTATTGATGATTAGGAAAAGAAAATTTATGAATATTTAAAAGGTAAAATTTACTTATTTATTTAAAAAATTAATTATTTTAATTAACTTTAGATAATTTTAAGTTACCAAAAAATAATTCTAATGAGTTGATAAAAAAATCTAAAGAAGTTTGCTTAAAAGAAGTTAAGAAACTAATGAAAGCTAAAATAGAAGAAATTACATCTGATTTTGTTGAGGAGTAAATCACCTGTTTCATTATTCAATAAATTACTTAAATTATTATTTTTATTTTGCCATTAATTAATTAATTAATTATTTTATTTATTTATTCAATAGGCTCCAAGCTAATGATAAAAAAATATAAGATAAATAAAGTATAAATTTTATTTATGATAAATATGAAGATTTCGTTATTGCCTTTAAAGATGGCCTAGAAAACGATAATGATTCTAAAGAAGAAGATTTAATAAATCAATGTAATAAAATCTTAATAGAATTATAAGCTATGAAAGAAAACTACAAAAATATTGTTAAATTTAAATACAACACTTTAAGATTATAACTTCAGAAATTGATGTTTAAAAAAGAAAAACTGATTACTTCAATTTAAGCTTTTACGAAAATAAATCAATTGACTTTAACTTTATTAATAGTGTTCTCTATACTTTCTGTGTTTGAGAATGTACCTTTAGCTAGCTCAGTAGGGATAATTTTGATTTCTCATATACTTTACACGATATACAAGCTAAAATGATAATTAATTAATAAATAAATAATATTTGATAAAGTAAAAATAGATAATTCTCATTTAAACTCAAAACACTCACTACATAGATATTTATATAAAATGTACTTTTATTATTAAATCAATTTATTAATTCAAATTTTCTTATTTTTAAAATTAATCATTTTCTTCTTCTAAGTCTTTAGGAGGAGCTCACTGGTTTTTTCGAGGTTTCTATTTATTATTTTTATCTTCTAGTTGTTCTTTAGTTTGCTTATTGATCTTCTTCATCTTCTTCCTCTTCTCCTTCATCTTCACTTTATGAGTCACTCTATTATTTTTCATTTTTTTTTCTACCTCTTCCCCTAGTTTCTTTTGCTTGACTTTTGTTTGCTGGTGATTTTTTAGGTCTTCCTCTAGTCTTAGTCTACTCTTACTCTTCCTCCTCTTCTTCTTACTCTTCATGCTCTTGTTCAGAAGACTCGTTCTCTTCCTCATCTTCATGTTCTTCCTCCATTTTATTTCTAGAACCTCCTCTTCTTGTGCTTCTTACAGATTCATTCTTGGTAGGCTTCTTTGTATCAGCTTGTTTTCTACCCCTCTTACGAGTAACCCTAGTTTACTCTTCTTCATCTTCCTCTTACTCTTCTTCTTCATTTTCTTCTTCTCCTTCAGACTCTTCTTTATCAGAATTTTTATTAGCACTATTGTGTCTAGTTGTTCTTTTCACTGCTTGAGTAACATTTTTTGGTTTTCTTCCCCTTCTTTTTGTCTGCTTATCGTCCTCTTCTTCCTCTTATTCACTTTCATTTTCTTATTCTTGCTCACTTTCGTTTTGCTCATCTTATTCTGATTCAGGTTCTTTAGGTTAAGCTTTAGGTCTTCCTCTTCCTTTCTTTTAAGGTTTTTACTCCTCTTGCTCCTCATCTTCACCACTCTCTTCATTATCAACGGATTTCTAAGAAGATCTTGTTTTTGATTTTTTTTAAGCTGGTGTACTTTTTTTTGAGCTTCCTCTTGTTTTTCTAGGGGCTTCTTCTTCCTCCACCTCTTCTTCTTATTCATCAGATTATGAATTATCCTATCCTTCTTCTTCTTCCTATGATTAAGTCTTTTCATTTGATTTTTTAGGACGGCCCCTGCCTCTTGTTTTCTTTTAAGACAATTCCTCTTCTTAATCTTCGTTGTCTGTTTCTTTATGTTCCTCATCACTTTCTTCAGATATTTTATTCTCTTTTGATGCTGATCTTCTACCTCTCCTGTTAGTTTTTGGACTCTCTTTTTCACTTGATGAACCCATAGATTTAGTAGAAGCTGGTTTTCTACCTCTTCTTCCAACTTATTTTTTATTCTTTTTATCTTCTTCTTCAATGTCTTATTCTGCTGACATGTCTTCTTCTTCTTATTCATCGTCTTCTTCATCTTATTCAATAACTTCATCTTACACATCTTTTTTCTTTCTTCCTCTTTTGCTAGTCTTTTGAGCAACATTAGATTCTGGTAAAACTGTTTTTTAAGCTCTTCTAGATGATGTTCTTTTATTTATTACTTCTTCTCTATCTTCATCATCTTCATCTTCTTCTGTCTCTTAATTGAGTATATCTTCTAATTCTTTAGCATTCTTTGCTTTCCTAGTTGCAGAGTTTTTCTTAGAATCTTTATTTTCTTATTCTTCTTCCTCTTCATTATCTTCTTCTTCTTCCTAATCAATATAGATAGCTTTTTTCTTTCTACCTCTCTATGATGGAGCATGAGAAGCTTCAGAGATATCTTTTTTAGGTCTGCCTCTTCTTTTTGTTTCTTCTTAGGCACCTTCTTCCTATTCATCATCATCTTCTCCTTCTTCCTCATCGTCTGAGTTAGGGTGGATAGATTTTCTTTTAGCAGGTCTACCACGTTTAGGCTTTTCTTCTTTTTCATTATCATCATCTTCTTCATTATTTGCTCTTTCTTCATCTTCTTCATCATACATCATAGCTCTTTTCTTCTTTTGCTCAGCAGAGTCATTAATCAACGTTCCATTTGAAAAGAGATTTTTGACAATAACTTCAATATCTTGTTGGTTACCTTCAAATAGTTCAATAATTTTATCACAAATCTTTAATTGTTTTGCATTTAAAGTATAAAGCTTTTAATCTTCATCATTCTTTAAGCCATTTTCACCATTTTCTGCATCATTTGCTTCTTCTTTATCACTCTTTTCTTTACCTAAAACTTTATTTAATTCTTCTTTTTCTTCATCTTCTTCTTATCTTTCATTTTTATCTTGAATCTTTATTTTGTCTTTAATTACTTTTTCCAATTAATTGAACTGTTTACTAACTGGGCAATTTTCGATAGCTTCTTTTAAGAAGTGAAGAATTATTTATAGTTACTCAGTAGTGCACTTATTGTAAAAGTCAAAGTACTAAGTAATTTTTTCAAAAAGAGATTGGAAGCGTCTTTCTTTTGAGCATTTGTATGCCAAGAAAAGGAAGAATCTTTCTTATGGAAGAAATTCATTAGAAGAAACGTTTTTAAGCACTTCAGTGTTATTATGATATTCATAGGACATTAAGTTAATTCCAACTCTAAGAGCCTTTGAAATAAACTTTTCATTGCTATGATCAAAAATAACATATTCATCATTAAAAACTAATCCTTTCTTCTCAAGTGTAACCATCAACTACGAGAATAATTCCAAAGCTTTTTCAAATATTTGAAGATTGTAATAGTTCGAGGCAGTGAAAGTCTTAAATAAAGTTGAAAGTATCTGAATAGCCTTAAAGCCTTATTTTGTGCAGATTTTAGTATCAAACCAAATAACCAAAAGTAAGCAAATAGTCTAGAATTAAAAATCAATATTTTTTAAATAAGTAAAATGCATTAAAAAAAATTTTTTTTACAGTGTGTGGGTCTTGAAGTTTTCCGTTAAATAGCAATTTGCTTAACCCTTCAATTGAAATAGTTCTAAGAAGAATATCAGCTTTTAATAAAAAAGTTTAATTAGATAAAGGAATAATGTCGATCAGATATATTTAATACCTTAATAAGCATACTTAAGTATTAAATCTTATGTTTGAGGAATGTCAATATCTTCGTCATCTTGGGATTGCTTTTAAGTGAGATCATATAGAAGTAGGAAATCTACTATGCTTCTCAATGAAATGATTTCTTGTGGAGTACAATTCTAGCAGTTTTCACTCTTGTCCAAAATATCGCTGAATACAGAGAAGAAATCAATGCAATTCTTTTTATCAATCAAAACATAGAGAGCAAGTGATTTCAAGGAATTGAAGTTTAAACTTCTATCAGAAGAATGTAATCCAGGTAAAATGATTTGCTACAATAAATTTGAAATAGCAGGATCTTTAGGATCAACTTTGCAATAAGTGAGTAGAGATTAAACTAATACAAGCTCTCTCATAGAAATATCAAAAATTTTTGACTAAATAGCATCTTCCTTTTCTTCCCAAATTTTAAGATGTGCTTATTTTTCATCTTTTTCCTTCTCTAATTGATAAATTTCGTTTTATTTTGTCTTATTTTTTTTGAGATTCGACAATTCTTTTTCAATATTATCGAGTTTCTTTTTCTCTTCATTAATACTATTTCTTATTCTTTCCAATTCTGAAGGTAAATCAAAATGTGAGTCATTATCTGTGTCTTTAGCTAGAGGCTCATGAACTTCAGAAATAAGCTAGATAAGTTGAACATTCACTCTACCATCACTCACAATCTTTATTTTTAAAAAATAAAAATTACATAAATTTGACAAATATTTTTTTACTAAAAAATTTTTACCTTCTTTAAAATACGAACTATAATTGGAAGTAATTCATACGAGCATGTAATGATAGGAGAGAAGAAATATGATTGAGAAAAAATATTATTCATAACAGTATCTGGTTCAAGGTAATAGAAAATATCATTGTATTCATTAGAAGGATCAGTTGGGATTTCGGATATTAAATTGGTATTACTCATGTTAATAACTAAATTTTTTAGAGTTTCTTCAATTTTATTTCTTCCTGATTCATCACAATTAATGAGAAGTTCTGCCAAAAGGAGAACCTAATAGAGGGAAAATAAATTAGGCTAAGTGAATGAATAGTAGTCAATCACTTAAGAGAAATCAACACCGTTTGGGAAGCAATCTTCCACTACAGCTACTAATTCAGGACTGAGTTCCTTTCTATCATCTTGATTTTAAACCATTTAACAGAGGACTCTAATTAGGAATAGCTCTTCTCCTTCGATTGAAATTTAAGTGTGCTTTTTCTTCTTTTTAAGACTAAGTTGATTTAAAAAGCAATCCTTTAAGTATGCTGAGAAGCTATCAGCATCTAATATTTATTTGATAGTTTCCTTTACTAATAATTCTAAACTCTCGTATAATTCAGGGTAGTAAAGACTCTTTTCAATTTCAAAGGTTTTTAAAAAGTTTAAAATTTTAATTTTCAAATCTTTCATGGCAGTCTCTTTATTTGGTGTGAAAAATCTCTTAATTGCAGATTTACTTTGCTTTTTTTTAGTTTTTTCTTCATCAATTTCATTATCTTCAGAGCTTTCTTCTTTTTCTCCATCTTTTTCTTTGTTCTCTTCTAATTCCATTTCTTCTTCAATCTATATATTTAATGAAATTTTTTATTTAAAATATAAATTTTTTACTTTAATTTACTTAATTTTTTTAAGGATTTTCTTCATCTTCCTTAAACAAATTATAGTTGAGCTAAAGATATCTTATACATGCTTCACGGACAGATGATTCTCTAGATCCTAAACCATCATAAATAAGTTTATAAATATCAGATAAATTTAAGTTAGCAAGAGGTATTTATTCTTTAATAAGTTTCTTGAAGACTGTAGCTCTAATTTCAGGATTTTTATCTCTGATTCTCTTAATTAAATGGGGGAAGGTGCTTTCATTCATTTCCAAGTTGATTAATGCCAATTTTCTAATCTAGTCTTAGTCGTCCATGCACATACTCTTCATCATTTCGCTCTAAGTGAATAAAAAAAATATATTTTAAATTAATGAAAGTTAAAAAAACTTAAATAAATAATTAAATAAAAACTGTCTCTTAATTCTAAGACAATAAATTTTTATATCTTTTTTGATTTTGTTTGCGAAATTTTTAATTTTTTGCAAACTAACAAAAAATTGATCCAAAAATCAGCATCAAATTTTAAAAGACTAACTAAATTTTAATATTATAGAAAATATCTAACTAAAATTCTGAATCTATATTTATAATATAAATGTTGTCTCATATCACATTTTGAATTTAAAAATCACAAATTATTTAAATTACTCTAAGAATTTTTGCTTCTTATGTTTCTGTAAGATCATCTCTATCCATTAATTTTTGCAAATAAGACGTAATCTTAATACCTATGTGCTTTAAGTTACCCTTCTTCTCTTTCATCAAAGAAAGAGTACCTAATATTAATTACTTAGCAACTTTTACTTCAATAATATCTACAAGAGTGTCTGAAGGTAATATCTTTAAGAGTTAGAAAATTATACGAGAAGAGAAGATTCTTATTTAGAGTTAAGTGGAGTCAAGAGCTCCAGCAAAAAATGCCAAGAAATGTTAAAAAAGTTAAAAGATATCCCTTTTTGTTAACTTTTATTTTTTTGATGACTAATCTTCTTTGAGAGCGTACTAACGATATCCTGTTTCAAATAATTTTTCAGTCAATTTTTCATATTTCTCAATTAATTTTCTTGGTGCCTTAAGCAAGCTCTTGATAATTTTAAGATAGCATTGCTCTGTTGCTTTAAGAAATACTGCTTTATTTGTTTCATACTACTCAAGAAGTGCATATACTTGCTTTTAAGAGACTGAGGTAGACTCCTAAACTTCATTGAAAACTTCAGCTATTGTTTCCATCACTTATTTTTGTCTAAGTTAGTATAATCTAGATTTATTTATTAATATTCTTGTTAAATCTATTTTTACTTTGCTTCTTATCTTCTTTCTTCTGATTTAAAGATTTAATTAATCTGAATAAAATAATCAGAAAGCGCTTTTTCACAATTCAACTAATTATTAAGATTCTGCTTGTAGCTATTATTTTATAATAAAAAATTTACTTCAAATAATTTATCCGCTTTTAAATAATCAATGAAGGACTTGATTATATTAAAAATTTTTGAATTTATAATACCCCGCCTTGCTTACTAACTTTAAGAAATTTAAAATTCATAAGAATTTTGATAGAATTATAAAAGAGGGTTCAAATCTCTCTAAGTTATCAAATTTTACTCCATAATAAATAATACAAGTAAAAATGAAAAAATTTTATATTAAATTAAAATAATAATAATTTATTTAATCAAAATATTATTTAGCTTACTATTTATTTTATATTTTTTCCTTCTAATAATATTTTCACTTAAATAAGCAAAAATAAAAAAAATAAAACAGTCTTTTTGATAATGAAGTTTTATTTTTAATAAATAATTAACTATTAAAATGTATTTTATTTTTCCAAAATTGGTTAAAAAATATTTTTATTATTAAATTGTTTTGAATTGGCTAAAAAAGATTTTTATTTTTATTTTATTAAATATTCATCTTTAAACAATTATTTTATTTTAAAATAATATTTAAATTAATTTCAATTTAATCCAATTTTTATTTAGGAAAATAAACATTTTTAATTTATAATATTATTTTTTTAATGCTAAATCTAAAGACTTTTTATGAATAAACTTCCTAAATATTAGTGTAAAAAAAAATATTTACAACTAATTTTTATTAAAAGATATAAGACTTTATAAAAATACCAATAAATCAAGTCTTTCAATATATTTAATATTAAATTTATAAAAAAATGTTTGCAGTTTCTAAATTGTTTCAAATAGGATGAAACTTACTCTTTTTATAAATAGAAACTTTAAAAAATAATTTTATTTTAAAATAAAATTTTAATCAATTTATTTTAATATTTTACAACTTGGATATTTGGTAAACACAGAATATATTAAATTTATAGTTTTAGTTTGCTTTGATAAATCTAAAGATATTTATTGATTTATTGATAATTAGTAAATTCATTTATATTAGTATAAAAATAATACTCTTCTACTAAATATAATGAGAAGACATAAAACTTTAAAAAACAAATTCCATTTAATCTAAAGATCATTTAATATCCATGAATTGATAAATTATAAATTTTATTAGAAATGCTAACCACTATTCATTCCTATAATTAAAAGCAGGTAAATTTTAACAACTAAAATACAAAAAATAAATATTTAAGTTTTGTTATTATTAAAGAGATAAATTGCAGAAAAATTTTAAGACTTTCATAAAAGCATAGATTATAATTTTTAAAACTCGTAATTCATTAAAATTTAGCAAATTGGAATATCAAAAAAATATAAATTTTAGAAGAAAGTATGTACAGAGCTTAGCCAATTTTTAATAAAATCTGTGTAGATAAAGAATTAGAAAGGAAAAAAGAAATTCATCGTTAAAAGATAAATAATATTTAATCAACATTTCGTTAGAAGACTCCTTAAAACTATTCAGTAGATTATAAGTTAAACAGACTCAAAAAAGAATAATAGCATGAAAGTCGCTACACTGAGATAGAAAGGGAAAATCGTATATTGTTAGAAAAGATAACTCACATTATGGCGAAAAACACAATATAATTGAATAATAGACCTGGATCTCCGAAATCATTAAATATATAAAACAGAAAGCGATTTGTTCAAAAAGTTTAAGAAGACAATTTTTAGTTTCTGCGAAGACTTTAAGATCAAAAAAGTAACTATTCTGTAAGGTAGTGGGAATCAGATTTCTAGAAAAATTAAGAAATGGTTTCAAAGATATCTTCTTATCCTCTAAATTTATTTTAAACTCCTAAAGATGGATCTATTATGCAACATAATCAATCTATTCAATAGCCATATAAAACTAGCAATTAAGGATTTATCAATATAAATGGAAATACCAATAACAACAATAGCAATAATTATTCTCCTGAAAGGATTTCATATTAAAACTAATAGCCTCAAAGGCCAAATACTTCTTAAATTAGGTCTAGCTCAAATAAATACCCAATAACATCTCAGAATTTTTATAGCTAAAATAATACAATCTAGCAATAAAGCAATTAGAAAAGTTAAAAAAATTCATCACCAAAACCAATAAATAGTAAAAATAATATAAGCTCTATTTAAGAAGATCATTTCTCTGAGTAGCAAAATTATAGTAATATGTTATAATTGAACAATTCTTCATTCGAGAGGAGCTAAGAATACTACAAAGATAGAATGCCAGTAATACATTCAAATCCAAGTAGCACAAAACACTCTAGACTTCCGAATGGAAACAGCAAGAATCGAAACACTACTTTTTATAGTGGTAATATTAAATCTAATGGTAGTAGAGAGTAATTATCTCGTCGTAATGGTAGATCTAAAAGTAATTCATAAAATTGCACTTAAACTAAAAGGAAAAAATCAGCAATAGAGTCCAATCTAAATAAAAGTAGTAATAGTATTTCACCAGATAAATACCCTGCACAACATGCTAGCAGTAGTTATGCATCGTCATATCTATATCCACCAAACGAGTCTACAGTTATTCTATTCAGAAAGCCCAAAAAGATTAGTGGGGAATTTTTCTAATTGGAAATTCGCTTGTAAGATAATCACCTCATAATATTAGCTGAGCATGTGGAAAATTAAGAGTTAAAAATAATAGAAATACCATAAGAAGAAGCTTAAGAATTTATAAAAGAAGAATGTGATAATGATGTTAATAGTTTAGCCCTAAGACTGCGTCTCCATAATGGAAAATTGTATTTAATAGGAACAAAAGCTCTTTAAAATGCTAATAAAAAAACATCAACATCTCCAATCCAAACTTCTTCCGATAATTAAGATTTCTACAATAATTAAAACTAAATAATGGCCACCTAAGAAAATTAAATTGATATAAATGATGAACCACAGCAATCTAATATGAACAGATTTTCACTTTAACAATCGCATAATTCTTAAATATTATAGCAGATGTAAAATGAAAATAGTTAGGTAGGTTCTTAATTATCTAATTATAGAAAAGAAAATGAGTTTTAACCGATAAATAATGTTCAACCGAACTCAATTCATGATAAACATGAAGAATAACCTCCAACCAAGCTTAAAATGTGAAATTTAAAAGTCAAGATACATAAATAAATAAATAAAATTTAAAATTATTATTAGGTAATTTTGTAAATTTTTAAAAAATATGATAACAAATGATACTAAATTTATTTGTAAATATTATATAGATTATATGATTATTGTTAGATTTATTATCTAAAACTAATATATAATGTAGGTTTTAGCTACCCTTACTTGAAATATATCTTCAATTTTATTATTTTAATTTTAACATTTTATATTTTATTAGATTATTATCTAAAAGTTTTTTTATTTAACAAATAAACCAAAATTAAGAATTCATCAATAAAAACAAATAAAATATCTTAATTAATTTACTTATATTGAAAAAGAAATTAAACTGGCTTTTTTTTTCATCAATTTTTAAGTTAACAAATAAATTTTACTGTAACTCCTAATAATATTTATGGAAAAATATAAATTAATAAAAGCTTAAATTCTCTTTTGAATTGTGTTAATTTTATGAAAATCTAAAAATAGCAATCATAAGCAAATAGCCTATTTTGTAATTTTTTATTATTTTAAATAATAAGACAATAGCTCAATCTAAAATATAATAGAAATTAATATATACTACTTTTGAATGCTCATCTAGCTATAAACTATTAATACAAAATGTATTTAAATTTGAAGTTCAAAAATTTGTTTAAGAAATAAACATATAGTTTTCTAAGTATAATTCACTTAAAAGTCATTTTATTTTTGACTAATTTTAATTATTTAGTATCAAATTAGTAATCTGTTTAAATATCTTAAAAAATCTAAAAATATTATTTAGGTATCATTTTTGAATCTAATAATATTGAAAAAATTATCCAAGTGATTTATCTAAAAGTTACAGTACTATCAAAAATAATATCAAGTTTAATTTATTAGTAAGAAAAGTAATGTTTGATGACACTTGATTAATAATAAGTTGATTTGGAATATAATTAAAATAATTATTTATTTTTTCCTTTAAAGACTTATTTTATTCTTTTTTTAAAATAGTGTAAAAATATTAAATTAATTTATTATATTATAATTTAAGTAATTTGGAAAATTAAATAAGTTTAAGGATTAGGAGAGATATTAAGAAATGTATGCGGACAGAGATATTTGAATTAAAAACAACAAATAAGAATAAATAGTTGGAGTACCTATTACGGTAAAATATTAATTTTAAAAAATCAAATAAAAAATTAGTTTTAAATGTATATCTTGGATATGAAAATAAAGTTTTTGTTCAAGTAAATTGAGTTGAAAAATTTTATTTTAATTTGCTGGCTTGCTTGCTTGCGTATATGATTGTATATTAATTTGTTAAAATTAATTAACTTTTTGATATGCAGAAATGATCAAAATTAATTCATATAAATGGCTTTTTAATTTTAGGCAAAAAGTTAATGAACAAAAAATAATGTAACAAGTAAAAGAAAAAGGTTTTTTTTGATAAGTCATTATAAAATAAGTAAAAATGAATGTAATTTAGAATTATTAATATTAAAATAAATAAGCTGCTATCAAATATTAGAAGGTAATATTTTGTTAGTTAGCTAAAAAGAAATTTAACTATTTTGTTTAGTGATCAAAGTTATATATATATTAATAAATGCTTAAGACATGGACGCAAATAAACAAACAAAAATCAAGCAAAAAAACAAAAAAATAATTGAATTTTAATTTTTCTGTATAATAATTAACAAAAAATAAGTATTCTTAGTTAAATAAAGTAAAAGAAATTATACTACCACAAAGTCATTAATTAAACAAAAACTTTGCTAATTAATTAATTAATACAGAGGCCCAAATATATATTAATTTGTAATTCAAAAAGAGTTAAAAAATAAACTAGAACTTCATTCAGCTTATGAGAATTAGGAGTAAAGCATTTTACGCTCGTTCTTGTGAGGAGTATTACTTGGTAATAATTATTAGAAAGATGTTATTAAAAGCTGTATGTATACTTACTCAAGCTTATGCCTTTCATACTTCCATTTTAGTTTGTTTATTAGGTTTTATTAAGAGCAAAATCAAATCAAATCAGCTTTGTTTTTGTTTGAAAATATATTGAGTTTAGTATTCTAAGATAATTTTTAAGCTATACTCTTTATATCTTAAAATAGTTGATAGTTATGAAAATATATGGCAATTAAACATCTTTAAAGTAAACTTTTATTGTTTCTCATTACATTATTTACTAATAATAGAAAGCAGAAAAAGAGGCTCAAAAGGAAGAATCCAAAATTCCATACTCAGGTGGCTCTAAAAAAAATAATCATTATCATCATAAGCAACATAAAAGTGTTGGTAAACCTGTATCAGAATCAAAAAATAATAGCGATTTATATGAAGAAAATAAAAAATAAAATAATTTTAGTCCTTAGCTAAAGGAGTTAATGACAAATTACGTCATGGAAGCAGGCGCATTTGACCCCTTCTATTTAAATGATGCAGAATAGTTTAATAAAAAAAGTAAAAACTCAGATTAAAGTGTTGATATTTAAAAACCAAATGAGAGAGTTAAGACTCAAAAGCATAAAAAATAAGCTAATGAAAGAGAAGGTTAATAATTAAAAGCTTCATAAAATGAAGAAGTAGAATAGTAAGAAAATAATGAAGTTGATTTATTAGAAGTCAGAAAACGTTCATTCAGTATAAATAATGGTACACTATTATTACCAAATGATATTGCTGTATCATCACGTACATTATCGTCTGAAAAACGCGAAGATAACAAAGATAAAGATAATAGTGATAAAAGTGATGAAGATGGTGATAATTTAAGCGATGAGGATAAAAGTGGATCTGGAAATAGCAGTGATAGTGATAAAAATAGTAGTAGCAGTGGCGGTAATAGTGATGATAGTAGTGATGACGAAGATGATGATGAAGAAAGCATAAGAATAAAGGAGAGTTAACAAAGCGAAAAAAATGAAAATGGATTATATGAAAGTGAATTTTTTAACAGTTAAAATAACTGGGGGAGAAGAAAAAAACTAAACCTAAGCTAAACTAGCGAGTCTTTTGATGAAAATCTTTACTGTAACTATGAAAATTTTAATGGAAGTTCTTCTGTGAATTTAAAATAAATAAAGACAAATGTTATGATTATAGGTGAATCTAAAATTGGAAAGACAGAACTATTATCCGAAATGTTTACAAATAATTAATTTCCTTCTAAATTAAATGCAAATTACTCTCTTGACCTGATGATACATAAACTTTCAAAAAGCGAATAGGAATATAAAATTTGTCTTTGGATTTAAAATTTATCTACCATGCAGTATTAATGGATAATAGAATGTAAGGATTAGTTGTATTTTAAAAATCTTATCTTTTTTAGTTTTTAATACTCATCTAAAATCAATATTGCTTAGTAAGTTGATGATTGGCTTAGGGCTAATCAATGAACTTATGAATGGATTACTTCATAAAAATTCATATAATAAAATACAATTTTTAATTTGTAGTTTTGGTTTAATGATAAACAGAGACTAAATACTTCTAAAGTAGTTAATAGAATTTTAATCACAAAATATCAAAATTATAATTTGGTAAATGATTAAAAAAGTACATTTAAATTAATATAAATCCAGTTCAAATCATCAAATAAAAAAATCTTCTTTCTTACTAGCATATTTTTTTTAATTCATTTTTTAATCAAATATTTTCGATATTTTGAAAACTCTAAGTATTTACTTTGAACATAATACAAATAAAATTTTTTCATTGATTGTCTTGGGGAATTTATAAAAAGCATGCTTTAATTTATTAAATCAGACTCATAAATCTCCAAGAAAGAAATTATAAATAAATTACAAATATGAACATTAACTCATTCATTACACTCACTCACTCTATTCTATTTATAAAAAAATTTTGATTTTCTTTTTTAATAATAGAGGAGTAAAGAAAGATAAGAGAATACTTATTAAAAATCAATTATTTTTAACATATTTTTTTAATAAATATTAGAGGTCTATTATAAAATAGTGAGCACTTTTATATTTTTGTATAACGATTCTGACCCTAAATCTCTTGAAGCTGTTAAAACCACATATTAAAAAACAAAAGCTTAAGCACCTAACGCAAAATATATTTTAATCGGAATTACAACTCATAGTACTAATGAATAAAAGGTAAAAAATAATTTTTATAATGAATAAATTAAAAACTGAATATATTTATTTTTCTGTGGTAATTTAATTAGAGAAGCACAAAATTAAATTTACTTAATGAACTTAAATAGTTAAGTAATTAAATTTGATTACTAATCAAATTTATTTATTTATTTATTCTTAGATAAGAAATGAATAGCTATTTTGAAAATTTTTTATTTTGTTATAAGCTTGAATTTTAATTCAGAACCAAATTTAAATAAGCACAATAATCACAATTTAATTTAATGAAAATTTCTTTTAAATTTTATTTTGGTGCAAACTCTAAATAAAAATTTTCGCTTCATTTGATCTTTTATGCGTATTTTTTTCTTTCAACAGTTCATTTAGTAATCAATTTATCTTTCTAATAAAAATCATTTCTAAAGAGAAAAAAATAACAAAGTTTTTATTATTTTTGAGTTATTTAATTGTATTAAAATATCAATAGGAAATATAAGAAAAAGCAAAGGCATTTTCTGATGAGAATAATTTCACGTATTATTTTGAAAGAATTTAATCTTAACCAACTGAAGAAACACATCTGAATTCTTTAAAGCACTATGTAAAAAATTTTTAATTATGAAATTTGATGAATCGAATAATGAATTACTTTTTTAACAAATTTACTCATTAAATTTTATTATTCTATTATAGGTATGCCCTTTACTCTTCGATAAAGAAAGCAACGATTCATTTAAATGCAGTGATTTCTAAATTTGCTAAAACTCAACTCAAGATTCTCCAAAATCTATAGAATTTTCTTTGAATAAAAATATATCTCAAGAGTTTTGTTTTGCAAAACATATTTAAAATTCGTAATCACCTGTTCGAACTAGAAACATTGATTTAAGTGATATAGACCAAATCAAATATTCATAAAATATAAATTTCAAAGATGGAAACGGGTATTGCTTATCTGAAACAAGAAGATAACAAAAAAATTTTACGGAGGAAGATGCAAATGGTAAAAGTGATAGATATTTTATAGACTAGGATGAAAATATGCAATATACTTAATCAAATAAAACACTATAAACGTTCCCACTAATAAATGAAAATAATTAAATAATCTAAGAAACCTATTCTTGGCCTATCTAATCAAATTCACCTATCAACTTCGACTAAAATAAAAACTACTTAGATAAAAGTGCCTGTATAAATTTGATACCCAGCGAAATTCAAAGTGTAGACAATTAGATATAAGATTAACAATTAGAATAGCAATTAAAAATAGGTGAATCCTCTAACTTAGAATCTACTTAACAAAATTTGTAGCTATCTGATCATACATTATCTGAAATTCCTATAAAAATAAGTTAATAAGGGTGACACTGTATAAATAATTTTAAAACTCTTTGGCTTATACTAAAATAAAATAAAATAAATAAATAAAACACTAAATATCAAACGATGCCAATAACCTTCTTCTTATAATATTAATATATAAAATAACGAATTTCAGCAATCAAACAGCTAATATTAAAATAAATAAATTAGCATCCTCTCTTTTCTATTTCCTGATAAATTTAGTCTCAAATAAATAAAATAATATAAATAAAGACAAATAGTAGTACCATCTATGATTAATTTTGGAATATATTCTTAATAAAAACCACACACATGCTTACATGAATGCATGCATGAATGTATACAGACATACACAGTAGCAGCTAGTCAGATGATATATATATAAAACTACTATATAAATAAATTTTACAAAACTAATTAAAATAGCTATAAATCTAGACTATAAAATCAATCAATCATTCATTCATTAATAACTAACAAATATTAGAAAACTAACTAATAAAAAAGTTAACATTAAATAAATAGCTAGTTTATTTTTCCTAAACAAATTATTAAAAATCTACTCTACATCTTTATTTTTATTTTTGGTATTAACATTAACAAGATACTCACTAACTAGTTAAATAATTCTGAGTTTTAGATTGAACCTATAAATATAAATATCTAAAACAATTATAATTAATTATTTAGTTATTAAGTTTCGATGTATTAATTATTTATCAATCAATATATTTTTTGCAAATCTTTATAAGAAAAGTAAAATTAATTAGAGATTATTTAAGAGTAAAAATCTAAATAATCTGTAAAAATTCCTATCTCATTTTCTTAGTATTTTAATTTCAGTTATTTACATATTTATTTTTGAGGAAATATAATTTTTAACTTTACTAGTTTAAATATAATTAACTTATTTTCTTACTTACTAATTAACTAACTACAGTATCATCTGAGAATTTTAAATTAAATTTATTGTTATTAAATGCAATTAACTTAAGGGTTGTTTAAGATAAATAATATAATTTTATTAAATTTCTTTGAGTAAAAAAATCAACAGTTATCTAATTCTAATTGTAAAGACTCATCAAAATTATTTAATATCCAACTCAAGAAAAATTAATAACTATACTTGTGTTCATCATATTTTTATTAAATGTAATCTAACCTTAATTCCACATATTCATTCATAAAATTATTCTTATTAAAATAGCTCCACATTTAGTGAGCATACCATTTAGCTTCTTCTCCACTTTCATTTACAAGCTTTTCAGAAGTTTGTAATATCTCTAAAAACTCTTACTTTGTAATGATACCAATTCTTTTAGGGTCAAATAGCCTTTACAAGAAATCTACAATGTGCTCTTTTTCGCCTTTTTACTCCATCAAAACTCTCAAATTCAAAAATTTATCCCATGATAGCTTTATATTATTTCTATCAGCCACCTTTATTTTGATTATTTAATAAGCAAAAAGTGTTTTATTTATATGTAAAAATATTTTTTTTTCAATTATATTAAATGAGGATTAAGGACTAATTAAAAGATATTTATTCATTTTAATTGATTAAAAGGTTAATAATATAGAAAAATAAATTGTAAATATTACTTCGACGTCAATTCCTATTGCTCTGAGGATACTATTAATTATAGGAGTATGTGTACCACTTTTAAAACTTGTACAAAAAGTAAAAAAATTCATAGCATAAATTAGATCTGATCCTTTTGAAATTTTGTCTTAGTAATTTTGAGCATTTTCTAATCCTTCATTTAAATTTATTAATGACTAAAACTCAGAGTAATATCTAAAAATATCTTTGTTAGTTAGCTAAGGATAAATATTTCTAATTCTAACAAGTTCTTTTGTTTTCATTTTACTGTACTCAATATTTTATTTATTTTTCCTCTTTAAATAGTTTACTATTCCTGTGTTTATCTATTTATTTCCATAATAATCTACACTTCCTTCTTATAAAATTGAATTAAGTTTGTAGTTTGATGAATTTTTTCCTAAAATACTACTTTCTTTTTCATTAAAATGATTTCTTGATTCTCCCCTCTAAATTTTTATTTATTTTTAAAAAAGATTTTAAAATGAATTTAAAATTAAATTATTTATGATTTATTTACAAAATTAGTTGGGGAAGATGGATTTTAGCTAAACGAGTGTTGATTTATTGTGTTTTCTTGATAAAGAGATTAACTTTTTTAGCCATAAAATTTATGAATTTATTCATTAACATTGCTAGTTTAAGCCAACCCTCTAATATTAGTTGAATTATTTCTATTTTTTTTAGGTGAATCGTATGGACTTTATGAAACTTAATGAACGGTATCAAAATTTATTTAAGCTTTATTTTTTAAAGTATCTCTGAACTACTGATTTTACTGAACCTCAATAAAATTCTCTAAGTCACGTAAAAATTAGTTTTTTTTCATCGTTTCTTTTTCTCCACCTAGCAGAATCATAGTTTAAAAGTGCAGCTAAAGTATATCAGTAACTTCCCTTCCATTAACATCAAAAATGCATTCAATATTTTCATAGTTTTTTAATGAATTATCTCCTATATTATTTATTTAGCCAATTAAGTCAATTACTATTTGCTGTCTATACCTATTTTTGTTTTTGGTTAACATAATTAAATAGAGAATAATTATTGATAAATATATTTTTTTTTACTTTGTGCTTGGGATAAAATAGTATATAACTCTCTCAAATAACTTTTTTTCACTAATGTATTCAGTTTCAAAGTCATTAAATATTTTTAAAATATCTTTTTTCTAAAAACCTAGTTTCATCTCCTCAAAATCACGTTTTTTTTCAGGATTTTTAGAAAGTATACTATAAAACTCGTCTACAAATTTCAGATTTAATATTTTCTAAATATAGGGATATGCTTTTTCTAAAACTTCTAAGTCTATTGAAGGTTGTATTTCTTTCTTAAAATTAGAAAATATAAAAGGAGATAAGTCAAAATTTATGAAATTATTTTTTATTTCACTAAATTTGTTAATTCTGTTCAGGAAAAATATCTTAGTTAAAGGCAATAATTTTATCTTTTTTTGCTTTTATGGAGCAGTTAAAAAAAGTTTATTCTAATTAAATGTGCTCTCTTCTTTTTGAGTTTCTTTAGCAACTGCAGCATGGTTACCATTAAAAGATATATTCAAGTTTACTGTTTAAAGTGGTTTTAATCTTACATGTTAACTTGTATATTAATTTCGATTTATGATTTTATTTGAGTTACTATAATATTCAACTGAATTTCTTTAATCTGTTGAGGGTCTTTATTTAACTGAAACAGTCCTTCTCCTTTCTATGGCTGTATTAAAAAATATTTAATCTTATGAAAATTATTATTTGATTAACAAACAGTAATTTTATAATGCAAAAAAACTTATTAATTACTCATAACATCCTTAGAAGAAGATTGTAATCTGCCATTTTCAATTTATTAAAAGTTTTTTTGCTGTTAAAAAAGCTAAGAATGGTGTTTATACGCTTCATAAACTTTTTCATTAGTCACTTAAAAATTTTCTTTTTTATTTTTTTTTTTATAATCTCTAATTGTCCTTTTAGTTAGTCCTGGTGGTAGTTTAGTATCCGTTACTTCTAATAAAGTTTCAGCCAAGTTTTTTTATTTGTTCACTTACTTTTATATTTAAGGTGAATTAATGCTAGATTATTCTTGGTCATCTTAATATCTCAAAAACGCATCTTAATAACTAAAAGAGTTTTTCCTAAAATCATCTAGCTAACTATTATGACTTGAATTTTGAATAGATCTAAGTTTTTGCTTATATTGATCAATAGTTTTTTAATTTGTTTCATCATCAATCAGTTTATTCTCTAATTAGTAAGGCCTAACTCCTGTATTATTTACCCTATCAGAGTACAGTTTAGTATTATATATTGGTCCTTGTATATGCAAATTCATATAAAATTTGTTAGGCGTAAAAGATTTCTGAGGATTTTCTATATCCTCATACAGATTCAGGCTTGTATTTAATAAATGCTTAGACATAAATTAGTATCTTATAGTAAATTTTCTATTTAATAATAATTGGTGTCAATCAAAATATTTATAATAAAAATTAACTAATTCGTTTATAATCAACCAAATTTTGCATTAGTTAAGTTAAAATTATAATTAATTATAAGTATTAAAAAAATATTTTTATTTAACATTATAAAAATGTTAAATATTTTTAGTAATTTTAAGCAAAAATGAATAAACACAAACTAGATAATAACATTTTAATTTATTTTTAAATAAAATATATTTATGTATAAATTATAAGTACGATCAAATGATTATTTGTTTTCTTATAAATAATAAGAAATTAAGAAATATTGTTAAGCAAGAAAATTTGATTTCAAATATATTTTAATTAATATTAAAACAAAAGATAAAAAGGATATCTGTATGATTAAGAAAAAAAAGAAGATTGTAATATAAAATGAGCAAAAATGGTAAAGGACCAAACATTTAATGGTGTAACTCTTAAAAAATTAGTTTTTTAAGGATAATTTAAAGCACGGATTATAGAGCACCATTTTCCCCTATAAGAGAGCATCATTAAGATTAGATTATCCCTGATGATTGAAGTAAGTACTGTTAGAAATCGATAATCTATTCTAACAAGAAACCTTTAATCTGCCATGAGTTCAGAGTGAGATACGGAATCAAATATTGTACTTAGCTATAATTTAATGTCCTGCCAATTTTTTAAGGAATAAGTTTTTTTACATTTAACCGGTCATTATGATTTTATATCATTATTGCCTTTTGCAGGGTGTTATTTATGGTGTTAAAATGCATTAATATTTGATAATAGAGTAAAATCTTTCCCTCACTCTATTACAATCATCTGACAGTATCCTTGATCCTCCACTCCTCAAAAAGAGTATCTATCTTGTTTCTAACTGCTATCAAAATGAAATATCCCACCTAAACATAGCACGTCTATATCTAAAACTCAGAAATTACTTTGATACCATACTAAATTAAATACCTTATTAATAAAGAAGAATAATCAAGAATGATGAATGAGACTCTGAACTAAAATTCCTAAATACTATCAAAAATGGCTAAGATTTATTTCTTTTCTTATTAGATCTTACAAAATTATTTAATTGCAAACTAATCTGTTATTAATATCTAATAAATAGGATCTTAGAAGAAAGGCTGGAGTCACTTTGGTGCTTATCAATCTTAAACCCCTAAAATGAAAACGCGAACAAAAAAGTTTTTATTATCAATCGGCCCTGAAATATCGAGATCCCCACAATATTTTACGCAATGTTTTCAATTTTAGGAATTCACAAACAGAGAGCACAAAAAACCCTCTACAGCTAAACTTTAAGAATCACTAGTTTTTAAGGAAATAAATTTTAAATCCCGAAAGGCCCTTTCTACAATGCCAATCCCGGACCGATTCTTAAAAGTTTAACCTGTTTTAAAAGTTGAAGAGGCGTGCTGAACAATAGTTCGCTGTTTCGTTGTCAAAATTTCACCTTCTCTCTTTCGTTAATAAATAAATATTAAAAGTTTTTTAATCCGTAATTGATTTATTCTAAAAGAATATTCATCCTAAAATATTTAAAAACAAATGTAAAAAAAAAAAAAATCTTCTCTTTTTTAAGGAATAATATCGTTAAAGCCGCACTATAATATAAAAATATTTTATTAGAATTTAATCATTTTATTATATTAACTAACCTTAGCTACTTAGACACAAAAAATCTTAAAATATTATATTAAAATAAAAAAACTCTGAATAAAATAAATCTGAAATAAATTTAAATAAATAAAAATTAAAAAAAAGAAAAAAAAATTACAAACTAACTAAAACTAAAATACTAAATAAATAAATTAATTAAATAAAAATATAAACTAATAAATAAATAAAATAAATGTGATAAATACATATAAAATAAATCAAGAAAAATTAATATTAAAATTTCTAATTTCAAATATAAATAAATATTTTATCTATCTATTTAAGGCTGCTGAATATGCTACATTTTAATTTTTTTTTTTTTTGCTTATTTTAAGTATTTTTAGAAATATTTGCTGCAATCGTTATTTTTTATATTAAGGTTCAGTTTTATTTTATTGATAGCATTTTTGTTTAAGTATAGAAGAAAATTAAAAAAATTTACAATTAAGAAAATTTTAAAATTATTTAAACAAAATAAATTTTTAATTTAAATTTTTCTTTTTATTTGAAGCAAATACAAAATTTTCCTTTTAAATAATAAATAGTCTTGCAATTGTTAATAATAAAATAATTTTATATTTTCATAATATTAAGAAAATATTTTAATTTCATTTGCGTTTTATATTGAAACTATATTTTATTTTATTTTTCATACAAATAAAAATATTAATCAAAAACTTTTTAAAATATATTTAATTCATTAAAAAAATTTTATTGAATTACTAGACAAAAAAGTTTATCTTACTTAGTTTATTAAATATCAATGTGAATTTCTTTATTTTCAATTTATCTACCTTTTTTATCTTTGTTATTCTCCTTAAAATATTTTTTATCGTATTTTAAAATTAATTTCTATGAATATTTTATTATTAAATTATAAAAATTAAATTGTATAAATTTTAAAGAAGACTATTTACTTAAGTTAAAGAGACAATCTTTCCCTGCTAAAAATATACATATATATTACAAAATAAAAATTAGAACTATAAACAATTTTCTAAATTATACTTTTAACTCATTATTTAGATCAGATATTTTTCGATTGCTTACATACCGTGGTTTCTGGTTAATTAAGGACTAACTCAATTCAAATTTTCAGTCCAGTTTTAGTCCTTTTTTCATAAGTATCAAAAAAAGTCCTTAATTAATGTAGTCCTTAATTAACCAGAAACCACGGTATTTCCTAAATAATTTTTATATTAATTTAAGATCAATGAATTTTAACTTATAGTTTTATGAGTTATCCTTCAACGTTTATAAATCCATAAATAAATGCTTGTTTATATATTTTAAATAGAAGAATTAAAAGCTGGTAAACTATATTAGTATAAATCATCAAATATCAAAGGGAAAAAGTCTATATTTAAATTTTTACCATAAGAGATTAAAGAATGATAAGTAATAAATTGAATGGTTTGAAAATTTATCTTCAAATTTATCAAATATTACAAAACTAAAGATAAATAATAAAAAGATTTATTTTCACCATAAAAATAATGATTATTAATTTTTAACTATTAACTTACCAAATTATTATTTTTTGTTTGATTTATGAATCACATTTTATACAGTAATAAGGATTTTTGAATAAATAAATAAAGTAAAAGAAATAAAGTTCAAAAAGAATTATTTATTAGTATTTTTATAAAATGAGCAATAAGCAAAGTTGGTTTAAAAAACTGTTTCTTTAATTTGATTTAATGCAAATTAAGTCCAAAAACTTACTTTTAGGAAACTATAAATCTTCTTATTTGGGTAGTTTATGTACTATATTTTTATTTGGAATGACAATCTTAGCAGTCTTAATATTCGTATTTTTAACACAAAAAACATCAACTCAGCTGAATCTTTTAGAGTTTAATAAGGAAAATGTTAGTGTTGAAGAGATTATTAACACACTACAGTTTGCAATTTTAATAAGTAAAGAACAGTAATATCTCAATTTTTAGGAGCTTTCTGATGTGTTTGAGTTTGAGATTGCTTATAAACAGTTTATAACATAGCTAAATTACAATCAAAATGCTAAGGAATTAAATTCAATGAAGTTCTCAGTATCTTAGTGCAACTAACAGCAATTAAAATATTTATAAAATCTAAGTAAAGGTTAAATGGATATAGAAAGTATTTCTAACTATTTAATTTGCCCTTAAATAAGTAATATCCCAAATGAAATGGTCTAAAATTAAGAAAGCGATGTATAAAATATATTTAGAATTAATGTTAAGAAATGCAATAATTGTAGTAATCTCACAAATAATCAGCTTAAAGATTTTTAATTGAATATTATTTTTGTTTAATCATAATTTGCTTATGAAGAATCTATTTAAACAACTTCTTTGTATAAAAAATTATATTATTGGTAATTAATTATTCAATTTTAAATCATCCTTAATTAATAATTTAAAAAACTTTAGGAATTTAGACTTTTAAAGTAACTTTGTTCTTAAATAAGATATAGAAGCTGACTAAATTACTTTAAAAATGAGAGAGGAAAATATATTTGCAAATCACTCTCTAAAATTAATAGATAGAGGAACTAGATATAGAACATCAATTAGGAGAACATATACTAATTAAGATATATCTGATGTTTATATATCATAAGATATCATAATTAAAGGGAAAGAAGTACAATATGAAAAAGTACTTGTTAGTCAAGTTGGTTAGTTTTTCATTTTTATTTCATCTTCAGCAGGATTTATGATAATGATATATTATCTTTGTTCACAATTTTATGAAAGCTATATGTATCATTACAATATTTTAGATACAATAAATGCAAACTTTGAAATTCCTTCTAATTTGCTTAGAGAAGATGACAAAAGAAAAGGAGAGTATAAAATAGAGAAAGATATTTCTGAAATACATATCAATATAAAAGAAAATAAAAGTAAAGCTTAGCATGAGCAACAACTTTATAAAATTGGATATTTCTAGTATTGCTTGAAGTATTTTTTTATAAGCATCATAGGCAAATATAAAAAAATTTAATTAAATGAAATGAGCAAATTTTAATATTTTAACCAGGCAAAGGCTAAAATTTTATAACAATTAACTTTCAGCTAAATGATCTTGCAAGCAAATTAGTAATATAAAATCAAATAATTAATTTTTAATAATGAGTAAAATTAAATATTTAACACTTTGAATAAAATTAAATTAGAAGGAGATGAAAAAAGAAATTTCTAAATCAGTTATGGTAAATAAAATGTTTTTTTATCAAAAAATTTAATTAATTTTTAAAAATAATTTTAGTCAATCAAGCTGATTCGTAATTTGCAGATTATAAAAAACCAATTATGTAAAACTAAAATAAAACAATAAATAGCAGTATTGAAAACAACAATTTCTGCTAAAAATCAAATTTTAGGCATTTGCAATTAAGTAAATTAAACGAGTGGAAGGACTTATTCGCTTTATTTATTGATTAAAAACTTTAAGATGAAGTAAATAAACTTAGCAATTAATTCATGAATAAAAACCAAAAATTTTCAAAAGATGCTTCACTTATAAATTTTGTTCATTATGAAATTGACAAAAAGCAAATACCAACTAATGATAATAGTCCAGTTAAAATAAGGTAGCCATCCTATAATAAAAGAGATTTTAACTAACCTAGAAGAAGTTTGATAGAAAGTCCTTCAAATTTTATTAGTAATAATAGATTTTCTTCAACTATTTTCAATATGACTAGTAAATCTCCAACTAGCAAATAAGAATTATTTAAAGATTCATCTCCGAAATCAATTATTAAGTAAAGGAGAAGAACTAATTAACTTTAGGGATTTTAAAAAGAATAGCAATTCATAAACTCTGTAAATATAAATTCTCCAAAAAATATAAATATTGATTTTAATTAACATTTCCAGTAGTTCAAATAATAAAGTATTCAATCTCCTAATTAATTACATCTAAAGCTAAGTAAAGCAATTAACACTGAAGAAAACTAATAAGAATCTACTTAATCCAAAAATTAAAGCTAGAATTAATTTGATATAAACACCTGCTAAGAAATCTAATAAGATAAAACCAAAGCTAATTAAACAAATGCTAGTTAATTAAATTTTTAAGTCCATGAGTTCAATTAAATGATTTAGAGCGAAAAGGAGTATATAAATGAAAATGAAAATTAAAACGACATAATTAACTAAGATAAAAACCAATAAGATGCTAACAAATCCATAGATAGGAGAAGTAGTACAAGTAATGTCCTAGTTGATTTTACTACATATTAATAATTTATAATAAACGATATGATCAAATAGTAGCAGATGTAGGAATAAATATATTCTAAAAAAAGATCGAATTCTTTAAATTTTCATGGTGTTTCCCCTATAACAAAAAAGTCAACATAAAGAAATTGTATATAAGATGATCAGCAAGTTGATTTGATCATTTCTTTAAATTGTATTTCACCTTAAGGTAAAAAAAATAAGCATAATACAAGTCCAAATAGAAGTTCAGATGAGAATCTTCACTGTGATAAGCAAACAATAGATTCTCACAATAATTAGCTTCAAGTAAATAAATTATAATTACTTTGATAAGGAAATTCTAAATTCTAAATTTAAATTTTATATTTATTTATTTTAAATTAATTTAAGCTAAAAATTTTTGAAATTTTCAATTAATATTTAACAAAAATTAATAAAATTTAGTTAAGTGAAAGGATTGACTAAAAAAAAGATAATCTGATTTGTATTTTTGATGAGTCTAAAAGATCTAACTCACCCTCAAAAAATGATTTTAAAAATCCTATAGAGTGTAAAAAGGAAATTAGTAATTTACTTCTAAGTAGTTAGAATTGCAGTGAGGCCGAAGTATTAGAAAAGAATAAGAGAATAACATTTGAAAATACTCAACCTTAGTATTTTATCCATTCCTTAAATGACATTTAAGAAAATATAATCTTCAACAATTTGGATGAAACTAACTAAGATTAAGTAGTTAATAAAAATTAATTTCTCAAATCTTATGTTTTTTCGCCAAGCATTAAACTCTAAAGTTTATATTTGAAGAGCTAAGAAACTGAAAAAAACTCTGATTTAGGCAAAATTTGAATTAAAATTTGTTAAATTTAATTATTATTTTAAATATTTATGTTTACTTTTTCCATTTAAATTTTATTTTTAGAAAATTTAATAAAATTAAAATAATTTTTACATAATAAATAAATAAAATAAATTGATTTTGCTTTTCTAAATTTTTTTATAAAAAGTTTAAGAATATCTTTTTTTTGGTTTAATTATGTAAAGCTTCTAATTTTTATAAGTTGACTAAAATTAATGTCTCGTTTTAAATGTTAAATTTTTTAATTAAAATTAAAATAATATTTTGTAAAATTAAATAATAATAATTTACAATTTTGCTATTTCAATTTATTCAAAAATTTTACAATATCATTTTTTTATTTTTTAACGTGATATTTTGTATAAATTTTGAGAATGTTGATTAAAATAAATATTTTGTTTTTAAGTGTTGATTCTAATTTTTAATGTGATATTTTGTATAAATTTTGAGAATGCAGATTAAAATAAATATTTTGTTTTAATTGCTGATTCAAATATATATATATATATGTAATGATATGAAAATAAAATAAATTTAATGGCAAAATTCAAAATTTTTATTTACTAAATTAAATATTACAATTAAAGTTTTTAAGAAAATAAATTATAAAATAGTTTATTTATTTATATCACTTAATGAGTGAGTGAAGAGGGAGGGCTTTCTGAAAATTTTTTTATTTTATACAGTTTATTTTAAATTTATTAATTGATTAATATTCAATAATGTGTTCCAATAGGTCTATTTTGTTAATAGGGCTGCAATTTCTTTTAGCTTTATTAGGTATTTAATCTATTTTATGTACTATTTGGTACAGAAGAGGCTATTCCATTATAAACATTGTTAGAAGTTGAAATATTTTTCTTTAATTAATTAATTTGTTTATAGCTAGAAGCCTTCTTAATAACTTAGTGGAGAGAGCTTGGTGATTAAACTTGAGATAAATATTATTGATGATAACCTAATTTCGATTAAGGAGAAAGATTTTATTAGAATAAATTAGGTTTTGTAAGTTTATTGCTCACAGTTGCTAGATTTGCTTAAGTAGCTCCTATTTGATATATGCTATTATTTTAGCTATACCCGTTATTAGTTATGTTTATTGTTGTGTTTGCTGTAGGGTTTTAATTTTAACCTTCTTTATTTATAAGAAGTCTTGAATTATCAGAATTATCTCTCACATTATTTTTTTTACTAGTTGAGTAAGAACTCACTGGCTTTGTGGTTTAAATTCTTGATTAGTTTGATTATTATTAGGTAAAGGTTTTCTTAGAAGCAATCAATGAAGGTTTAAATGTGCATTCGACTTTCTCTTTTTCATTCATTTCCTACTATAGCATTTATCTGTTTTGGTTCTTTAACTTAAGCCAGATATTATTTCTTTCAAATGAAGAATAATCCAACCAATTAAAATCTTTTTTATTAACTTATGAGGAGCTTTAAGGAGTGTGTTCATCATTCGAAGTATAAGCTCTATTATTATCTTTTCTATTGTTATTTACATTGGAGTTAGAAGCAGCGCTTATGTAGCTTTAATTTTATTGTGTTTGCATTTTATATGTGCTAGATGTGTTAATATTTTAGTTTGCTAGCCTGTAATTTCCTTGTTTATTGTTATTTTGTATTAAGTTATTTCCAGTTTTATTTGATATTCTAGACATATTGCAAGTATCAGTGCTTGTGTTTAACTTTATATTATTAGAACCTAATCTGCCTCTCAATTAATTTTACTAGTTCTAAGATTATGGTGACAAATGTACTATTGAAGAGTAAACTGATGATACCCCTTATTGCATGCGATGATTGTCTGGTGATTAAATATTACTAACTTAATACGATTCTAAATTGATTGCTTAATTACCTTAAATTTAATTCATTTTGAGAATTTAATTTACACTCACAACACTGGATTATACTTAATAAGGCTCTGTTTGTATGCTTTCTAGCTATGAAGGAATAATTTATTACTTTAGATTATTAGATTAGTTAGGTCCAAAAGTCATATGATTGCTGTTCATAATACCACTTTGAAGTTATGACTATTCAATATTGTGTATTTCAGAGTTTGCTTCTTCAAAATCATGGATAATTGGGATTTAACTCAAATTTTTAGAGTTTTTATCAATTTAATTTGTTTTCATAAATCCTTATTCTGTGTATTCATATACTTATGGAGATGGTTGATTTGGATTATATCCGAATTGCTGTTGATGTAATAAATCCTACTCCCTTAAATACTACTAGTGCTAAAGAGCTTCTTCATCTTCATATTAAAGAATTTATGATTATCTAACTTAGTCTTCATACACATGCTAGTTATAATAGTTTTATAAGTGTTAAGACTATTAATCTAATTGATTACCAACATATTAATTATTTGGAGCTTAATTATTATGTAAACTTTATTCAGAGCTTCCATAAACGAAGTATAAATCTTCTTGGCTTGCTATGCCACTTCCTATTTTTTAATTTACTTAACTCTAATTCTAGATTTATGAATTTTTTAGATTGGCATTTTATTATTATTGTTGACTAGTGTCTTTGGTAAAGATGATGCATTTTTAATTATTTATTGCGAAAGTGTATTTTTTTCTTTCTTCAAAGCTCTTTTTCAAGCTTTCTTAGCTAGTTCTCATTTTTCCATTTCTAGAAGCATTACTTAATTTCATTGGGTTTGTTACAGACATACTTTAAATAGATACATCAGTCTTTTTATCATCTTGGAAGCTCTATTCGAGTCCTCCATTAGCAATGTGGCTTTGGTTTTCTTAAGATTTTTAATTTTCTTAGCTATTTGTGGCAGATGTCTCTGTTTTTTTTAAGTTATCTTTGGTTTTGTTTTATTCATCTTCATTTTAAAAAGTCTTCTTTTTATTTCTAATTTCAGGCGAATATTGATTTTCATAGCTTATCCTGTAGTCTTAATAGCCCTTTTCAGAGCTATCAAAATCTTTCGGCACTTCTAATTTTTTAAAGTCCTTCTACTCCATCATTCTCCTTATTAATGATAAAGAGCTTTAGTTTTAGTAAGATGAGCCCTTTTTCTATAAAAGTTAACTATTTATATCTTTTTATTATTGTTGTTAATAGCCCATCTACTTGTATGTTTATTATTCATTAGCTTTTTTATCTGTGACAGTGGAGAAAGCTTATTATTTTTGCATATTTTTATTATTAAAATTTTATGCATTATTATGCACATTCTTTTCGGAAGATAATTGTTTTTATGAAGAGTTTCTTTAAGGCTATCTTTAATTACCTTCTGTATTTAGCTTTTAATTTGACTAACTAAAATTTATTTACCAAAATATAATTAGATTAAATTTAATATATAATTATTTTACGTATTTTCCTAAGTTTATTCATTTTCTTATTTATACTTCTCTAGTTTCAAGTAAATATGTTTAGGACTAGCTCCATTTGAGGAATGTTCATCAATTGTTTTTGTTCTTGCAGGTGATAACTCATTATTTGCTTCTATTTTTTATATTTCTGCACTAGCTCTTTTTTCTCTGTTTTATAACCCATTATCTTCATTTTTATTTTGGCTGATTTTTTGTTGATTTTATAACTGCTGCTACTTTAACAACTCTTACTATTCTTTCAGAATTGCTTCTTCATATTTTTTTAAAATTATTTATTTTTGTTTTTCTATCAGTTATTATTTCAATTCGTAATTTTAATCTTTTTATGGTTATACTTGAACATCCTATTAGTCTCTTGTATTGGATTATATTTATTAAATCTAGGATTAATTCTACTACAATTCTTTATTATTAATATTAATTTAATTTTGAATTTGCTAGTATAAGGGAATATATTAATTCATTTAATTTTAACTCTACCCTTGATGGATTTATTATTATTATAATTAGTTTTTCTAATTTGAACTTAAAATTGTATTTTAACCTGCTATTCTGTTTTATAGGACTTGTTTATGGATATTCATGTAATCTTTTGGTTTATGTTATTGCTTATCCTAAAATTAGTTTCTATCAGAATTATTTTTTTATTGATTTTTCTTTTCAATTATAGCGTGAGTTTCATTGTTTTCTAAATTCAGTTATTAATTCTAATTAGAGATAGCTTAGTGATGTGGAATTAGATCTTTTTCAATTTAGTTTTAATCTAATTATAATTACTATAAAGATGCAATCATTTCTTAGTTAGAATATTAAGAAAACTGCTAATTTTAAGAAGGGTTTTGCATGTTAGATTTAATTTATTAGATATTTTAAAGCTGTTTTTAGATATTTTGTTAAAAGTAATTATCAAACTGTACTGGATTAAATTCTTCTTTACTTGATGATTGATTCTACTTTTATTGCATTTAGTTTATCTACTACTACTATAATAGTTAATTCGCTCTTGGAGATACTTACTATTTTTGAATATTTTTTTACATAACAAAATTCAAATTTTGTTAAAGTGAGTCTAACATTTCTTACTTTCTTGGATCTTTTTAAGGGATGGATATTTATTAATTTTGATGAGTTTGATTGCTATTTAAATCTTGATCTTAACTTTAGAAAAACTCATTTTTTTCACTAGTCAATAAACTTTATTTAGCACTAACATTTCCCTAAATAGCATAATCTTTGATCTCAAAAGGTATATCTGCTTGCTTGTATTTGAATTATAAAATTAATATGAAATACTATTCAAAGTAAATATTTAAATATATACCCTTTAGGGAAGTGATGAACCCTCTGAAAATCTTTCATCTATTGCAGTGACAAGCTATTCAGTTTAAACTATTCTTTAGGAGCTTTCTTTAATAAGCCTTTAAATTTCATCAGAGTTAGTTTGTAAAGTTTATTTCAAACCTGATTAGTTTGTTACATTTGATGCATTATTGCTCTTTTTATTATTTACGTGATCTACTTATTCTGTATAATACTAATTCCTAACTTGTTAGTTTTGTTAGACTGTCTTTAGCTTCTACTTTTAACTACCGTTGGTATTCTATTATAATAAATCCATATTTATTTAAGAATATATGCTGTTAAATGGTTATCCTTAACTTTAGAGAATCTACTATTTTTAATTCAATGATTATTCTAAAATTTAAGAATTGAGCCTCTAGGAATAAATTAAATCTTCATCAAAATTCAATGCACTTGATTCATCTTTTTCAGGAGCTTCTGAAATGCTTTGAATAACTTGCAATTGCTGCTTATTAACATTCGAAGCCATGTTTCCTAAACCCTATTGCTAAAACTATTAGGTGTTATTAGGATAATTCTGAGGTAAACCATACATCGCTTAGACTAAAATATAATGAAATAATAGTAAATATGGTAAACTTTATAATTTAAAATTAAATTATTATTTGTTTTTAATATAAATCTTATAAAAAAGCTAAGCTTAGATAAATTTTACTAGCATTTTTATTGCTACTTCAAAAGTTAATAATAGATTTCAAATAAATTTTATAAATTTTAATTACACTGCTAAAATGTACTCTAACTATCTTAAGCACTATTCATGATGTAATTTGCTAATTAAAATAACCTAAAATAAGCAGATTGAAGAACTTTCAGTGACTATTTATTATAGAAAATCTAATATTAAAATGCGATACTACCTTTTCTTTTTGAATAATCTTAAAATTCAAGCAAAAAAATCAAATTTAATAAATGATTTATTAATTAATTGATTAACCTTATGTTTATAATAATTAATGTTTGTTAATAGAAAATATATATGTATACTTCTTTCTTTAAGAGAATTTAAAATTCAATATTCATTAACTTTTTGAAATAAGTAAAGTATCTTTACTAACAGCTTAAAATCTCAATATTTTCTAAGCTTATTGATATTAACAAACAATATATACTCTACAAAAAAACATACTCACAAATAGCTCTTAAATAACATAAATTTGAGAAGTAACTTCTGAATCAGAAATATTTATTAAGATAAAATAATAAATATATAAATTGTTTAAATGTAGTTAAATGGTAAACTAGATTATATATCTTAATAGCTTTCGATACCAAATGAGGAAAATATTAAGCCATTTTATCTATTAAAAGGTAATATTATTGATAAAAAGATACAATTCTGAACACTGTATAAAATTACATAAGATTTTTTATTATAAATATAATAAAAATAATGTAATTTTTAATTAATTTACATTTATTCAATATTTATAATAAAATTAGTTTTATTATGTAATTTATTCTTTATATTTTCTTGCTTAATTCAGCATTTTACACTCATCTTTTTTGGATTTCCTTATTAAAAAACTACATTTTTAATATTATTTAATTTCTAAATAATTGAATAAATCAAATTAAAATTAGAAATAAATATTTTAATTAAAATATTGTTTGCAAACTCCTCACTTTAGTCATTAAAATTATATTATGAAAATTATTAACTAAATTTATCAGTTTGTTTTAACAAATCTCTTAAACCATTTTTTATTGTAAATTTAATTTTAAAATTAAAAGAAAATTTTAAATAATTCAAACGTAATATTTAATTTATTAGCTATAATTGAAAAAGCAATAAATATCTTTAGAAAGAGTTTGTGTAAAATAAATGGATTAGTAAATATTAGTAAGTCAACAATTAATTTAGCCAAAAAATATCCTAAAAAATTTAATAGGATTTTCAAATAAATGGCTAAGTCTAATTTGGGGATGCCTACTACAGTACCTTATATATATTCATAGGGACTACGTAAACGAGATATGCTTAGATTTATACTTTTATACTAAAATGTAGAGTTATTTATACCTTTTGCAATACGTCTTGATGTTTGTTGAAACGGAGTCTTTGCTAAGCAAATTTAAAAAATAAATAACAAAGTTAAAATATACATTTTAAGTATTGAATTTCATTTTTTCCATTCATAATTTGTTATTTGCTTTCTAAGCAAATTAAGATATTTGTAGATCCCTTTCATCTGTAAATAGGATGCATGGAATAGTAATGGGAATATATATAATCTTTGGACTTCTTTTTGCATTAATGGCGTTTATTTAAATTCAAGAAGTTAAGGAAAAGTACAAGCAAGCTAAAAAATTATGAAAAAATATTTAAAAAGTTATTTATTTTTTATAATTTGCAGTAATCAATATTGCATTTTTTAAAATTTATATAGTCTTATGAATAATTATTTTTGAAATAATTTGTTAACATATTTCTCAAACATTACTTAAATATTAAATTTATTTATTTGATGCTTTATTGGTTTTAGCTGATTAGTACTCAAACTATATATTATTTATAAATACTAAACACTATTTTTAATTTAATTAAGCAAATTATTATATAAAAGCAATTAATTATTATAAAAAAAAATGATGAAAGAAAAAGTCTTAAATATTTTATAAGACAAGAAGTATAAGAATTCTAGTAGGTTAATATACACAATAGTTTTTGGATTAAGTAGTTTGCTAGTAGGCTATTAAGATTACAGAAGTAATAAATGCGCTAAATTTAGTGACTTCATTATTTTAAATGGAATTTTTTTGGTATTATTTATCCCAATTATAAGTCTTAAATTTTATAATACTGCCTAACTTACTAAACCAATAAGAGGAAGTAATACCTCGCAGAGTTTAATTGAGTAGAAATAAGCATATTCTAACAAAATTGTTACATTAGTGAATAAATATTCTTTTATAGCCTAATCAATTTTATAGATTTCTATGGTATTTGCTCTTTTATTAACTCTTTCAAACGAATGCTAATCTGGATTTCGATTTTCAATTATTTATACAGTATCTTTTTTTATAATAGTACTCCTAAATGCATTAATTTATTTTTTAAAAAGATGAATTAATATTGTAGTTAACAATCAAAATAATATAAAAAATAATTTATTGTATATAATTGTATTTTACATTTAAATATTTAATTCATATTTCTAACCTTTAAGCCAACATATAAAAAATACTTAAAATATAAATAGATTTAAATTGTCATAAGATAAAAGAAGTTAATTTAAATTAATATTTAAAAATTTGTAGAATAAAATATAAATTCTTACTAATTTTAGAAGTAATATCTTTAAAAAAATAATTTTTAAATCAATAATTTTGATGACTTGATTATTTTAAATGGAATTTTTTATTTATTCCTATCGTAGATCTTAAATTTTATAATGCTCCATAACTCACTCAACTAAATAGAGAAAGTAACACTTTAAAAAGTCTAATTCAAATGAGTTTTTGCATTAAATGATTAGTATTTTTTTATTGATATATTAAAGATATTGATATTATTCGATCTTTTTATAACTCTTTAAAATAAATACAAATCTAGATTTCAATTTTAATTAATAAGACAGACAGTATCTTTTTATATAATAAAGGTTCTAAATGCATTCATTCATTAATGGGTTTTGAATATTTCACTGATATTAAATCAGATTGTTAATTTATATTTTATCAATTAATCAAAATAGTAGAAAAAATAATTTATAATGCTTCTATTTGTATTTATAATTTTATTAATAAGGTTAAAAATGATAAATATTAATAAAATTAGATGAATATTTAGAATTAAAAATTAATAAGGTAATAATTGCTTAACTGAATAATGATAAACGTGTAGTCTAGAATACCACAATTTTTAGAAATAAAAATATTCATTTTTTAATAAAATACTTAAATATAATTTTAACAAAATTGCTTAAGTTAATAAATTACACTTTTGAAATTAAATTTATATTATCTTATTTTTTTTCGTTAGTAGGCTATAAAAGAACGATTATTACTTTTTATTAAAATAAATTTTTAATTTAATTATTGAAAGTAGATATAGCTAAAAAATATGTTTAAATTAAGAAAATAAGCGCTTAAGAGTACTAATCTTTCTTCTAAATTTACCTAGCAATTAGTATTTACATACTTAAGGAGTAATTTTAGAATGATAGAATGCGAAGAACTCCACGACATCTTGGTCGAAGGAAATAAACCAGGTTTTAAAATTTTACATCCCTACTTGTCTGATAATAGAGCAAACTATTTAAGAGAAGTAACAAATTTTTTAGTTCATGGGCACATTAAGGGTGCATTCTTTATTAACATGCATGATATATCTGATTTAACATCTTCTTATAAGATGATGGCTCCAACTAATGAGTAGTTTTCTATCTATATGTAGCACGCTGACATAGGAAAATTTGATAAATTAGTCATTTATGATGAAACTATTATGGTTTCAACTCGTTTACATTGGTAGCTTAATTCATTTGGGCATACTAATTTATACTATTTAAACGGTGGATTGAGGAGATGGAAGTACTTAGGGCTACCATTAGAAAAAGGTTTTACTTAGCATTCAACTAATATATCAGAGAGAGAAGCTAAAAATTTTGAATATATATTAGACAAGTCTAAAGTTATAGATTATAATGAAATGTGCAAAGTTAATAATGAATATTTGTAATAAAATGAATTTTAAATTTATGATTCAAGACGTGTCGTTTAATATAGCGAAGGTACTGAGCCTAATTGGATTCATATACCTGTGATGTAAGAGCTAATTTAAGAGGATGGTAGATTTAAAGATATAAATGATTTACAAAAAATCCACAAGTAATATAAAGTTGATTATGATAAAACAATAATTCACACATGTAGAAGAGGTCTGTAAGCAACAGTTGCTAACTTCGCTTGTGAATTAGTGTGTGCTGCAAATAAAAAAAATTATAATTCAAGAATTTATGATGGCTCTTGGGAGGAGTGGATGACTAAAAAGCAAGTACACTGATTTTTTATTGATGAATAAAAGTGTTAATTCAATTAAATGTAAGAAGATAATTTTGTTAGATATATTTTTAAATTCAACAAATTAATTTTGAAGTCAATAGACAAAAATCAATATTTTTTTTGTAATGAATAAAGATACTGGTTAATTGAAATTTATTAATTATAAAACTATTCTTTTGTATAATAGTACTCTTTATATAACATTGAATTTATAATATATTAATTCTAAAAAGATCTTATTGACTTTAAATAAAAAAAATATTTTTTATTCTATTTAAAAGTAGAAAATCTAAAAATAAATAAAAGTATCAAATAATAAATAAGCAAATAAATAAATAAAAATTTAATAAATTAATAAAATTGAGATTAATTTCTAATTTTATATTTTCATTTCTAACTTTTTCAAAAATAAATTAAAAAATTATAATAAATATTTACAACAACAACAAAAAAAAATATATAATTTTTATTATTTTGATAAACTCTTTCAAAATATTTTTTACTTTTTCAATTTATTTAAATTATGAAAGGCAAAAGAAAATTTTGAAAAAAGTATGCAATATGCAATGAATGATATTACTAATTAATTAAAATAAAATCCAAAAATATTCTAAATAATTTAAAATTAGCAAACAAAAAGTATTTTTTTTTTTCATGATAATATTACCAAATGAATTTTTAGAAAGAAGATTTTATTATTACTAGGATATTTTAAGTTAGTCAGCATTTTAGAACTATAAGATTAAAATTAAACTACAGGGTATTTATTATGTACTACTGCTAAATTTATTTTTGAATGAAGAGAATTTTTTTATTTTATCTTACATTTTCAAGAAAGAAGACAAACAAATTTATATTAACTTTGAGAGATTTAAAGTTAATTGTGCTAAATTTAAAATTAAAATAACCTATTTTACTTTGTGAAATGTTAAATTTTTTAATTTAAATTGGTATTTTTCTTTAATAATTCATAATTGTAAATTATTAATTTACTATTTAGTATGATTTTTGAATACTGACAAAAATTCATCAAATTTGAAATAAATTCCCTTAAAATAACAAAAGGTTCGTAGCAATTTGTTTGATTTTGTGTAGAATATTTTAATATTCTCTCTATAATTAAATCATTTTGATGTAAATATTTTTCAAGGATTGGATGAATTTAGAAATAGTGTGATATTACTGCACACTATTAAAATAAAAAATCTGATTTTTAATGCTTTTCACTTATCTTTAATATTTTTTTGTTTTTGATTGCAATAGTCTCTCATTTAAAGAAAAAAGCTCTCACGAATAATTTTATAAATATTCAACAACACATATTTAATTTTGTATGTATTATTCTTAACAACAAAAAAAGTAGCGATTCTGTTATTTATCTAAACTCTTATGCATATAATTATTAGTAAATGTACACTATACCACTAGGAAATACTTTTGATAATTAATTGCGGTGATACGTCGTAATTTAATAATACTTACTCTCTTTAAAAGATATTTGTTAAAACAAGTAACAAATATACAAATTTAGTAATTTTGTGAATGGATACAAATACTAATTTATTTACTACTAATATATAAAACAAAATAGAAAAATAAATAAGATTACAAATATTGATATACTAGAAGTGTTTTCTGACTTCTTGCGTTAGGAATGCGTTAAAATAGTAAAGCTATCTGGTAGAACTGTTCTAAATTATAGTTTTGATTAAATATGAATGAACGAGCGTATCCTATTATTTTTTATATTTGCTAATCTGAAAGACCCTTACCTTAATCAAATTTAAAGTACTACAAAGTGATTTATAAATTTGAATTAAAATTTTTATAAAGACACTAACTAACTAACACATTATCTCATATTTATTTTTGTAAGTCACTTAATCTTCATTTTTATGTTTACTTTTTAATTAATATTGCATAATTGAAAATTTTATTTATTCTTTCATTATTTTGTTTGTGTCATATGATTTTATTTAACTTTTTACTTTTAATATATTATATTTTATTCTTTGTTTGCTAAATATAAGCTAACATTTTATTTTTTCTCACAAAGATATCTTTCAAATATTAATATAGGTATATATAATATTTCTATTTTAAATATCATCAATAGAATCAATGATTTTTATTTTTGTCTTTTTATCATATAAGAAATATTATTCAGTTTTTATTTACAAAAAAAAATCAATACTTTTAAATTTGGTTAGGTTTTAACCAAAAAACATTACTTTTTTATTATTGTGCCATTAATAATTTTAGATATTATTTTATTGAAAAAACTATTAAAATAAAATTGTTTTGTAAAAAAGCTATTTATTATGTAGTGAGTAGTATTTGTCGTTTTGATTTAAGATTATCTTGATGTATCTTCCCAAAAAAGTGTAAGGACTATACTATATTAGGTTTGAAAGCGAAATTAGATGATAGTGCTTTGTTTTGTGTGTATAGGGTAAGCTTAGATTTTTTAAGATTATTTCAATTTACTTTAATATTTGTAAAGTTATTAATAAGGGAAAGTGAGCATTAAAAAAATTAAATAAAATTTGAAAGAAATTTGTTACATTTTTAAAGTAAATGTATTTTTCCTTATTCAATTTAGAAATTAAATTATTATTTTTACTTTTGTTATAAAGATATTTCTTTTATAAAATTTACTATAGGGCTGGCTTGAAAATATAATTATTCAATTTTTATGGTAATTTGATTATAATAGTGGTTTAAATTTGTACTTATTTTATGGCTAGAAAGATATTTCTATACATTATAGTGGAAAAATATTGAAAGAGTTACTTTAATCTTTATTTTGAAAAAAAGATATACTATTATTTTTATTTTGGTATCCACCGATACTATTCATATTTCTTTATTTTCTCTCCATAAAATTTTTTAATCTCATATATAGACCTTCTCAATTTTATTTAAATAAATAATTATAATACTTACTACTTTCTCAAAAAATTTAAGTCCTAAGAATATTATTCTAGTTAATTATTAATTATGTTACAAATGTGAATGTGAATTTCAAAAACACCTAAAAAAAATAAACTATTTACTCATCATTTATAAAAAATTTTAATTATCGAAATATTAAAGCAGATAATTTTTTATTGTTTTACGTTATCCACTACAATTATTATTCTTTGAACGAAAATTCTTAAATCTAGTGTACCAAAATTTTTTAAAATATAAAGATTTTTCTTAATAAAAACTTGTAATCCAAAAAAAAAAAATTTCATTTTTATTTTACTAATAATTTTTGTAAATTAATAGTTTTTTCAACATATTTACTTTTTATACTCTCTAAATTCACAATAAAGAGTATTAAACTGGGCTTATTTTTTGCATATAAAATGAAAATTTATTGGTTAATTTTTGTTCAATTCGCTTAATAAATGAATTATTTTCATAAATTGGACTTTTTTAACAAGATACTTAGTTACAACTTTTAATTTTAGTATTTTCTGCATATTTTAGCTTAACAAATTATTTATTTTAATAGAAACCTCAATTTTTGTTTACCTGGTAGGGAGGTATGTGAATGAGTGCTAGTTTGTGGGTTATCAAATATAAATATTTAGTGTAAAGATATCTCATATAGTTATGTTTATTTTCTGATATATTAAATAATATAAAAAAGCGAATTTGATAAGTAGTAATATGAAAAAATATTAATGGATATTATAAAATTTATATATCAGTTCATATTCGAGTGTATAATTTTTTAATGGTTTAAAAAATTAATAAAAATTGATTGGAGAAAAGGTAAATTTAATAAATATCAAATTTAATTGTAAATAAAGAGGATCAATAAAATTTTGATTATATCTATTTGAAAACAAAGTAATATTTATAGATAATTTATTTCTTAATTACAATTTAAGAATTATAATACTTTTTCTTATTATTTTGTATGTCTGTCTTATGTAGGATTTTTATTTAAAGCTAAATTGTTAAATATTAATAAATTAATTTGATTGGTTTTTTCATTTCTTTTATTTATTTAATTTCTAAACAAATTTTAAGTTACTCATCTTGAAGGCAACAAATGAATTATTTGCTTTTAGCTCAGTAAAGTTTTTCAAAGAATATTTTAAATTACATATATTTGATAAAATTCACTGATCAATTGAAAAAAATTTATCTAGATATAGGCAATTAATTTTTCCTTATTAAAAAATAATAATAGCCATAAAAATTATCTTACCTTACTTTATTTTAAATTCTTATATTTTTTCTCTTTGTTTTGAGCAAGCTAATTGTTTGTTCAAAACTATCTTTTTGTAAAAATATACATATTCTATTAAAATTTTTAATTTTTTAAAGCCAATATTGTTTTTATGTCAATAAAAAGCTGAACAGAGGAAATTTTGGAATTAAATATTGTTTTTTTATATTAATTTAAAATAGATTTTATATCATTTATTTTCTTAAAATATCATAGATAATTTGATAAAATAATAGATAGATATATATATAAATAAATACTAATTAATTGGTTTTTCAAATTAGCTCTTCTAAAAATTAATTTATTTAGAAGCTAAATAAATGTAATTTAAAACTTTAGTATTGAGTATGATGATAATTATATTAGTAACATGCGTTTTTCAAAGTTTATAAAAGCTAAATACTCTTCTAGTGATTTTAAATATTGTATCATATCAGCAAAAAATAAAATATCTTTTCTTAACAAACAAACAAGTGTAACTTTAATCAAAATTTAAGTTTTCAAAATCAAAAATTTACAAATAACTACTTTTGTAAATAAATCATGGATAATAGTTCTAAATGGATATTTTTACATGCTTTACATCTGAATTAAATAAATTTTAGCTTAATGCGTGTTCTTCTAGATATAAATCTCTCGATTTTCGTAATATAAATTAGCTGTAATTAAATAAATAAATATAGTAATATTAATAGCAAGTTAGGTATCGATTTGCATGATTATTTACTAAATTTTTAACTCAGTAAAAATGTATTGAAAATAAGCTTTAAATTATCTCGACAATTAGGTAGGCAAATAAAAAAATATGGACAAATGTTTAAATAAATAGTATTTGTATGACAGTAGATAAATTAACAATTGAGCAAGCATAAGTGTAAATAGGTATTTAAATCAAATTTCAATCTAAATAGTATAATTATAATATTTTTAGAACAAGATATAAAAAGGATACAAATTATTCTATCTAATATGTAATAGAAACAAAAAAATTTGTGATTAATTTTGAAAATAGAAAATAAGCAATAATCTGATGTTCATTTTGCCAGGAATTTGCTTACCTAATAACAAATTCTATTAAATTGTATTAATAAACTAGTTTTACATTTTTAAATTTTATAGATTATTAATAGACATTATTTATGCATATATAATTATTTATATAGTTTATCATTTATAAGAAAATCCATGATAAGATCCATCTGTATTTTAACGCTATTCTTAATCTAATTCATTCGATTCTTATATTGATTACATTTTTTGAGCATAGCTATGAAGATATGACTACATTTAAATTTCAGCACTTGCTACAGCAAATCCACACTTTGCTTCTTGCAATTTGTCTAATTCTTATTTTTGCTCAGCCAACTAAAGAGCACGTAAGAAACTTTATTTACCTTACTCGAAATTTCCTATCATTGATGTAACTTATCCCATTTTTAATTAAGCCTTTAGTTCACCATTTTCATCTTTCATATCTTATGTGAGTTTTATATATTTGTCAATAAAAACAGTCATTTTCTCCTTATTATCCAACAATCCTGGCATGCCTATTCTTCCAATATTACCAATAGCTATAGTTTAACTTGCTAAATTCGACATTTTAACACTGTGACGTAAAGCTTGCTAATAATATGAAAGAGCTTGTTTTCTAAGATTTATTGCATCATAACACAATCCCAAATTAATACAAGCTAAAAATTTCCCATTCACATCTGCTATATTTTCATGTTATTTATGATATTGTATAGCTTTTTCATAAAATTAGTTATCCTTTTCCTATTATCCAATCATTTGGTAGTCTACTCCTAAACAGTTGTAGGCTAGAGCTTCTCCATGCTGATCTCCAATATTTTGGCAGATTTATAAGAATTTTTCATAGCTTTTTATTGCAACTTTATATTTACCAATATTATCATTTAATACGCCAATACTATAGTACGATCTTCCTTCATCTCTAGGTTTTCCAGCTCGTTTACAAGCAAAAGCTAGCATTTCATAGTCTTTTCTTCTCCTCAAGGATCTTAAGTAAATATGCTTTTCAGCGATTGTTTATTTTTACACTTCTTCAGACTGTAATAAAAAAATATCATTCAAGTTTAATTTGTTAGAAATGTTGATGAAGTCGTCATATATTGGATCAACGAATATTAGTTAGGGTTTTCAAGTAATTAAATACGACTCATCTTAGTTTTGTTTTTTCTGTAAGGAAAGAAAATTAAAATTTTATAATCAAATTATGTATAAAATAAGCTTAAATTACTCTTATTTCAATTGAATTTAGTTGGTAAAAAAAAATTTGCAATTGATTAAAACCTTTGTAAAATAGTGAATGTTATTACAATCCATCCATAGATTTTTAATAAAAATTTATATGAATTAAATTCGTGGTTTTAGCACTACTAAGATAGTAAATTCAAAAACCCCTAATTTGCTTCAGATAAAATATCAATCAACCATTTCGTTAATAACACTAAACATATCAATTTAATTATGAAAATCTAAAACTCATATATTCATCTTATATGTATGAGCGGAATGTAACACTAGACTATTAAGCCGAAATCTCACAAAATAATTATTTACCATGTATTTAAAATCTTCTAAAAATATTAATTTGTAAACTAAATTTTATCGCAACTTTTATGAAATGAAAACCTAACTAAAAAATATTTATAAAAAATTAATTACCTCAATAGGATTTTTAGCAAATGAGCTCTGATCCATATTAAACTGACTAAATTAATTAAAACTATAATTTAATTTTGTTATTCCCATTTATTAGCTTTCTGGTATATTTCCAATTGTGTTATAATTCTTTTAGATTAAAGATCTGCTTTTTATTTTCGTATTTAGTTGATTATCGTTGAAGCGTATAGGTGTATTAAAGAACAATGGTAACTCTATACGCTAAGGTTTGTTTGTTTGCAAATATTCTTCATTAATCCTATTTTTAGGGTTAAGCTTGTTGAAATTTTTAACAAGGTTTTCCTCTGCTAAAGATGAAGTTGGTTAAAAAGAAGTCTTAATTGGTTCTTTCTTCTTTCTTTAACCTCCTTGGCTTTAATCCATAAAAGAACCATTTTATCCTGATTTATTTGCATAATTAGTGCTGTTAAGTCTGCTATTATTATGGCTGTTTTCAAAGTTGTTCATATAATACTCATTATTCGAGGAGTAATTCTTTATGTTTTGATTCAAATTATTTCCAAAATTATCTTTCTAATTGTAATTATTTAAAGAAATGTTGTTGGGATTATTCACATTAAATGAATCTCCATTTTTAAAATATGAATTTCTATCTTATGAAATAGCTCTTCTCTCTCTGAAAGAGTTGTTTCCTATCATCTTAGCTTTATTTTATAAATTACTATCTTATGTTATAATCTTTAGAATAAGTGTATTGAATTGAGTTCTCTTTAATTAATTGAATGATTAATATATTTTTCAGATAATTGTATACTGCGCTATACGAAAAATAATAATTAAGTGGTTAGCAATCATTCATCATTCATTTAATATATATATTTTTTTAAACATATTTATCAAATTCTTCTAACACCAAATCCATCGTTCGTTAAAATTATATATTTATCATAACATTCATTCATTCATTCATTCATTTTAACTTTATAATTTTATTTAATTATTTTTTCATTCAAAAATAAAACATAACAATTTAGTAAATAAACAAATCAATAATATTATTTTATTCAATTATAAAATTTTGTCTGTTACTTAGAATTTTTGAGATTAAAAAATAAAAAAAAATATTTATTATCTTAACAAATTTAGTTAGTGAAATATCTTTTAAAACTCATATATTAATAATTCGTTAATTTATTAGCTTTAACATATCATTTGTAAAATTATAAATTATCTTTATTTTGTTAATTATTAATTTATGTTAACATTTTTAAAAATAATATTCTCAAATCAATAATAAATATGAAATAAGGAAAAAAGAAATGATATGAATATTTTTATTAGTATTTTAATGAAAGTATAACTTCATATTCATTCCAATAGTAGTTTTTATTAAGGATAAAGTAATAATAAATGACGATTACTAATTACTATGATTTAATTTGAAGAAGAGTAAAGGGAAGTAGAATGAATTATTAAATATAATGTTTTTTGAGAATATATAACAAAGATAAATGTTCTATTATGAAAAATATAAAAATAATAAAATAAATTACTCTAATGAAATATATTAAATTTTCATAACATATAATTCATTCTCAAATTTATTTTTATAAAGTATATTCTGAAATATTTATTTTTCACCAGTTTGTTTATAAAAAAATAATTTTAAAATCGAATATTTTTTTAATAAAAATAGGTTTTATTATAAAAATCCAAAAACAATATAAAACACTTAATTAATAGATATGAAAAATAGAAGGATATCTCCAAATTTATTTTCTATATTATATAATAATAAATTTTAAATTTTTTATTCATTTAAATTTGCATATCTTTTTTGCAAAAAAAAAAAAATTTAAATTAATTTTATTTGTCTAATCTTAATACAAGATGATGAAAGATATCTTAGATCATATTTAAATATAAGCACAGTATGGCTTGTAGTTATATGATTCAAAATATTGAGTTGTTAATTATATTTAATTAAAAAAATTGTTCTATAAAATTTGGACGGTATTAAATGTAAAGGTTATATTAAAAATAATAAAATTCTTATTTTTTTTTGGTAATACTTTAAAATCAAACTATGACCTAATGCTTGTTTTTATATTTTTAATGCATTTTTAAAAAATAATTCTTAGTTAAAATTTAGCAAACAAATTCAATTTATTTTATAAAATTGATTTGCCATCTTGGATTAATAAAAGAAAAATTTTTATAACCAATAGTTTTTTGGATTTAGCTCTTTTTTTTAATGCTAAATAGCAGAATAGTAGCACATATATTTATTAAAATTTTATCTTATTCAATCTTTCTTTCAATTTAACTCTGTAACCTAATTTTCATTACGCAATATTGTAAAAATAATACATAAAAGTAGAATATTTTAATTTGAATAACGAAGTCAAGTAGAAGGTTAATCTTAGTAAAAGATAAATTTAATATTCTTCTTACTATGACTTTTCTAAATACGGACATTGCTATTAAGAATATTGAATATGCTAAAGTTTTCCTTAATCTTATATTGATTTATTCAGTCTATCAAATAAATCTGCATGCGTTATGCTCAAATTGTTTCCAATCAATAATATATTTTTCTAACTTTGAAGAGCTAATTCAAATGATGAGAATGAATAATTAATTTTATGCAAGTAACTCCTAATTATATTTCAACTCATATTTTATTTGTTAATTAAAGAAAATATTTATAAACGGAAGTACTATAGAGTAGGTTAAAAGTATAATATCCACTATAATTAAAATTTAAGTATTTTTTACCTAATTGATAGAAAGATGAAAAAGTAAAAATAAAGGTTTTTGAAAAATATTCATTTAATGTAACTCTCTTTCAAATAATATTTGAAATTATTTGCATAAACTGAAATTTTAATTTAATAAAAAAATATCTTTTCTATTAGAAATATTAAATAATTAGATTTTTTTATTATTTGTTACTCTAATTACTAGGTTTTTTTTAACAAATTTCCTTTAAATGATTTAGAATCTAATTTTTACCCCCTTTGTTATTTTCTTCTTTTTCCCCTTTTCTTATTTATTTCTTATGCTAAAAAGCAACAAATTCTATACTAGCACTGTATTCAAGTATTTTAATTTATCTTTTATTTTTAGCTTCTTTTAGATCGGCTTTTCTAAGAATATCTTAAATATTTCAAAAATTTATGTGAGCTAGAAAAAAATAAATCAAGTATGAATCATATACAGATAATAATGAGTAAAATTTAAAGTAGACTTTGTAAAAATCCGAATCTATAAATGCCACTATTTGTAATCGAAATGTGAGAATAATTGGCTTTCAAAATTTACTTTCTAAAGTAATTAAAAAAGAGGGATCCTCAATCTAATTTTGCGGAGAATAGATAAAATAAAAAGGGAATAGGTTTTATTTCAATTTCTTTATGAATAGCAATGAAAATATAGTAACTCAATAGAATTTAAAAATTTTTTTTTAGTATTTTTGTGCAAGTAAAGCATGCCTAACAAATATATAATGTACAATCGAAATTGAAATTTTTGATATTTAAAAATGAAGTTTATAATATAAGTCTATTTTAATGAAGTGGTTTTTTTCTTTTTAATTTTGGATTTTTTAAAGTTACAGTAAATGAAAAAGCTTGGTTTCTACTTATGCATGAACGAATAAGAATTAATTAAAAAAAAGAAATGTAATGTAATAATATAATTGTTATTGTCATCCCCTATTCAATAGCATTTTAATAGCCAATCTTAATCTTATAACTATTAATGAATGTTCAATTGTTTCTAATTATTTAAAAAATCTGATCAATCTTTTCTATTTTATTGAATAAGGTTATAGAAATAAATTATCTTTTATATCTTTTATGATAAAAATAATTTGAAATAACTGAAAAAGATATTTTTATGCAAAAATTTTTTACAGATAAATCCGTTCGTTCTAAATTATTTTCTAATTTTTAAAAACCTTCGCTTAAAATTTTTTTGAGAAATAGCCAAATCAAAATTTTAAAAATAATCTTTTATATATTATTGGATAGGAAAAATCTTTCTAATTTATTAGAATAATTAATATAAAAAACTAACTATTGATTTTTTAAATAAAATCATTCACTTTGTTAGTAAAAACAAACTTAATTGTAAACAAAAATTTAGATATAAATTATAAATTTTTGATGAGCTTGTCTATAATAATTGCTATTTTGCCTTAAAAAATTACAATTATTAATATTACCTTCATCTATTTTAGGTGGATTAATTGTTTTTACAGACAAAAATAACAAGTGTTTGTAATAAAAAGATATCCTTGGTTTTCGTTGAAAATATGTTTAATAATAATAATTCTCATTTTGATGCAACAAATAAATAATATAAATCAAATGTAAAAATCAAAAAAAATTATAAAAATTAATTCTTTTTTTAAAAATGCTACTAAATTTTTCATATTTTATTTAAATTTTGATTCGAAGTGTATTGATTTTAAAAATTAAGGAATTTGTATGAGTATATTTGGTTAGTTAGTAGGTTATATACTCATTCAATCCTAAGCTTGCATGAATTATTTTTAAATTAAATAATTTGTTTTTCATAATAATTTCTCCAGTTATTTAATTTTCTGCACAAATATAGACTATTACATTTAAAATTTTTAAAGTCCAGTAATTTAATGAGCTCCTTTTTTTACTTTTTTGTAACGCTTGAAACTCTATCCAAAACATAATTATAGATAAATTTTTATATATTTTTAATTATTGTGACATCTTAGTGTAAATCGCAGAGTATTGAGCATATCTTACTATTACAAAATAATGCTTACTAATATTAGATGACGATCTCATTCGCAAGCAATATTGAAAGAAAATTCAATTGTTTTTATTTAATTAAGAATGCTTGTTTTTACACACTTTTTAATTTTCTATTTTGTTATTCTCTTTAAAAAAAATAAAATTTTCAAATCAGTTTTTTAAAAATGGAAAATTTTTCTCTTTTCTACCATTAAAAGAATCAGAGAAAAGCATAATAGGAACAACTTTAAATTCTATAAGTGTATTTAGTGTATTTTTAAACTAGAAGTGATAGATTTTACATAAAACAAGACTAATATGTTAATAGGATTATTGACTTTTTTTAAACCTGAATTAAATAAATTGTCAGGTTAAAAGAAACAAAAGAATATTAACAATTAGCTAGGTTGAGAAAATTTAATTTATTTAGGAAAAAAGTAGAAGAAGAAAAATTTCGAAATTTAACTAGGATAGAAAAAAAAAAAATCAAACTAATAAGAAGAAAATTCAATTTTTATTTTATATTTTCTTAAATTTAAATATTTTCAGTAAAATTGAATAATCGTCACCTCATTGATGATAATTTGAAAATTTTGTTCATTGCTAAATAAATAAATATTCTGATAAACAGTTGATTTCAAAGTTAAATAAAAATAATTTTTTTTGTATTCAATTATAGAACAATAAATTATTAATTTATTTATTAATTATGAAAGTTAGAAGTTTAAAACAAATTAAAATATGAATAAATAGTTAATTTAGATTATAAAAACTCTTAAATGTATATATAACTCTTAATTTATAATATATATATATATATAAATATATTTATTTTTTACTAATTTCTTGTTTATATCAAACAATTTGGTTACTACAGTTGAAAGTTAAATTGTAATTCTAAGTAGAGTGAGCGGTATTGCACAACTTGTAAGCTAAATAGTTTCTTGGTTCGCTTGCTTTTTAAAATTTATTTGGTTAAGATTAAATTTTTGATAGTATTTTTAATTTTTAAGCAAGACTATTTTAATTTGGTGAAAAAGACAATTATTCTTATGACTCTAGTCTTTTTTCTTTTCTAAAAGCTTTAGCTAGTATTTTTGTTGCATATTTTTTCCTCTACTCAATTCCTTACGTATGTGATTAGTTATTAAAGGTGTTTAGTAAAATTTTAGTAAATCTTGTAGAATGAAAGCAAATTGAAAAAAGGAATAATTTAAGTTAGGATAGTGATTGTTATTTTTTTAGCGTTTATCATAAGCGCTGCCTATGCTAATGCTTACTTGATTTAGTTTATACACAGTTTAAATATATTATAATAATTGTTTGGGTTTTTATATTTGTTTGTTTATTTATTTATTCGTTTCATGAGTCCTAGAATCAAGAAAATAAGAAAAAATAATTAGAATAGATTGTTTTTATTGGTTATTATTAAATTGAGTCTTTATTTTAGTATTGAGAATGTGGGTATTTAGAAACTAATTATAAGTCTAGATGTTTTTTTCCTAATTACTTAGTTAGTTAAAAGTCAATTCTAAAACTTTATTAATTTATTTCAATTTTAAGTACTTGAAATTTTTGAATTTTCGCACATAGAACTGTATTCTTCATCTTGATAATTCATAGAAGAAGAGCGATTATTAGCAGAAAATTTAATCATTTCTGTTTAGCCTCTTTTAATCAAGCAGAAAACTTATTGTTTCTTTTAAATGCGCTTGACAATTTGCTACATAGTTTGAGTTGTGTGGATTTAACGATTCTTTAATAGCAACTATTCAATTTGATTCAAGATTTCATTTTTAGAGATGGCTGGGTTTAGATCGAGGTTTTAAAGTTTCATTTTGCTGTTCATAAAGTCGAGACGTAGGTTTTTCTTAGCATTGAATGCTTCTTAGTTATCTCCTATAAGTTCTTTGATTTTTTCAGTGTCTTTCTTAGAAATGAAACGTCCCTTAATACGGAGACGAGAATCAGCGACTTTCTTTCTGCAGTCGTAAGAAATCTTGCGCAACCAGTTTCTTCTTTTGTTCTTATATTTTTCAATTTTAATTAAACGCTCTTGACGTTTTCTTTAAATTTCGAATTATTCATCGTTATTTTATTAATTTATCAAGATATTGATGTCTAGGTTTTAATTATTTCCATCACTATTTTAAGACTATTTAATTTATTGCTAATTTGATGAAAATACACCGTTATCGAAGTTTTATTGGTTTAAAGTTTTAGTGATAGAATTAGAATCCATTTGATTCATTTCACTTGATTGTTGATTTTTACTTTATACTGAGTTCATAGCATCTTACTGCTCACTCTATTATTGAAAATTGTTTTTCAAATTTATTGGTTGTGTGTTTAACTAATTTAATTGGGGAGTACAAATACTGTCATCTTCTTTCTTTAATTAGGGAGATATTTATGCAATAAGTTGTGGAGAAGCACTTGCTATAGAAGGAATGAAGCTTAAAGTCCTGGATTCATAGTTGTTGTCATTGCCTTTGGGAGATTAGGATTAATTTAACAAAGCAGTCTTTTGCTTTGACTAAAGTTAATTTTACACTTCATTTAAATATGATGATTATGCAACTTGTGTTGTACCATTTTTGTTTTACTAGAGGAGGAGTTCAAGGAGCAAGTTATTAGTGTTTGGTTACTATTATTAAACGAATTAGTTTTAGATGCTCAAATCATTCAATCCAAATACTTAAGACAATGGATTTTGGGTTGATTGTTAAGATTGTTACTCTAGTTTGATTAGTTCAGTAATTAAAGCAAGCTTATATTACTCACGTTATTGATCTTATTGCTATTGTTGCTATTTTATCAACTATATTTATTGCAAATACTCGAGCTGCATTAAAGCAGATTGATTCATTTGGCTCATACCACCTTGAGTAGGATTTTGTTAGAGTGAAGAATTTTAATTGAGAGCAAAATTATTTGAATTCATACAATTGTTCATGTTACTACCAAAAGGTTCCATAGAAGTTGAAAATTATGATGTTGCGACAGAGTTAGGGGTTTGTTGATTTTAAGATTGAGCTTGAAGGATATTAGGAAAGAGTGAAGCTGCGAGGCTGATGTCATACAAGGGATTTAAAGTATTTGAAGCTGCAGAAGAAGTTAAAGAAGCAAGAAGTGGTGCTTGCTAGTTATTGAGGTATTATATATTTTCAAAAAGACTCATTTTTTATTTATTTATTTGTATTATGATTAGATACTTAGAGTTTTTGATTTTATTACTATGAGAAGAGTTTAATAATTCAGAAGGTATTTTAATGTTTCAGTGGCTTTAGATGAATTATTTGTTTTACTAGTATTTTTGAAATTTGTAAGAATTGATTGTTAATAAATTAGATTGATTTATTAATTTATGGTTTAAGTATTTAATTAACTTTTTTTTGTTTGTTTGTTTGTTTTTTATTTGCTTGTTAGCTGGTTTTTCTTACCTTTTTTCGAGGTAATATTAATTTTTTCTTTTAATTAATTTTCTTTTTTTTATAATAATTATTATTATTTTCCAAAGGATTGATTTCTCTATTTAATAATAATTTTTGAGATTGGTCTATATTGCTATCAATTTAAATATAACATTAAAAAGAAGGAAAATTAGAGGCCAAGAGAATTAATTAGCTGTAAATCAAAATAATTTGCCTATAAAAGTCTGATTTGATCATAACCTTCTAAAAAAATATTACTAAAATTTTGATTTGAAGATTGGTTTACCACCTTCTTTCTTAAAAATAAATAAATTTCTTATTTTAACCTATATTACATTTTTACCTTATTGAAACATTAGAACTCTAAAATTTAAATAAATTTTTAAGTTTATTGCAACAGTGCTAATAAGAAAATTGAAATTTACCCTTATTTATCACTTTGGAAACTATAACTAACTATGTTTTGCTGTTTTGGGGTTAAATTCAGTACAATTAAATTTTATTATAAATTTCTGAAATCATACTCATTACTATAATATCAATCAATTATATTCAGTTTCAGCTTATTCAAAATTTATTTTCGTAGTGCATGTGCTTCATGAAAAATGAAGGCAAGTTAAATCTAAATATTTTTTTATTAATTTTCCCTTTTTTTATAAAAGAGTAAGTTGGTTTCTAAGATAAATGAAAGTCTTTAGTAATTTAAGTTTAGCTAAAACAAATACAGCCCAAATTTGAAAAGCGCTATTATTCCTTAAATGAAAATTTTATGAATAAGTTATACTTGCAGTCCGAATACAATAATTATACAAATAGAGTTATTTTGATCGGGTAAGTACTTTCTTAATTTTCTAATTTATCAACTCAGTGGGGAAATAGATAAACTAGTAAATATCAGAAAAATTAAAGAAGAAAAAATTTTGATTATTTATATTTACTAGCAAAGGAAAAATGATTGGTATTTTTCCCCTTTAATTTACTTTTGAAGCGAACCCCTTAAGATACTGAAACAAAAAAAATTCATTTAAAAATAATTGCTTACTTAAAATAGCTGGCTAGTAATTTGCTTTTGCATAACCTACCATTAATAAATATGATTGCGGATATCATTTATTTATTCTAATTGTAAGAATTTTGCTCGATAAAAATTTAATAAACATTGCATAAACAATTCTATAGCTAGTTTAACTATTATTTTATTAAAATATTAATTTGTTGGCCCATTTTTTTGAATAGAAGTAAGATTTTATAGTTACCCTCCAATACTTTCTAAAATTAATGCTAAATGAAGATATTCTGCTTATTTTAAATACAAATTAAATAGATTATTTGTGTGTCGCACACTTATTTGCTATTTATTTTTAAACTAAAGGTCCATAAAAGAATAATCATTACAGTAAATTGTTCAGGTTTTTACAAATTTTCTCTGAAGCAGTTATTTAATAATTATCTTTATGTGAAAATTTACAAGCTGTTTTTTATTTCTGCTCTGATTGGAGTAAGATATTTATATCTATTTATTTATGAAATTAAGCTCTTTGATTTATAATAAGTTATGAGCCAGTATAAACATTTAAATATAAGTTATACTGAAATAATAATATCACCTTAAAGCTGAGATAGCTAAAATTAAAAATTTCAGAAATTAATTATTCTTTATAAATTAATTCCGAAAAGGATTATTTCCAATAATAAAAGAAATATCTAAATAGGTTGTCTAAAACTTGCTTCCTATAGGATTTTTATTTAGATTTTTTGCTTTGCTCAGTATTATACTTAAGATTAATATATTCAGAAAGATAATTTATCTTAGTGAATGCTCCTCAATTCCTACCAAATTTTTTTGATTACTAAGTTGAATAAAATACTTATTAAAAGATTAAGATCAATATAATCTAATATACAAAAGCTACATGTCTTACTAATTTAATTTAATTTGACTTTCTATTCAAAAAAAGGTCAGTAAACAAGCACATCTTGCTTAATTATTTAATTATGATTTTTACAATATTATCATAAATAACCTTTAGATATAATACAAATTAAACCAATAAAAGCAAAAAAAAGGTTATAAAAATTTACTTTCTATCACTTTGATTTATAAAAATAATAATTTTTATTTTACATAATCTGAGAACATCTCATTTTTGATGAAAGATAACTATTTATAAATCAAATTATTTGAGATGAATAAAAAATAAACCTAAAAATTGTCTTGTATAAAATATTTTTTTTTATTTGAAAGGTTTTTGTTATTTTTGTAAAAATATTAGAAACATTCTAATAAGTATAAAAATGGTTAATAATTTAATGATTAATTAATATAGAATTCTCATTAAGAATAGTGGGGAAATAATTAAAAAATTCACTAAATTAGTAATAGAAATCGTCTATTCGAAACAAGTGAGTATATTTATTAGAGTTATTAGTTACGGAAAAGTAATTATATATGGTAAAAAAGACCAAATTATTTTAAGGAGGCTAAGCTTCTCAAAATATTAATTGGCTATTAATATTTTTAATAAAAAATTGTTTAGCTTTTTGGTTAACCTAAATAATTGCTCAGAAAACTTTATTAAATTTTCAATTTTGATTTTATTTTTTCCTTGATCAAAAATTTGTTTTAATTTTCATTCGAGCACTATCTTACTTAGTCTATGGATTTATTTTTGTCCTATCTGTCATTAACCAATGCTTTTATAATTAATTTTTGTTTAAATTGACGTATTATCAAGTATTAAAGCTTATATACTTACAATTACCAATTAGCTTAGGCCTAGTATTCATATAGATTCTGCATAGTAATAATGTAGATTTTTTTATTTTAGAATGCATTTTCTATATTTTTATTTTCGAGATAGATTACTAAATTAAACATTTAACAAAATCAAATGTATTTCTTTTTAAAATCAATTACAGGCTAAAATTCTAGTGTTTGTTTAAGGGTACTTTCATTAAAGTTGTATTCTAAAATTTTTATTGATGAATAATAAACAAATAATTAAGTGAATACTTTTTTCCCCATATCTTAATTTACAGATACATTGTACGTACTATTGCAAAAATTGGATACGTTAATAATTCTCAAAAGATATAATGACCGCAACTTAAATGCTTATGTTACAAAGGTTTTGATATTTAATTTAGAGACCCTAATTAAAATTTTTTTGGTGAGCAAATAAATAAATATTTACTTTATTTACTGGGAATACAATGATCAAATGTATATTGTAATTTCAGATTAGGTTTTATTATCTGATTTGTAATTACGAATAATATAAAGCAATAAAAGGTTTGCTTACAATCATTCTAATATAATTATTACTTTAATTTTTTACTTTTAAGATTCATTTTTAAGGATAAAAATAAAATTTAATTGATTTTCAGTAAGGCCTAATTTTTTCTTTTTACAATAATCCCAAAGAAAATATTCAAATTGTAAATTGTTGCAAATGCTCAAAATTTTATTTTTTAATATATTTAAGGCGTCTAAGTAAAATAAAATTATCTCATTATTATCAATATTTTAAAATTCTTATATCAATTTTTATATTAATCTAATCCAAAATAGGATAGGAAAGTGTCTACATAAAAAAATATTATTAATTCTTCACATAACTTTGCCAAATAAAAAAATATGAGTAACACATAAAATAACTTCACATGATAAATATAAAAGTTAAATTTTGTAAATTTTATTCATTTCTTATAAAAGAAAAATCCATTTCCAAAATAAACAAGTTTGAATTAATTTAGCATAATTTATTAAGATAAAAAATCATCCATTAGCAATTTAATAATTAATATATCTGATTTTTTTTCTCAATATAATTTTATTAATTATTCAAAAAATTTTCTAAGGAGATTATTATCTATTTCAAAAAGGATAAAATTAAAGTTACACTTCTTTATTGCAAACGTATTTTTTATTAATTAATTAATTGATATATTTTTGTTACATTTTATTGAATTTATTATTCTATCTTTAGAATTTAAACATTCAATTAAACTCTATATTTCTAAGGGAAGATGTGATTGCTAATAAAAATTTTATGTCGTTTGCCCATTTTATTAATACTTATTCTAATTACTTTTTTTTGACAGGTTTTTCTATTTAATAATCAATTTTATACTTTTTTAGGTTGCTTTCTTGATATTCATCATTCGCAGATGATGCTATGATAACTGTCTTTGGATTATTAATTTTATCTGATAATATTTTGTGGATTTAGATTGATGTCTAAAAACCATCTAGCAAAGGCATCTCTATATCCATGAATATCAAATCATATTCTCTATTTAAAAAGTTAAAATAAATATTTAAAATAATAATGAAATTAAATAAATAAATAGCTTTATTTATAAATTATATTTGGGGATTAAATAAATAAATTTTATTTGAATATTTATTTAGCCTTTTAATTTATTTTTACCATAAATTTAATAAAAATTTTTGATTTTTGTAATTATCTTGAGATAGTAGTAAAGAACGTTTCTTTTATTTTAGACAATAATAAGAAAGTATTTTTTACCTGCAGCCGCATTCTGAATTTAAATTTAGATAATTTTATACTTTTTCTATAGCCTATTCACCATCAAAAGCTACATCTATTGAAGAATAAAAATAAGTGCTCAAAAATAATTTCAAAGCTTAAACATTGAATTGATTATCATCTACTATTAAAATTCTAAAACAATCACAAGTATTTTGGATGTTCTCATAGAAATGTTTAATCATATTTATTGTATCTTTCTTGCCAATATGTGTTTTTTTACGGTAATCAGATAGCATATCCTTATTAGATCTTGACTTAATTTAACTTATTTCATTTGAGAAGCTTCTTTTATAGAAACTGCTTTTCCTTTCAAAATTTTATTGGCTTTATTAAGTTGCAAAATCTTTTTGATAAATATCTGAATTTATTGTGCTTTCTGATAATTTTTAATTTATTTCAACTATAAATTCTTCATCATAATTTTCTAATTAAGATATTTCTTGAATGCTTGCATTTTGATTCTTTTCATCTTCAATGCAATTTTTCATCTAATCAAATGTTGAATTATTCGTTTAATTGATTTATTATTATTATTGATCTTGAAAATTAGTTAATTCTTAGACAATGATTTCATTCCTTTTTTAAAAATCAAATTGGTGTAGTTTTGAAATCATAATTTAAGTATTGAATCTATTTTAGACTCTATGTGTTTTCTTTATTTGTGGCTTTGCTTGCTGTAACTGTTACTATGATTAAACTATAGCACTCAATTAACTAAATTTTCTATTATTTGATATGTTATTGTTACTGGTATCAGGCAATGATCCAAGTTTTTGTTGGCTATTTGTCTTGTGAGTTTTATCTAAATTGCTTAATTGGTCAAAACGGATGCTATTGTAACTTAGATTAGTCATATAATCAAATATAGAGCACTTTTTTTCTCTTTACTCACTTTTTATTTAAGATTGTCTGCTTGATTTTCTACATATATCTTTATTTACACATTAAGATTTTTACGATTCAGGAGATGATTAAGAAGAAGAGTAAGAAGAGGATGATAAAGAACTGCTATCATTTTTTATATTTTGAGATGAGTTTTTCTTTTTCTGATTTTCTTCCTGTAAATATTTATTTGAAGTACTGATTTACTTTAATGAAGAGGATGAGCACATTTCTTCTTTTTTATATGATATGTTTGTCCTCGTATCTACCCCTAAATCAGATGAAATCTTTCTAATATTGCCACCACTTATATTTGGTACTCCTTTACTTGGATTATTTGTAAATTTTTAACCTCTTTTTTATATGTTAGACTCAACAAAATTTCTTTCTTATTATATACAGAATTTCGATATGTTTTAATTTGGTAAAATTTAACCATTTTATTAACAAATCTATTTTTGGCTAATCATTGATCTCGATTTGCTTCTTTTTCTCTGTTTCTCGTCTTTTTTACTGTTTTATTTGCTTTACTTTGGGTTGCTTCTATCTTTTTTATAATATCCGATATAATTTTCAGTTTATTTTAATATTTATTTATCTTCTAAGTAAAAACTAAAAGTAGAGCCTTGTCCTACTTGACTCTAAACTCTGATTCCTTGGCCATTGATACTGATTCCTTTAGCTAATTAATTTGAAATATTAAGTCCTAAACCGCAGCCACTACTGTTTAGTTATTTATTCTGGTTATCTTAGATCTTATTAAATTAGTTAAAAATCTCTTCCTATTTTTCTTATGGAATCCCTATTCCTGTGTCAATAACCTAAATGTCCATTCTGACAGGTTAAGTATTTATCAAAGTTGTTTTTAAAGTTATACTTCCTTTTCTTGTAAATTTTAAAGAGTTTCCAATCAAATTAATCAAGATCTATCTTAACCTGTTAGGGTCAGATATAATATATCTAGGAATGCTTTTATCATAGTCTAAAATCATATCTATCCCCTTCAATTAAGCTTTTTATTTTAGCAATTTTATAGTTTCTTTTAAAAGCTTTGACAAACGAAATTTCTAAAAAATAAATGTAAATTTTCCTGCATTTATCTGTGCAAGATCCAAAATATCATTTATTAGACTTAGTAGCAAATTACAGCTATTTATTGAAGGCCTTAAATATTTCTTATTCAGTTCTTAATTTATTTTTTGCTATAATTATTCAAGCATCAGCATAATACAATTAAGAGGTGTTCTTAACTCATGAGATACCTAAGCTATCATTTGAGTTTAATATTTTTTAGAATTTTCATCTTTACTTCTAGAACTTTAAATAGCAGCTTCTTTAATTAAAAATAATATGCTTGGCATATTTTCATTCTCATAGCTCAAGGAATGTTTTTTACTCAATTTAAATAATTTAATTTAGTAGATTTTGTCATCTATTTAAACAAATATGTTTGATGCATCTTCACTTTATAATAAGTTTTCTTTCTTTTAAAAGAATAGATTTTATTATCAATTATCAGAAAAATTTAATTAATATTTTTAAAATAAAAAATAATAAATTTAACTGATAAATCAATGAATGGATGGATGGATGAATAATTTATTTTTTGATAAAATATAAATAATTCTAATTATTTTAACTTACTTTTTTAATCTGGTCTTTAATTTTTTCATTAGCATTTGTCTGATTTACTTTTATATTTGATAAAAGGGTTTGAAATTTAATTTGATAGTCCAGGTCTTATTAAACATTCATTTTATTGTCAGTAATAGCTGATTAAGTTTGAAAGTTAAAAAATATGCTCTAAGATCTAAGTTTTTAATTTTTTTGAATCTGCTATGGTGATACCAGAATCTAATAATTTTAGTTATTTTAAATAGTATTTACATTTTATTATTGATTATCTATATTGGTTATTTTTGAAATATTTTTAGTATCAAAAGCTTTTATGAGAATATCATTTAAATTTTAACAATTTTTTAAATTGAATAAATTATTGATATCTTTTAAAATTTATTTATTATTTTAAGTGATACAGTTGTTTTATTATTTAGAATCTTATTAAAGTTTATCCTGATTATTTTCATTTTTAGCTGATTATTCATATTAAATTTAGTTTTCTATTTATAACTCTTTATTATTTACTGAGATGAAACAAATATTATCTTAAGTCACGCTAACTATTAAAATAATAAAAAGAAATTTGAAGATTTAATATTAAATACAATCTAATTAAATATATATTAACTTATATACCTTCAAAATTGTTTTGCATTGTTTAATCCAATGATTGATCATTGGAATTCATATTAGTTTAATTATTTGCTCTGTAGTTTATGGTTTACATATTTTCACTTTTATCTTAATTAACAGCCTTTTATTATTAAAAATAACTCTAAATTTTATTTTTATAAATGAAAAAAATATCTTATGTTTTTATAATTAATTTTCAAGTTTTTATTATTTTTGTTTTAGAAAATTTGAATTAAAAATAATTTACATCTTTGATGATTAGCTTTTAATTTTATTAATTTCTTAATACTGTTGTATCAATTTTATTTTAATTATTCAACTAATTTATATTCTAATTTTTCTTATTAAACTTGCTAATTTCATATTGGTTACTTTCTATTGTAGCATTGTTTTCATATTACTAGTTCATATTAATTACAATTTCATTTGGTTAGTGAGATGTGTCGTTTTATCTAAATTAAATATTTTGTTGATTTAATTTTCTTTCATATATTTCATGATTCTATTTGTTTGATGCATGATTTTTCTCTGAATTATTAAATGTTTGATTTTATATTTTGAGTGAAAGAAGCTAATCCTTCATACTTTTTTTATCTTAACTTAGTAATTATTTAGCCTTCTCATTAAAATATTAAACTTTTCCTTACTATCCTATTAAGAATAATCCTTCAGACACTAAATTTAAGCTTGCTTCATAAAATTAAATTAGCTTTGATTCACTTTTTATATTTTTTTAAATGGAACTTTATGAGATTTTTATAGTCTCAAATAAAAAGAATTTTATATTAATCAATAAATAAAATATAATGCTAAACGTAAGACAAATTATTTTAGCTCTCATTATTTGGTCATTTATATTTATTTCTCTATAAACATATTCAAAATTGTTTTAGCTTTAAGCTGATACCACTTAATAATCACTATTTTCAGCTGTTAAAAAATAATAAATTGAATATTTATATTTAATATCAGGTATCCCAATGTTTTAAAGGTATAACAATCTTATTGCTAAATAGAATATTTAGAAGCTAGTAGATAACAGCTTATATTAACAGTAATTTAAGCACTTCAAATAGCAATGAAATAAGTAAAAGTATATTGCAAACATCCAAAAGTTATAAATAAAAAACAAGTTAAAGCACTGAATTATTATTATTTCTATTAGTAGAGTTAAAATAATTTACATTCTTACAATAGTTATAATCTCTATATTCTTCATTTAAAAATTTTAAATCCTTCCTTTTTAGTATATTATTATCTCTATAATTTGAGCCATTATGAGACTAAAAGTAATGAATAGACTTTAATAGGTATCAGTAGATAAAGAGATATAAATAGCATTTACTAAAAATAGTAAAAAGATCAGAAACTCAAAAAATTAGAATACTTATTACTCTAAATTTTAAGTATAAATATTTTTCTCTTTCTCTTACTTGATGCGAAATCTTTAATTCTCATTTATTTTAAAGCTAAAACTATTTAAAGCTGTTTTAATTATACTTTTTAAAGTGGTTTAAGGCTAAATATTCATTAGCTCTACTTTTATAGTATTATTTATATTCTAAAAAAATTTAATTAAATGTAATTACAGCTCTTTCTTAAAGCATAGATTAATTAATTTCATGATGTTTTATTTAACAATTACATTAGACAGTGATAATACACAAAACTTATTATAAAATTTTTTAATTTAGAATAAAAAGTAGAGGTCGCTTACTAAATTTGATGACGAATAAATATATTTTAAACTTAAACATTAACTTTTTAATCAATTACAAATTTTTATTGTTTTAGTTGAACTTTATTGGTTAAATTAGTCAGCAAAACAGAACTTTATTTATTTTTAATATTATATATTTTCCTTTTAAATGAATAAGATCGTTTTTATTTTTATAAAATAAATTCACTTAAAAACTGATTTAAAAAGTAATAAAAATTTTTATTTTGAATATTTCTGTCTCTAAAACAAGTAAATATATTTATAAATTGTCAAATTTATATTTAAATGTGAAATTTATTATTAAAATTCAAAATTGTTTCTTTATTTTTAAATTTTCCTTTTAAATGAATAAGGAAGTAGATGCATATTTATATATAATAAGATTGTTTTTATTTTAAAAAATAATTTCACTTTAAAACCGATTTAAAAATAATAAAAAATTTTTATTTAAATAATTCAGTCTCTAAAACAAGTAAATATAAAAAGAATTTATCTAATCTATATTTAAATGCGAAACTTATTATTGATATTCAAAAATGTTCCTTATTAAAAATTCCTATGACACTATGCATATCATGTGCTGAAAACTAGAACGGCCAGCACATTTACATTGTTATCCCAATTATTTTAAAACTATAATTAACTAATCAATAAACTTAACCCTAACTAATAAAATTTTTAATAAATTACATTTTTAAATATTCATAAAGAAAATATTTATAGATTTTAATTTTTTAATACTATTTTTTAAAAAAAATAAGTTATTTTTTAATAGTTCAAAATTACTAAAATGGCTTGCAATGCCAAAACTCTAGCTCAATATGTTCTCTATTGAGCTGGGTATTGTTTATTTTTTATGAGAATTTCTATTATTAATTTTTAATATTCTTAATATCTATAGAAAAATTAATAACAATATTATAATAATTTTTGTAAATTATTAAAAGTACTTTAGATATTTCTTATAGAAAATTAGTATTAATGATTAGAATAGTTAAATAGCTAGCATAAAGAAGAAATAAATTATACTTGCAAGAGTGTGAAACATAACTATTTAATAAATAATATAACTGTTTCTTTTTCAAAAAATCCGATAGCGATTAACTCCATACTGTGTAAATGCTAAAGAGTTTAGAGAATTCTAAATCAAACATTCCCGAATTCAGATAATAAATGGAAACATGGATAAAAAATATTAACAATAGCGATTATCTACAACAATAACTAATATCTGATTACTACAAATAGTTTTCAATAGTGCTTCAAAGAAGAATATAGTCATTTGAAAATAATGAGCTTCTTTCTTGGAAATCATTGAATCAGTCAGATTTGGATAACATTTAACTCATTTGTTAGCAAAAAATAAAATTTTTAGAAGACAGCATAAAAATAAGGGAAGAATACCATATCAATGAGAATCTGTAAAAAGACAAATTTAAGGTGTTTTGGTGGAAAATATAAAAAAATAAATACAATAGTCCATTATATTATAAATTAATACATTATTACCCAATATACTTGTTGATTTCTTTCGTTATATTCTTTATTGTAGATTTAATAGTACTTACTAATCATAAGCGTTTAGATTAGTTATAAGTAGCCTTAGATTCCTAAATAAGTCAGGTTAAAGAAATAGTTGGTGGGATCATTTAAGATTCTTAGAAAAACATTAAACAAGTTCAACCTGAATCTAAACATATTTAAATAGCTCCTATTCATGATCTTTAGAAAACAAACATCAAAAACTGACTGAAAATAAATAAGTAAATAAATCCAGTAATAAAATTTTTAATAAGCAATAAAAATTATTCGCTAAATAGAAATAAATAATATAGATAGATCAATATATATCTATAGTGTTTCGCTTAACAAACAAATAAATAAATAAAAAATTGTGATTTATTTTGGTTTATATGAAGTTTACAAATTCTTAAATTAAATATTTTAATTTTTAAATTCAATTTTAAAATAAAATATTTATTAAACTAAATTAAATACTTTTGCTTAAATATCAGTAATAAAATTTTTAATATGAAATTATTCGCTAAATAGAAATAAATAATATAGATAGATCAATATATATCTATAGTATTTCGCTTAACAAACAAATAAATAAATAAAAAATTGTGATTTATTTTGGTTTATATGAAATTTACAAATTCTTAAATTAAATATTTTAATTTTTAAATTCAATTTTAAAATAAAATATTTATTAAATTAAATAAAATACTTTTGCTTAAATATTTGGATAAAAATTTATTATTTTAATTTATTTGGTGACAAACTAAGATCAATTAATCAATCATTTATTCAATTCAAATTTTAATTAGCTTGGATTAAATAATTAAAATTGTAAATTTTTTTTGATATATCTATTACTTGTAGATTCATAATAATTAAATAATTATTTGATGATTGGCAGTAAATAAATCTAACAGAGTTTCTGATATAAAAATTTTATATATTAAAAATGGGTAAATTTATTTTTTTAAAGTATATCATTTAAGATAACTTTTTAAAATGATATTTTGTTTAATTTACAGACAGTAAGCTAACTAATGACTACTTTATACACTTACGTTTAACAGACATATTAAACATGCATGAGATTTAATCTATTCTTCTTAAGGTATCAAAAAAATAACTATAAAGTAATTAATCATTTGTAATAATCTAGTTTTGGCATCTCGCGTACAGATATGATCCGAATAAAAGTGGATTAGCAAGCAAAATTACTTTTTCAAATTGTTTCATATATGAAATGAATGTCGATGCATACAAATAGTTTTTAAATTGTATCAATGAATCCTTGAAATTTATTATTAATTATAAAAATTTTGGTCTGATAGCTAATTATCTTAACGTAAATTATTATCATTAAATCTCTACCATAAAATAAAACGAACAAATTTTATTAGACAACAAATCCAAAGCAAGTATCTTATGAAACATTCGGCCTACATATCCTATAACTCTTTGGGAGCCTCATAAAATCATTAAATGAAAGCTAGTAAATTTTATTTTTTAATAAAATGCCTCTCTATATATCTTAATATAAAATTTTTTTACCAAAGAAAAATTCACAAAGGATTTATTTTATCACTTAAGTTTAAGCTTATATAAAAGATTAATTTTAGTGATTTATCTAAATTTAAAAATAAATTTTAATTTTTTAAATTAAAATAATTTAAAGGTTGCTTACTATTTTGAGAAGAGTTTATTTTGCTATTTCGTCATTTGATACTCTTGGTAAAGCTTAAGTGTTAAATATACAAGATATAAGACCAATTTAGATTCATGATATTATCAATTTTTAGCTTCCTGTAAGAAGTAAGTAAAACCTAATGACTCCTACAAAGGCTCATGATGAAAACGAAGAGCATTTACCTTCATTACTTGACTCATCTCAAAGATCGAATACAAATGCAAATTTTTCAAGTTAAAAAAGATAATAATAATAGTACAAATAAAAAAGCTACAATTTAAGTTAAAATAAATACTTTGATAATATGGAAAATCAGATACAGAATATAAAAGATGTCTCTTAAGAAGATGTTAACACTTTAGATGATTTTAATATAAAAACAAATCAATAAGTTATTAAATAAGATAATGTTTACCAGCAACCCATAAATCATATTTAATAAAAATCTAGAAATTAAATATAATCACCATCACAATATAATTAAATAACTCTCTCTAATTAAAGTAGCAACTTTTAAGAACTATTTTAGCCTTATCATATGAGATTATAACCTTTAAAAAAAAATTAAATCTAAGTACAGTAAGAAGGAACAGCATAATAAAATAACCACTCCAGTATGAATGAATAAAAAGAGTATAAGCGAAGAAGCATAAGCTATAACAATACAAATAGTTGGGGAAACACTACGATGAAAGAAAGGTTTGATAAAAAACTCAAAGCAATTCAAGAAAATGATAAAATTAGAAAAGAATTGAATAATAGCTTTTCTGCCTGCTATCCTTGTGAAGAAAAAATGAAAAACTAAAAAAAGGCTAATTTATCTTCGTTTGTATTAGGAGGTTATGACATTATTGATTACTCTGATACTATTAATAAGTTACATAGAAAGTTACTCAGAAAAATAATTTTAAATCGTTGATAAATTTATTTTTCATATCTTAAAAAGAACAAATAATATGAATAAAAACTTTTCTTTAATTTAAAAAAATTCTAAAGAATTTCTTTTTTCATTATTCTGTTAGAATTTAATTTCACATATTTTGCTAACAAGTAATATATATATTAATGACGCATATTAGAATTATTCTATTGTGTTCCTTTTCTATTTGATATATGTACCTCTATTTTAAATCCTTGATTGTAATCTTAATACTGTAAATTCAATAAATATTAAATCAAAAAATATTATAAGTTAATCTAAAATGGGAGCAAATATTACTGTTCCTGAAGACGTAAAATAGATATAAACCAACAAGAATCTTAAGTTTTAAGTCTTGATAGAATATTGCGGGTCCTGAGGGTATCAAAATATGTTCGACTACGCTAAAAAGTGCATTGAATAAATCTACCCTTCAGCAACAGTAGTCGGAAAATAAATAGCAGGATATACAGGATGTTTCGATATCTATGTAAATGGCAAAAATGGGACTCTGTAATACTTTTTTTATAATAAGCCTTATATTAATTTTTTTTATAAACTAAAGAGTTCATAGTAAAAATAATGGAGATGGTGGTCTTAGGGTTTAAAATGTTGGTTTAGTGATGCAAAAAATCAAATCAATTGTTGAAAAATGAGTGAATGAATGATGAAAATTGCATTTGACATAAAAGTATTTAAATACAATTTAATTGATATATTTTAAAAGTTTATCTTTTTACTATGAAGCACTAAGATGGAAATCCTTTGGATCATCTCGTGCTGAAAATTAAAAACTTATGGTTTAATAGTATAAAATATTTGTTATACTCTTAAATTCATTAAGTTAAGAAAAGAATAAACATAAAATATACTTTTAAATTATAAACAACACAAATGTTTTTTTCATATTTTACTTTTTATATATCTGTAAAATATTTTATTATTATCTTTTATAAATTACTTGACTGATATACTTACTTTTTAAATAAAACTTAAGAACTAAACTAATGGAAATTGCAAATAATTTTTAGATGGCTTCATTCATTTTTTAATGAAAAATATAAAAATTGTTAATAGTAGACAGATCTACTTATTAACAAATATATATTTTAATTATATAAGTAAAATGACTATTCAAAAATTAAAAAGAGCTAAAATTGATAAAATAACAAGTTTTAATTTTATTGGTTGTATCAAGTTAGCTATAAGATGGTTTGATATTGCAAATTACAGATTTTAATCACTAATAAAAAACATTAAAATTATGGCCTTAAATGTACAGTAATAATTTTGACTTTTACAAAAGGTTTGCTTATATCAATTTTTTGAAAAATCAATTAGACTAATTACAATTTTAGATTAAAAGCTAATCAAACTTTAATAAATAAAGAAATGTAGATGAGAAAAGGAAATATTTTGTAGTTTTGACTTACAAATATTCAATTAATAAAATTATATGATTAAAATATATTTAAAAGAAAGTAAACATTTGAAATAATAAAATAAATAGTTAGTTATTAAATTTATTTACTAACTTATTTGTTTTTTGAAATAGGTATTTTTTAGAATTTATTGCTCATTGATTTATTGAATTCATTTTTTATTAATTAGTTTTAACTAAAATTTATAATTAGCTTTATTACTTAATTCATTAATCACTTTTTTTTCATTTTTTTATTTCTGGCTTTATTTTTATATCAATTTCATTTTATTTTCTTAAGCAATTTGATAAAATTATGTTCAAAGTAGTCTTTATTCATTGTCATTTCAGCTAGCTATACTTTAGTGTCTATAGCAGTTTATTCAGCATATACTTTATCTTCTTTTATTTTTTTGTAAATCTGTAAAAAAGCTTTTTTTATTTATTTTAAATTATTTAGAGAAAATATATATTTATGATCTTCTTCTACACAATTTATGTCAGTAAGAGAATCGCTTTCTGAGTTTACAGAATGTATACTGTTAGGATCATCACCTATATCTAACTTTTTATCTTCCAAAGAAAGAATAAATGAACTTCTATTATCAGAATCTAAGCTTTCTCCCTTTCTTACTTCTTCAATTGTATCTAGTCTCTGTGCTAATTATTAGTCTTATATTTCTTAATTATATTTTTCTTCTTAGCAATTTTCCTATGTGTTGTTTCTGCTCCTTATAAGTTCTTTTAAATCCTTATTCTCCTTTTTAATATTTTAAATCTTGCTATTTAACATCTCTATTTTCTCTTGTAAGTCACTGTTTTCTCTTGATCTTGTTTGATGCAAAGAAGCTAACTCTTAAGTTAATTTTTAATTCAAAGATTTTAAATTTTCAACTTGAATTTCATCAGATGTCTATTTTTCTCTAATCATCCTCTAATTTTCTTATTCTAGGATCATTATCTTCTCTTAAGCTTGAAGGTATTTATAATTCAATTAATCGTAATCGTTTCTTATTTTTTCAAGATTGTTGCTTAGTGAATTGGTTTTTTATATTTCTAATTTCATCTAGAAATTCTCTTCATCTAATTTCTCTATACTCTTTTTATGGATATCCATCTTTTTGACGTCTCTCTAAATAACCCTAATTTGATAGATGATGTTATCTTTTAATTCTTATATATCACTACTTTCATTTTTCTCTCCCCCTTCTAATAGCTATAATATTTCTTGAATATCATTTTTCTATTTATTATTTAATAAAAAAATAAATATGAATAACATTCATTAAAATGAATTTACATAACACTAATTTATTTCACTAATTTTCTACGCTTCATACTACAACTTTTCACTCAAGTGGTTTCTTTCTTACTTGTACTCATTTAGCATTATTTCAGTTTGGGCTATTTTCTAAATCAACGCATCATGCTCACTTTCTCTTTAATTTAAAGATTTTTATTTTACTTGTAAATCTTTTTTTAGTAAATCTAATTCGCTTTCTATCTTGAAGTAATCATTTTTATTTTTGGTTAGAAGATTTTCCCATTCTTCAATCTAATTAGATAACTTATCAGATTCAAAGTCATCCATTTCTTCGCTTAACTCTACATTGAATTTTTCTTTTACAAATTCTTATATTTTGCAGTAATTTTACTTTAGTAATTTCTAATAAAAATAAAAGTACAAATAAGATTTATTATACAACTTTTCAATTAATTTTACATTTTATTCTTCGATTTCAAGTAATTTTATTGATAACTCCTCTTTTTATCCACTTTATAAATCTTCTTTATCTTACCTACAATTTACTTACAAAAGCAACTAGTCATAGGTTTATTAAAGGTTATCTAGTTTATTTTAATACGATTATTTCGTTTTCTCAATCTCTTTCCCTGCATTTTCTAATTTCTTTTATAAAAAGAGATTGGCCTTTTTTTACTTATCTTGGACAAAATTGATATTCCCAGGAGTGCTTAGGTTTTTATCTCTTATTTAAACTTCTAAAAAATCTTTACTAGTATTAGTGCTACTTCCTTCTCGTATCTAAAACATGCAGTCAACGCTTTTAATTTCTTATCCTTTAAAGCAATTAAATGGGCAGGTATGTGCTTCTTTAATTGAATTAATTGCATATTCCTAGTAAATTTCATTTCTTTCATCCTCTTAAGCTAAATAATCCTATAATTCCTTTAGCTTTAAAGTAAGCTCATATATGATATGTTCATATTATTCTATGATACTATCATCTATCTGATTTGAAGTATTTTCTAGATGCTTTTAACTATGCAACTATTCATCTTCCTTTTGAAAAATAAATTAAGACTTCAAAACACTGAAAAAGAGCTTTAAAGACAATCATACTTTAAATATATCATCGTTCGAAATTTAATTTTAGCTAATACAAGTTCTTCTACTTCTTATATTTCCTAAATCTTCTCTTTCTAAGCTATTTTCTTAAATTCCATTCTAATAAGTTAAATAATAGGTTAAAATGCAAGACTTAAAATGACTTTAATTCTTACAATCTCTGCACTACTCATTCTGAATTGATCTTTAATGTAACTAAAAAAATTTTTATAAATAGAAACGCTACTTTATTCTTTATTACAAATTAATCAAATTATCTCTCTCTTTTAATTTTATGAGATCAATAAATCAATGATAAAGAAAAGCCACTAAAATTTTATCTAAGTCAATTATAATCAATACTTTTATTTTGTATAAACAGAGATTATTGATATATTTTGTTACATCACAAATAAATAAAGAGCTTTTAAAATAAGTAAATACTTGATTTATAATAAAAATTTATATTTAAACACATTTAACTATTTTGTACATATTTATTAATTCATTATTTTATTGAATTATTTACTTATCTTAAATTATCAAAATAAATATTTACAAATTTTACATTTATTAAATTTCTTTCACTCCTAATAATTTTTCTTATACAATTATTAAGAACTGTTCATATTTCTTTTGCTTGTAATTTCATTTTAATTATATTCAACATTTAACAAATATCTAACACTTTAAATAATAAATGGCAACTTTTATACTTAAATAGATTTTTCATCACTCTTTTTTGATTGTCTTTGAAAACTTAAATGAACCTTTAGAAAACTTTGGTTATCTTTTCTTATCTGCTTCTCTAACAAGCATATCATCTGATTCCTGAACTAGCTCTTGGACAAATTTGAAGCTATTTTATTTAAAATATTATTACAATTAAAAAAAGGGAAAAATTATTTACTCATCCTCAAATTTTTTAGCCTCTCTTTGTTCCTTCAACTAAGCTTTTAGTTGACTTTCCTATTCTATTTTTGCTTTTTATTCTTTCTAATCCTTATACATAAATCTTGAAAGCTTACTATCGTCTAATTACTAAAGCTTATCAAATGAAGTCTTTTCTTATTTTCCTTTTTTGAGCTAATCATTGACTTCTTAGAAGTTTTACTACATTTTACTATCAAATTATTGTTTATAATTACTTTGGTCTCTTTTTTTTAAATCCTTTTAATAGTCTTTATCTTGATATCTATTTTTATCTTAATGGTATTCTTTGCCTTTTCTATCAGAATAATTCAACTTTTTATCATTTTCTTTGTTTTTGTAAGAATCTTAATATTTATGTTGATTTTATCTTTAATTGTCTTAATATTGGTTCTAATTTCCTTCTCTTCTTTATTTGTGATATGGTTAATTTTCAGTTTCACCCTCTTACTGATTGTTTTAATTCCTATATTGCTTTCTCATTTAATTGAACTATTTTCCTTCTTACTAGTTTGTGTTCATTATCTTTTCTAGTAAGTCATTTTTACCCTAAGATCTGTTGTCTCTTCTTTAATTTTTACCAGCTACCTAAACAAAATTTCCTGAGTCATCTTCATTTTCATTAAGACTGTCTTAGTCTTCAGTTTAAATTTATTTCTTATATTTTAAATTTTTTTTTTATAAAGGATGAAGATCTTTTTCAGATGCTTCGTCATCGCTTTAATCATTATTTTAACTTTCAGATTATCCATATTTCTAAAAAAATTCTCTTTTTCTCAATTTATTATCTTATTCGATATCATTACCTATCTTACTATATATTCTTTCCATAAATCTCCTTCTTCTTTCTTCTTCAATGTACTCGTTAACAAACTTCTTAGTTTCTATACCTAAATTGTTATATAAGTCATCTAATAATAAATGCATAGTATCAGTTAGTTTATTAGCACTGGAACAGCTTTTATAAAAGGAGGATTCATTTTAGCAATCTCTGTATTTTTGAATTGAAATATCAGCTTTCTCTTTTTGATTTTTTTTATTCTTTCCTGATTTAGAATCCTATATATCTTATTCAATTTTATCCTAATCTGTTTCTACTTAAACTTAACCTTTGTTTTCTTATTCTACTGCAAAATAGTACATAGAAGTTAACAAATCACTCATACTTGTTTTTGCTGAATTTTCATTTATTTCAGGCACAAAATTTATCACTTTACATGTTTCTTTTTTGCTACAATTTTAGCATACTAAATCTTCTTTTACTCCATTTAATGCTCTTAATCTCTTGAGACTTTGCTATACTTCCTATTCTTTCAAATTTTGATCACTTTTGTAATTAATAAAAACTAAGCATTTTTTTTCCTACTTGCAATATTTACCTTGTGTTGATAGGGCATTCTATTTTAATAAAGCTTTTTAACTCCTTTTTTGGGAATCTTTATATAACATCAGGGTCCCTAATTTCATACTCCTTTCTAAATTTAAATAAATGCTACTTCATCTTTATTTATAAAAATTTAATTTTAAAAAAATGAAAAATCATCAAATAATCTAGAATATACCTTAATTGATTCAGTTATTTCACATTAATACTATTTTTATATCAAATTTTTAAAGTTTTTTAAGAAGGAACTTGACATTTTATGTTAATATTTACTAAATACTTAAAAAATAGATATTCTTTTATTTTTATTACTCTTTTTTCTACTTATGATAAATTATAAATTTAATAGAACTTTCGCTGAGAAGATAAATAAATAGATAAATAGACATAAATAAACCAATCTGCCTTTAATTTAATATTTTATAATTTTCACTATATTATTGAATATTATGCAACATTAAGCAATAATATAGTGGGCAAGTATTTGCAATTAATCAATAAATAATTTTAAAATAAAATATTATTTTTATCAGGTAAAAATTTAAAACAAACAATGGTGATAATTTGCTTAAATATAAAAGTTAATTTATTTTTTCAATTTAAAAGTAAAAATTATAAATAAATAATTGAATGAACTTTATAAGAAATAATAAAACTGCATGTATAATTTTTTTATATTTTAAAATTAATTGTGTCTTTTATATTTAATTTTTAAATAATTTAGTTAATTAATTTTACTGATGGATTGATGGAAGAAAGAGTTAAATTGATTAATACATAGATAATATTTAAGGATTTAATAAAAATCATACATATTGAATATTTTTACATTTTAATAGTTTATTTATTATTATATTTTGAGTACTTTTCAGAAATTATTTTTAAGTATTTTTTCATTAAAAAATATAAAAGCTCATTATAAGTTAGTTATTTAGTTAGTTAGTTAGCCAGCCAATATTTATTTATTAATATTTCTTTTAATTAATTATTTTCCATAAATCGAAACATTTTAAATAAATTAGAATTATATTCTTCAAAGCTCTATAATTTTGGCCAATTTTTTTGATAGATTAATCAATAATAGGAAAAAAAATCTGATGAAATTAAAAGCAAATTTAAAAACGCCTAATTTAATTTAGCTTATTGTTCATTTATGTTATAAATTAGTAAGAGATATTTTAATGTATGCTGCTTAAAGTTGAAAATTAAATAAATTAGATTTCAATTTAATCTTTTATTGAAAAGATCTAAACCAACTATCACTTTTTACCCATTTTAAAAGCACTTTTTACTTCGAATATTTTAATATCACGATTATTGTCACTATTTAAATCACTTACATTCTCTCCCATGTAAGTTCCCATTTTTTTAAAATCTTTTATATTTTTTTCTGACCCAATTAGTAAAGGAGGGTGATACCCAGGTTTGCTAGGTTTACTAGAAGGGAGTTTAGGAGTTTCTTCTAAATCGTGATGGGATCCTTTTGTAACGTGAAGCTAGCTTGTACGAATACGGATATCTTAAAGCATTTAATGAGGATTTAATATACTATTTTCCTTAGATATAAGCCCAGCGACTTTAATGCTTTCTTCGTCTGTTACATCTTCACTTTCAGAAAATGGATAATTATTTAATTTGGATGTTCCACCACTATTTGCGCTCATAACTGAAACTTTTTCATTGTGTGGCACATTCAAATAATTCTATGCTAAAGGATTTAAGTTCGACATTGGTTCTTACCTGCTTGGAATACCAAGATTGTTTAAAGAAGTTTCATTAAATTCTTCATGGTTTTGTTTACTGTAACTTCCTAATTTATCATGAGAATTAATATTTAACTAGGAATTTTCTAATTTTATTAACTACAGTGTTTCTATTTTATTGTTACTTTTTTAATTGTTAACATTTTAACCTTATGGTTAATTTGCTATATTTTGAGTGCTTTTTTGACTTGGACTAGGAGAGCCATTATTATTATTATTATTATTACTATTTTGATTTTTAGTATCCTATTTTGTTTACTATTTATCTGCATTGTTATTTTAGTTTGCTGGTATTGTTTACATTTGTTACTGCTATTGTTATTTTTATTAATTACTATTACTATTGCTATTATTGTTATTGTTTTTGTTATTTAATTTATCTTTTTCATCTAATTTCTTGTTTGCTTAATTCTAAACTGGAGAAACATTAATGTTGTTGTTACTTATGTTTGTCTAGCTCTAACTCTTTGAATGTACTCCAAATGCTGCAACTGTTTGGTATTTTTTTCTTTGCCTATAGTCTGGTAAAGACTCCCAATCAAGAGTATTAATCTAATTTTCTAATTTTTTATCTGCTGCCATCTTTGCAAAAAGCTTTTTTAACATTGCGTAGTTAGGAGCTTCTTCGAATTCTAAAGATTTAACATGCTAAAAGTACTATACAAACTCATTAGGAAGATTTTCGCAAAGTTACTCAAGGGTATACTACTATTTCATAGCCTTAATTTTTTCGTATTTTTCATCCTTAGTGTCTGCATATATATTCTGCCAGGGTAGTTTTCCTTTTGCAAAATACAGCAAAACGTAACCTAATGCTTCTAAATCATCTCTTCTTGACTACTCATGACCTAAATGAGCATTAATTGAAGCATATCTCGCTGTTCCTATCATACCTTTCTTTTCTATAAAAGGTATGTGGTTTCCATCAGAATCCTTATAGTATTTAGCTAATCCAAAATCAATTAAATGTACTACAGTAAAATTAGAACCGTAGCCTATAACATAATTTTCTGGTTTTATATCACGATGTATTAAGTTTTTATTATGCAATGCCTCTAAGCGACTAATCATTTAATCTGCTAAATTAACAACAGTTTAAGTAGAAAACTTACCTCCGCATTTCTTAAGGAGCGAATCTATATTCCTTCCTAAATATGACATTACAACATAATTATATTCTTCGTCTTTTCCATAAGTCTACATCTTAGCAAAACCTTTATCATTTTTCATTTCCATCATAACTTTTATTTCTCTCACGAGCATACTAGAATGCCTTTGGTTACGCTTTTCTAATTTGATTGCAAACACTTCTTGCGTTTCCATATTTATACATTTAAAAATCATACCAAACGACCCCTAACCAATTTTTTCTTCTAGTCTAAACTTAGTTCCTATTATTGAACCTACTCCAAATGTTTGGACAGAATCATCTGTCTAAGGACCAATAAAATGCTGTTTCATTGAATAAATTCAATTAATTTTATTGGTTTTATGAGAGTTTTAAATTTTAAATTTAATTCTTTCTTTAAAATTTTATCTATGACTGACCTAACTAAATGCTTTAGCTGCTAAATAAAATGCTTAAAAGAAACAAATTGCTATATCCTAATCAATATGAGTCAACCTGGATAAAATGACAAATCCAATAAAACCTTTTTAATTTGTTATTAAGTATTACTATTAGCTAGTTTCTTTTACTTTAAAAACTTTTTCGTTCACTACCTCTGAGATATTCCTTATCTATTAATTTTTTATAAAATTAAAATAACTCAATCAATTATATTGATTTTGTTTAGGTTATTGGTGCTTATTTTCAATTATTAAAAATTTTGATAGCATAAAACAAGCAAATCAATTTTTATTATTGGGATTTAATAATTTTTTGCCACATAATTTTAGTGGATCAAATTATATGTAATTTAAATAAAAATAAATAGCTATAAAAATTACTAATATTCTATATATACTAAAGTAAATAGGCTTTGCATCATTCAAAATCTATTTAAAAATAAATTATTTAGAAAATAAAATTTTTAAAATCCTCATAAAATATTTTTTAATTCAAAATTGGGGTTGGGGTTGGGGTTGGGGTTGGGGTTGGGGTTGGGGTTGGGGTTGGGGTTGGGGTTGGGGTTGGGGTTGGGGTTGGGGTTGGGGTTGGGGTTGGGGTTGGGGTTGGGGTTGGGGTTGGGGTTGGGGTTGGGGTTGGGGTTGGGGTTGGGGTTGGGGTTGGGGTTGGGGTTGGGGTTGGGGTTGGGGTTGGGGTTGGGGTTGGGGTTGGGGTTGGGGTTGGGGTTG